GGTTGCCCTATGCTGATATATTCTAACTACAATTTCCTTGATGTCAAGCTGGAGTTGCAGGTGCGCCTGCCAGACGGACGCCTTGTCGAACGCCCGATGCAGAGCCAAGCATCCCCTCCGGGACTTCGTTTCCCAAATGGTGGCATTATCAACGGCCACTTCGTTGTTAGTGGCACGTACCTGACTTCCTCAAAGCAAGAATATGCGTTGTGGGCTCTCGACCTGAAGACATTGACTTGGGGCCGTATTGATGCTGGAGGATCGGTATTTGGACAGGGTAGTTGGAACCGAGGAGTGCTCTGGCCTCGCCGTAATTCTTTCGTGATCCTTGGGCACCGGAAACGAAGCCTTGTCGATGATTACAACCACCGGCGAATCAACTTCTCGCACGTGTGCCTGGTCGAGTTGGAGGCATTTGGACTCTACAACAATTCTTGCCGCACTTCTCCAACCTCAGGCTATAAGTCTTATAGCTCTTCTTCTGTTCCAGCATCCCTGCAGAAGAAGCTAATGCAGTTGACATCAGGTGGGCGGCCATTGTCTGCTGCATCCGATGAGCTAGGCAAGCTCGCACAATCTTTGCCAGAGATGGCCGACATGGAGTTGCAGGCTGTGGGAGGAGAACGTATCTCCGTCAACTCCCGCGTGTTGACTCGGCGCTGGGGTCCTTACTTTATCCAACTCCTTCGCGAATCATCGGAAGGAGGTATTGCAGACGTCGCAACTCTTCGCCCGGCTCAGATGCACCCGAGCCGCAACTCGAGTATTACTATCACTCCTTCGATAGGCTCCGATGCAACAACGCTTGTCAATCAGTCTTTACCTTCGAAGTCTCTGATTGAGAACCTCGAAGTTCCGTCTGCTCACAGCCTGGCCCCAACCTCCCGACCGCGTGTACTGTATCTCCCTCATACTATTTTGACTCTTCAAGTGTTGGTTCAATACATCTACACCTCAGCCCTTCCATCTGCAGGCACGTCGCTTTGCACTCCACAAATTCTATGCTCGCTTCTACAGCTTGCACGTCCGTACCAAATCGACGGACTACTAGAAGCCACTGTCGAAAGACTTCATCAAGTTCTCGATGGACGCAACGCCGCAGCTGTATTCAACGCAGCTGCTATGGCTGCCGGAGGTGGTCGTGGTACTGGATTCAATGGTGGACCAGGAGGTACACTCGAGGCTCTGAACGGAGCTTATACCGGCCACAACGGCACTGCGCCTACGATTGGCGAGAACAGCAACTCCCAACATGGTGCACTCACATCAGACTCATCGGACACAGAGCACGGTGGTGCCTCCGCGTCAGCAGCGAGCAGCACGAACGATCTCACAAACTTCGCTCGAGGTATTCCATTTCTCCGCATCGACACCAGTGTCTCCCAGCATTCGCGCCAGCGCAGCGGCCATCGCGACCGCGAGGATTCTATTAGCAATCCAAGCACAGCGACATCCGCGTCCAGCGCTAGTTTTAGCCAGTCCGACTCCGAATGGGTCAGCGGCGATGAAAGCCGCTCACAATCCCGCTCTACCCATAACCGTCGTGACACAGACGCCGAATTGCGCCGCCCTCAACGTGAGCTCTGGACCGGTGATCTCAGCAGTGTTATCGGTCTGCAGAAGCGTGGCCTGCGTGGTCTCATGGAGGGCCGTCGCATGCGTGAGCGTAGTGCGAAGCCCGCCAGCACTGGCAGTAACTCGATCTCCATGCCACCGTCGGCTGGCTCAGGCGATCAACACGTTCCTTTCCAAGGCGTTGCCAGTTGATGGTTGCCTGGAGCTAATTTCTCGGCTTCCAAGATTGCTGTGACATCTATACGATCTCTTTTACTCCGTCTTATCGTTCTGCCACTTAGTTTTTTAGATGATCTCTTCCAGATACCGTATTTGGGTTATACATATTTCTTTTCTTGCTTTTCACCCCAGCAGGCTGGCAATGTGGGGAGGATTTAGGGCAGGGCTTCCAAATTTTGGATGATGCATCTGGATGCTGTACCTTTCTTCTGTTTATCTTATTTAGGCTGGGTAAGTTGTTCTCATCTACACAGCCATGGATATATACTGAGACTCCGGGTGTTGGAGTTTTACGATGAATGCAATGAAATGCATTAAACCCAGATCTTTGTGATTTTTCTGTTTCCCTTAAGAGACTGCTGCTTTGGATAAAGATGAGAAGAAACATATTCTTTTGGGACTTATATACAGAGGTAAAGCTTCTCAAACTCGTTTCTGATAGATCATACATAGAATTCCGCTCTCAGAAGAATCAAAAGAAAATAGAAGCAGATTAGTCCTTCTGCACCTGATCTCAAAGCCGCTTGGGACTTTTGCCACCATAGACTAAAGGGAAATAAGTTAGTGTATATAAAATCAAGCTGAGGTTGAGATTCCTTGGGAATTAAAGGACTCACGTCGCTCATAAAGAACCCACGATGTGTACATTACAATTGGTAGTCCGACAATAGTCGTTGTCCATCTAGAAACAGAGAAGATTAGATTTCTCATTGCTGCCATGCATCATTCGCCAAACAGAAGCAAAAAGAAGGCAGAACTGAAGATAGAAAGATATGACATTTACCTCCGTGCAGCAGCCTTGTACTCCTTCGTCTTCCGGATATCATCCACCCCCTTAGGGAGCCGGGGAGCGGGTTGTTGGACTGGGCGTGGAGGCCGGGTCTTGGGGTCAACGGATCGGTATCTGTGTTGGTCTTTGGGAGATGACATTATTCTTGGCTTTGGTTAGATGAACTTGAGCATAGAGGAGATTATTAGGGTGTAGTTACATGGTTTGTTGGTGTTTTGGAGCGTGTGAATTCTGTGAGGGAAGATTCGGGGAGGTCTTGGCGCCTGAGGCATTACTCTCTTTCGGAGATGTGAGGTATGAACATATTTCAACGAACACGAATGAGATATATTTGTCTAATTGTACACTTGTAGTTAGTTGAAAAATGCGACATGGAATTATCCTTTGATAGAGTCCCATAGCCCGGCAGACAAGAACATCTCAACGTCGACTTTTCCATCTTCCCTTAGGGATGGCATCCCGGGCCTTGCTTTACATCATCCCATTCGCGCAAGAAAATGAAAGAAATGCCGTCCAAGCCAGGTCCTTCGATCCCTTTGATCCATCCTTACTTATTCATATGCCCTGGGACGACACAGCAATGACTGTTGCGTCTCAAAAGAATTTGCGGGAATTCTTTCAAACGTTCTTGGGATTCAGTCAGGGTACTGGCCAATGCACTCTGATGCACTGATTTGGTCTCCGCAGAAAAGCTGGACCTAGAACTGTATCGTGTGGTGGTTTACACTGCGGAGAGATTGATTAGTATAGTGATTGTTCGCGATCGCCTTCTTGACAAATTCGAAGGATTTCTGGCACTCTTCTGTCCATTTCCAAGGCTTCTCTGACCACGTTGTACGAATTGTTTTGGCAGATCCTGTAGATTCTCCCTCGGAACTATCTTCTTGTTCCTCACTCTCTTGGTGAGGTCGCCGTCACATTGCTCCAAATCTGGGGAAGGTCCTTTGGTTTTGAATAGTTTCGTCCTGGGTTGGATGAGATCCGCGACGGGTTCCGAATGGGACTTGAGCTCAATGTGTTGGGACCATTTTGAACTGGTTCAACACGAGGCGATTTGCGCTACTTATGCTCGACCGAGGGGACGGATGCGGTTTCATGTCTTATGGTTCTTTCTCGCTGGGAAGACTCAACTTTGTTCCTCCGTTCGAGATCATCCAATCGGGCCTTGATCCGATTAAATTCCTCAACTGCTATACCTCTTGGGGGTACCAATGATTGATCAAACGAAGGGTATAGCAGCTGGCTAGAGGTTAGTCCCCCCTTGGGTGGTGCTGACTGCTGAGAGTATCTGACATTGTTCGAATCGTGCTGGCTCGAATATCGCAAGACCGACTTGATTCTACTTGCATGATTAGAAATTGTCCTTGTTGCTGGGCTATCAGAAACCGTTCTACCTACTCTCCTATAAATATGGCTAGTTGTTGGGATAGAGCCTGAGGACCGGTTCGTGAGGATAGAGAAACGGGTGGGCGCTGCCGGCTCCTTGTATCGGGTTGGGCATCATCATATAGGCTCTTGCCACTTTGTCCCCCGTTGCTCGGGTATTGAGGAGACATCTCATTAGGATTGCGATTCAAGATCGAAGAGTCGAAAGCGAGCCTATTGCCGGGGTCCCATGCTTGTGTGTTCTTCTTCGTCGGATGAGGGTAAGAGTCGTCATCCTCCATGCTGAGGGTGGCTCCTAGACTAGTAGTACACGGAGAGATTGCTTCAGAATATAGGCTCGGGGCTGCGATGTGGGGTTGGCAGCTGATGAAGCGCTGTCTTTTCGAGTCTTCGACGGAGATGATGGATTTGGTGATTGTCTGCGCTTGGGAGCCATTTTGTGATGCGAAGTGGAGAATAGCCAGTGTTGGTGGTGGGAGGGGAGGTGCGATAAAAGCTTGTTCTTTAGGTTTAGTTGACAGTGATGCAATTATCCTACCCAGGAGTCACTTCTCAAAGTGCGTACGTACATCATACCTATCATAATTATCACCAATATGGAGTGTCACTATGTTATGATCGCACAAAGTGAATCAAATGTAAGCTAATAGTGAGCCGAAAGTAAATCAGATGTGAGGCAATAGTGAGCGGAAACCGAGAGATATGAGGGCTATCCGTGCGAGATATCAGGTTTACCAGGGCTAGCTTTTACCTACATATGTAGGCACGGACACTATGATGGTAAAGGAGTATGAAAAGAAGCAATACCAGTGGAAGATGACAAAGTCAACTGAAAAGTCTCACAATTCACCATGGTGAACTCCATGGTATGCTTCCCGCGGTGCTAATCGTACATGCTTGGAACGCCCGCTGGTAATCATACAAAAGAACAAAAAACAAAAATAAAAACAAGAAAAGAAACCGAATATCGATAATAATTGCCCGGCGTAAGCCGGGCAAGAAGCCACATCATTTTGCCCTCACTGGGGCCTCATATGCCCCGGCGACGGCGGCGCTTGTTGGTCAGTGCGGAGGACGGCGCACGTGAGAGGGCCGGGGAGGAAGGGGACTGCACGGCGAGGCCTTTCTTGGAAACAGAAGCTCCAGCCCCGGAGGCCTCAGTCTTGGGCGCCGGCTTCAAGGTCAACCGGAGCCGCTGCACCTTAGGTTTGTCACCTTCAGTGGCAGCGGGGGCAACAGCGCCAGCCGGGCCCGAAGACTGGACCTGGGTCGCAGTGGTCTGGGGAGAGGTAGGAGAGGTTAGAGAGGTAGGGGAGGGGACAGTGGGAGCAGGAGCGGTCTGGCGACGGCGACGCTGTGACTTGCGTCCGCCGGTCTCCGCAGTAGTAGTAGTGGTGGGGACGGCTGCAGCGGGCTCATCGGCGGCATCGGCGGCATCGGCGGCTGCCGTCTGTCGGCGCTTGCGAGCACGGGGCTTCTTGGTCGCAGGGGCTGGCACAGGGGCCCTAGCCAGAGCCCTGGCCTTCTCCTCCTCCACGTTCTCGGTGACGAACGGGACCGTTGCCTCGAATGGGAGATTACGGCCTCCCATGAGTGGAGCGAAGCTGTGAGCAGCATCGGCCTCGGCTTGCTGGCTGGTTCTAGCGCGCACCGGGGGGAAAGGAAGACCCTCGTAGCCGTAAGTATGAGATGGATAGTAGGGGTGACATTTCTCGGGAATCAGAGCGACCTCTTCGCCGCTGGAGTTGACGTAGCCAGTCTGAATCCAGCCATCGCTGCTGACTTTGGTGTCAGACTGCTTTTTGTAGCTCAAAATGCCTGAGCCGTTGGTGATTCCGTTGTTGGCTTCGTTGGCGACTTCGTTGGTAATTCCGTTGGTGACTGCGGCGGGAGGAGTAGGTGGAGTAGGATCGGTGGGTGTGGAAGGAGAAGGGGCGATAATAGGTGCTGGGAGGTCTTGGTCGATCATCTCGACATCCATATCAACATCAGTCGGCGGGGTGGCCTTGGTGGCGGGCATGTCGACGCCATATTTCTCTTCGTCTTGGCGACGAAAGTATTCACTTCGCCGCTGCTCCAAGAACACGGCAAAATTGAAAGGAACAGTAAATTCAGGGCTTAGGGCCTGAATAGTCAAGTCATACAGCTTCTGGCCAGCCACCTTCGCGTCAATATCGAAACCGATCAAGACAGCATTCTTCCGCATGTTCAAGTTGCTCATTCTCTTTGACTTTCTGGTTCTTTTCATTGGTTGCTTCGAGACATTGTCCTTCGCAACCTTGGTTGCCACGGGGGCAGCAGGGGCAGCAGGGGCAGGAGGGGCAGGAGTTTCCACGGTCGGGCTGGATACTGTCATGTTCTTGCGGCGAAGTTTCTTCTTCGTTGATTCAAAAGATTCAAGGGCCCTCATGGTGGGCTTGCGAACTCGGGATGAGTTCCGCATGTCGGAGGCACTGGTAGGACTCGAGGGACCTTCGGCTGTTCCTTCGGATTCGAAACTGCCCATGTACTGGTCAAATGTCCAGCTGGCGCTACCAGTGCTTTCTGGGAAGTCAATATCTGATACTTCTTTCTTGGGTGTTTCAAGTGCAGCTGTCCTTCTTGTCCGCCGACTACCTGGGTTGGTGGCCGGGGCTTCTAGGGCTGGAGTGTAAACGGTTGAAAGACGTGACGGACGAGACTGGAAGGCCCGCCGACGTGAAGATGGTGTTTCGGGAGACGTTCCACGTGAACTAGGACTTGAAACAGTTTTTGAGACAGTTGGATTACTTGGGACAGGTGGATTCGGAGTGTAAAAACGAATGTTGATAGGGCTGTCTTTGGGAGAGGCGGATGTATGGTTCAACGTTTTGGCGGGTTGAACGTTTTCATTTGTAGCTTTTGACCGGGCAGGTACTCGGGGCGAGCGCCGAGAAGGTGTCAATGTAGGCGCTTTACTGATGCGCGCAGGCATCGACTTACGCTGGCCCTTCTTGGGAGGCATCGTGAATTAAAGCTAAATGGCCCGGAATTTGTCAGTATAATCTATTCATGCAAATTCAACGGGCGGTAACAGAGCGACTGAGCTGTACAAATGGAAGACTAGATAATACCTCCGATAACAGGCAACTAGGGTGTGGGAATAGGAATATATGGGGTTTATCAGGTGAGGAGCTGGGTCGACGTCAGAAGACCGCAGTGCACGGAAGGGGAGATGTTGGGAATTAGGGCCCGACGTATAGGCGCAGCACTCACGGAATCAGACGCACGACCATCCGCAGTTATTTTCTAAGGGGTTCATAAACAAGCTCGTAAGGACTAGGCGGATGTTGGAGTTGTATTTGCGGCAGACGAGGCGAAACAAAGTGACGGAAGATGTTGAGGTCAAGCAGAAAAGAAATTAGGGCTACGGTTGATCGGCGCTTATCGGCTTCACTTGTCCGCCTTATTCTGCAACTCCCCCATCCTCCATCTCTCCGAGCTCTCTACAGCTATTTTCTGTCATTTCTGCTTTCTTTTAGTTATTCTTTTCACAATGCATCTGTGGCAGGCCACCATTCCATTTTGCCTATTGGCGGCGGCTGCCCTGCCTGGCGCCGCCGCCACAGCTTGGGGCTTTGCTGATGCCACCGTGGCCGTTCAACCAAAAGGTGCTGGTGTCAATGGAGGTTTCAAGGAACAGTATGCATTTCGACTCAAATAGAGATAATTGGGACTAATCAACGTATTCAAAATAGACTTGTTGCATCCAAGGCGCTCTCCAAGCCCATCTCCCTTTTCGGTGCCGATACCCTACGCGTCACCTTGACAGCTCAAGAAGATAGCTCTCCAAAGCGGCCAGACCAGGCTTTCCTTTTGCTTAAGGATGCCCAGACTGGATTGGATATCTCTTATCTTTTCAATGTCAAGGATAATGGCAAGTCAAGAGTCGAATTGGTACGCAATCCCTGAAACGACTTTCCGCGGCGCCACTAACGCAGCCCCTCCAGAGCCAGAAAGACCTGCCGATTCAATTCCTTTCCCTGTCCGGTCCAGTTGATGCCCGTATTGTCATTGGTGGGTTTGGAAGCTCCGATGCCTACGACAGCTCTGTGTTCAAGTTGTCGATTGACCGCAACCCCGAAGAGGCCGTGCCGACCGTTAAAACTGAGCGATATGGCAAGAAGCCCGAGATCCACCATATCTTTAAGGATTCTGCGTCTAGCCCGCCAATTGTCATCACCTTGGCATTTGTCGCTATGGTCGGCGCTGCTATTCCCGCTCTTGCTGGCTTGGTAAGTCAATTTCATTACTGTGTCGACGACGTTGCTTATAGATTGTCTCTAGTGGCTCTTCCTCGGCGCCAACATCAACCATCTACCCTCCGCATTCAAGTCTGCCCCTCTCTCGCACGCCGTCTTCCTCGGATCGTTGACCGCATTTGAGGGGATCTTCTTCCTCTACTATACCTCGTGGAACTTGTTCCAGATCCTCCCCGCAATGGCTGTCGTCGGTGCGATCGCATTTGTCAGTGGTAGCCGTGCGCTGGGCGAAGTACAAGGTCGGCGCCTTGCTGGTCTCCGGTAAAATCCCGGAACATACGTAAATTTATCTGCCGTGGTCCTGGCTGTCATCTCACGGTGCTCCCAAACTGCCGTGTGGTCTTAGGTTCCGGTGGTATTGTATCTTAGCTGCAGTGGTACCCAGTATGTTGCAAAGTAACAGCTTTTCCACTGGAATTTCACGAAAGTCTCACATCTTCAAATGAGGTCATCTCTACAAATTGTCTGTAATACGTGCTGAGTGAGTTGGAGCTCCCAGATAAGCAGCCGAGCTAACATATGCTCCTCGTCAAGCACGCTTTAACACTACGTGACATTTTTAGATATATTGGGCTAGTATATGTTTCCCAACTTTGCCCACTCCTGAGAGCTGTTTGTTGACTACATGTGTATGTACTTTTTGACGTCACAATGTAGGGCAGCGGGACAAACACTAGATACCTTACCGCTTTCTTTACCGCCTAAAATGTATATGCAATCCTGCCTCAGAGATTAGGACATTTTGTATGCAAAGGGGGCTTATATAGTATCCTTGGGAATTTCTATCATCTTTTGTTCTTTTGACACTTTACAAATTAGAACATATGGCTCGTATACTCGGGTGTGTAGATCGGCCTAAAAGTCTTGCTTGGCTGTTCTGCTGGCAAAATACAGACCTGAGGCCGTAATGCCAAGGCGACTTGGGACCTCCGCTCAAAGCTCCGCACAAAGCTGCAAAGCTGCAACGCCTTACACAACACTTCTGATTTTGCAGCTCATCTTTCTCAATGGGTTCTGCCGCTTCAAAACCCGCCAAGTCAGCGGCTGGTGCAGCTGCACGGCGCCAATACCCCAAGCAGCCGACTCCTCCACCGAGGGCGGCGCCGCGCAAAGCTCCGAAAGAAACCAAAGCAGCGTCTGCACCCACGCCTACTCCCGCACCCAAGCCCAAGGCTAGTCCCTCGCCTCCCCGAGCACCTGCGCCTCCCTCTCAGGGTCCAACGTACCACTCAAAGGAGAAAGCATCCGGCGTAAAGTCTGATGGTACGTACACTCGCCAGCGATTCTTCGAAGCATTTTCCATGCGACAAATGCAAGACCAGCAGGGAAACAATAACTAATGACGATATAGCAATTGACATGGACGGTCGAGATCCCGACTTCGCCGCCTCCCTCCGGTCAATAGGCCCTGTCGATCCATCACCTACATTCTCAAACTCAAGCACTTTCAACCGCCCCGGCTCAATGCAAACTGTCTTTCCACAAGCCTCAAACCCGGCATTACTAGTTGTGACTGCTCGACAGCGTCTCACAGAAGCTGCGGACAGAGAAGCTGAGCACTTCGGTCATGCGGGTCATCCGGGGAGATCATTCCTGGATGCCCTGACTATCCAACAAGTGCTGACGATGCGGGATAAGCAGGGTATGTGCCGTGGAGATATCGAACGGTTCCTCGGGTTGAAGAAGGGGGTCTTGGAGCGGTTAGGGAAGGATGAGATTGTATCGCGTATTACATGATCTTCGTCTAGGTAAGCTCTTTGTTGTTTAGCGGCTTTTCCCCCAAGATATCATTCGGTGTGTTTGGTGCATGTTGGATTATTTGTTGGCGTCATTCTGGTCTTGTGCACACTTTGTATAGTAACTTTGTTCAGCCATCCCTACTCATGATAATATCAAATTCTTTAGTTAGAGTCGCTATAAATTTCTCCTTTGATTTGGCCTTTTCAAGCGTTGGCTCAAAAGACACATAATTACAAACTATCTGAGGGACCTCGGGACTTGAAAAGAAAAATACATGAACATACAAGTAAATAAATAAAAAGAATTTCCAACAATTGCTTCGATGATTCTCGAGCGCTAGACCACAGCGCTCATAATTTACCATAAATCATTCAGCTACCGAAAATCGTTACCTCGGATGTAGTCTAAACCAGTAAGGGAGTGCTAGGGAAGCCATTTCCTGAAGTCTGAAGTCGGCCATAAGCTCGTCACGATAAGTTAAGGTAACTCCGTTATCACCGGCCATTGGCCAAGTCGACTCCCTAAAATGTGAGGCTCCTCCGGTTTTGACGGGAAGGTGATCGCCTAGTGAAGTCCCCTGGGACTGCTGATTGGCTTTTTGGAGGGAGTCCGCCGTCAACTGTTGTTTCCAATCGAAATTTCGCGGTTATTATCGATTTTCTAGGCCAATCCAAACTGAATAGCAAAGACCGGTGCCCAACATGGATAAATGGTACGTGGGCTAGATAATTCCAACAGAAAGTTGCGACTCTCGATAGAATTATATCTACGACTGACAGAAACAGTAAAGATTTTGAGTTTGGAATCTTAAGTTGATAAAAGTGGGCCCTGGAGTTATCTTTCGGCACCGACTACCAATCACACGACACAGAGACACGATGACAGTCCTGCCCAGATAGAGGATGAAGTGGGATGCGATCTAAATCACGCCCTATATGACAGATAGTGATGAACTCCGACATACTTATAATGTCTTACTTTCTCTTTTCTACGTACTCTGAAAGTGATTGAACATATTTCCCCCAGCCCTTTCCCTTGAAAGTCACGGCTACAATGTATCTTCGCGCCGTCCACGCCGAGGGACAACTCCCCGTCCTCCAGCAGTTCGTCCGCGATAACCCACTCGGCATCCTGACAACGGCGATCAAATCCCCGATCTACTCATTCATTCAATCAAGCCACATCCCCTTCGTCCTCGACGTACCTCCCTCGACCGAGAGCGATGACACGACCCCGCCCGGCATCCTGCGCGGCCACATGGCCAAGCAGAACCCACAAGCAAAGGCGCTGATGGAAGCCCTCGCCGAGCAAAACGCAGCAGGGAATAACAAGCTCGAGCTCACGGATGAAGTCCTTATCCTCTTCAACGGCCCGCACCACCACTACGTGACGCCCAAATTCTACACAGAAACCAAACCGGCATCCGGCAAGGTCGTCCCGACGTGGAACTACTCCGCTGTGCAGGCGTACGGCAAGATCAGTGTGTACTGCAATTCCAAGGCAGAGGAAACGGGTGCATATTTGCAGAAACAGATTCAAGATCTATCGCAGCAGTCTGAGACGGGCATTATGGGATACACTGGGGGTGATAAGAAGAGCCCATGGAATGTCTCTGATGCACCGGTCAATTATGTGGAGCTTTTGAAGAAGAATATTATTGGCATCGAGATTCGGATTGAGCGGTTGCAGGGGAAGTTTAAGATGAGTCAGGAAATGGGCGAGGGGGATCGGGAGGGGGTTGTGCAGGGGTTTGAAGAGCTTGGGTCGGAGGTTGGGAAGGGCATTGCTGATTGTGTCAAGGAGCGCGCTGCCTTGAAGGATCAGCAGAAGTCGGCGTAATTAGATTTATTCCAAGGTTACAAGATTTGTACATAATCCGGTTGCCCTTGCACATATACCTGAGGTGATGCGATTATGAGGGATGAGAAATGCATGGACGAGATGGATTGAACTTGACGGAAATTGTATTTGAAGAAAAATGCATAGATGATATAGAACCTTTCCGGGAATGTTGTCGAAGCTTTCATTTGCACTTTTTAGACTAGCACAGTTTTGGATCCGTAGGTAGATACGTTTCACTTTTAGCTTTTTAATGACTCTATCATTCGACCCTGTCTTAGCGTCTAAACACAGTGTTATTTTGATTCGTAAAGTGGGCCAAATGTCGACACTAAAATCAATACGACGTACTCGGATCCTGCAAGCCGAATGAGAAGATCACACATGTCAAGATCAACATCCGAGTCGCCATATTAAAGATACAGGTGTGACGTACAGGTTTCCTGCAAGTCTCCAACAAGTCTCCTGCAAGGTCTACCGCCAAGCATATTTAGGTAAAGGCCTGTGCACAGAGTCTCCAACCACATCCCTGGATTATCCTGGCCGAATACGTGTATATTGGACATATGAATATTGTAGATGTATTGCAACGACAAAGTGCGATTGTTCTATCTACTGGTACTCTCCACAGTTAGATCACGGAGACACGGGATCTCCGAGATACTAGGATCATCGTATATAATAATAGAAGGGGGCAATGTACATCAGTGGAAGTGGGGGCGAAACGGGAAATCGGCGCGAATCTTGACTTTTCCCCGGATTTTATGCACAAATGCCCTAGTAAACAGCCATGTTTCCCCTTTTCATAAGAGGGTAACATCGGAAGCTTACAACCTTCCGAGATTGGGACGAGCTCGGGACCTCGGGAGGTCTGAGGTGGTCCATGGTTCGATTCGATTGGACCAATTTAGGGAATATGTTATTGTATTGTATTGTACTGTATTATTACCTAAGGTAGCATCCGGTTTCACCGAAGGAGCGAATCATTTTGGAATAGTTCGATGCAGGGTCCACCTAGTGGCTGCACAAACTTGGACAAATATGGGACAGAACAACCCATATAGGGTCGATGTCTCTCATCAGGCCCACTTGGGCAATTCGCGAAAGTGTTAGAGGTTGAGATGATGGTGTTTTAATAAGGGAAAAGTGGTTCCGGCGACGTAATGTAGAAAACCGAAGAAGAAAAAGAAAAAGAGAAGAGAAACCAAGCATGTGGAGTAGTTTAGAGCCTCCTAGCTTAGTCGCGTGCACAATTTCCTATCGCCTAATTGGCCTTGTTTTCTGTTATTTCGTGATATCTAAGAATAACCCTTGGACCCTTTTCCATCTTCCCTTTCCTCCCCTCTCTCCTCTCTTCGTTGCTGTTGCCTTGTCTCTCGTTTACCATTGACATTCCTAAATTCCAACCTCCACGTCCACCTCCCTTACCAATTGCCCGATTCTACTGTACAAATGAAATGATTTCAACATGTCGGTCTTCGCCCTCTTACCACCTTTGCCGCCCTTCCTTTTCTCCACACTCGTCGTGAGCGGCCTCGCCTCCAAGGCTTTGCATATTGCACTACATATTCGGTCTTTACCGTTCCTCTACTTTGTCCTCTATTCACCCACCCTCATTTTACGAGATGTGTTGGTTATCATATTCGTACGGGTCTTGTTACGCTTCCATGCGCCAGATAGTCGATGGCAATGGCTCTCGACTGGGTTGGGAGGGGCACTATCGTATGTTTACCCCGAATGCCGAAATGGAGCACAAGGAGAAATTTGCGCAATATAATCTAACACTATTACTAGCATGATCACCTGGGGTGCTTCCTCCATTCAGTTCGGATTCTTTATGCAGACCGGTGCCGAGGTCGCCTGGGCAGCTGGCGGTAGCTTCCTGAGCGATCCGGCAGCCATGAAAATTCTTCTCAGCGGTATATCGACTGTATCCGCTGCCGCCACCGTCCTGGGACTGATTGCGTGGATGCTTCATTCGCATTTGTACAACATCACTGGTCTTGGCTTGCAGGCGATCCGAGACCTATGCGTAGGGGGATACAAAGCCCGTTATACATTAATTTCCGTCCCCAGCAAATCATGCATGGCTTCGATAGACCTCCGGGCCTTCCGCCGCATTATTCCCGCAGTCGCCATCTGTGTGTCACTCATTTTCTTGGAACTAACTAGACCCGCTATACCATATGACCATCTATCCGGAGCTCTGCCGCTGACATTGCTCGATGCGTTCCAGAAAAAGACGGCGACAGTGGAGGGATGTCGCGAGCCCGCTACGCCATTCCCTTTGTTGATCACAGATGATAATGGGATCTCCCGTCCTCAGTTCCAACCAGACTCGACGTTCGTGGAACAATGGGCACGAGCTACATGGCTCCCCGAAAACCCACCCCCAGGATTCAGCCGCTGGGATCTCAGCCCAAGCGATCGCGCAGAGAAGGACAATCATTATTCTTTCGTCTGTGCCGGTGACGAGGGCGCGTTCTACAATCCGAAGAATGACCCTCTGATGATCACGAATCTAGGCGGTGAAATCTATGAGCCCCTACAAAAGGCTTTCGAAGAGCACTCCGTTGAGGTCAACCATGTAGTGCTATTAACGCTCGAAAGTGGCCGCAAGGAACTTTTCCCCACACAACAGGGCACCCCCTTGTTCGACGGTCTTCTCGCGTCTCATAAGAAGGAGAACATCAACGAGGCAATCGATCGTCTGGTCAACATGACCCCGGTCGCTCAACAGCTGACCGGTGAGTACGCAACCGATAGCAAGGGGAACAAGCTCGATCTGAGCCACTCTTCGTGGCAGACCCCGCCACAAGAAGGTATGGGTGGACTTAATGTCCGTGGTGCTGTGACGGGTAGCTCCTTGACTTTGAAGAGTGTCTTGGGAAGTCACTGTGGCGTGAACCCTTTGCCAGTGGATCTTTTGGAGGAGTCTAGGCTCGAAATTTATCAGCCGTGCTTGCCACAGATTTTGGATCTGTTCAATCAAGGCAAACAGCAGTCGGGGAAGCACCCCCATAACTCTTCTTCTGAGAGCAAATCTGCGGCTCTCGAGAACCCCTGGAAGTCTGTATTCATGCAGTCAATTACCGATGACTATGACCGTCAGGATGTGTTGAACAGAAACATGGGTTTTAAGCACAAGGTCGTTAAGAGCAATCTGGAATCCCCCCACGCGGAACACAAAGCTCAGGGCGAAGAGATCAACTACTTCGGATATGCGGAGACTGAGATCCGACCATACGTGTTGGACCTCTTCGAGGAGGCTGCAAACAACAAGACCCGCATGTTTTTTTCACATGTCACCAGCACAACCCACCACCCTTGGAGCACGCCAGACGACTTTGAGAAAGAACCGTACATGAGCGACCAGGGGAACGTCAACCACGACCTGATGAACAACTACCTGAATGCCGCCCGGTTCGTCGACATCTGGCTGGGCGAAATATTAAACATGTTGGACCAAACAGGTATCGCGAACGAGACTCTAGTCGTTGTCGTCGGAGACCATGGGCAAGCCTTCGGCGAAGATAATAAGGATATGACCGGCACGTATGAGAATGGCCACATCAGCAACTTCCGCGTGCCCTTGGTTTTCCACCACCCGCATATGCCTCGGGTTGACATTACTGCCAATGCAACCGCCCTCTCCATCGTCCCCACCATCCTGGATCTTCTCGTCCAGTCCAACTCGCTGGACGAGCGCGACTCCGAGATCGCCTCTTCCCTCCTTCCGGAGTATCAAGGCCAGTCTCTCATTCGTCCTTTCCTATCTTCCATGGAGGAACCATCCCACCGCCGTGACCTCCACCATCCTCCACCAGATGAGCAGCCAGTGCACGAGCGAAAAGACACCCAGCTCGAAGCCCGGTCCCACACAGAGAGCCCAGCCAAGCGTATCGTTTGGAACATGGGATTGATCAACGCTGGTGGCTCGATGCTCTCCGTCATGGCAGCGGATATTCCCTACCGTCTCATCCTTCCCCTGAAGGATGGCTTCGAGTATACATTTACCCACCTCGGTGAAGACCCTGGTGAAACCCACCTCACCAAGGCATGGACTCTTAAGGCCCTCATCGAAGAGGTTAGGCCTAAATTTGGTAAAGAGTCCGTTGATTGGCTCAAGGATGCTGAGCTAGTTGGCAAGTGGTGGGTGAGTGAACAAAAACGCATTTGGGGTTACCGTGAAGCCTAGTCGCACGCTAGCTCCGCGAACCATCAAAGGCAAATCAAACAAAAAAGCCAAAGATAAAACGGACCGTGGTGATTGTTCTGTTTACTTTGCATTGCATTGTATTTCTTCCCTCTTCTTCTGGCTCTGTGCCACTTTTGCATCTCATGATATCTCCTACATTTGTCTTGGAACCGGCGTTAGCACGGAGTTATTTGGTTTTCGCCTATTTATGCGTAAATACTCGAGCTTCCTCATTTTCTTGAAGATATTTCCACCACTGTGGCTGGACAACCCTTTCTCTTTCATACTTCTCATGAACCTGCATAGGATAGGATACCTCATGCTTTTCCTTTTCTTTTCTATCCCTTGATGTTACGCAGGCCTGGATTTCGGCAATTGTACTTGTATGGAGACGGAAGAGAACAAAACGTTGTACATAGCACCGAAGGACCCTTCGGTATCTTGGGGCGACCATCTTGTTCATGCACAATACGGTGCATCAAATGGTTGAGGATTCGCCAGGTATTTTACCTTATATGTATAATCTAATCAATTCGACTTCGTTTCTGTTTCCTGTGCGACTGGATCTGATGTTCTGATTTACTTTCCCCACTTGATTACGATCATCGCGATCTACCTTGAACGGATGCAGATGCCTATCCTTACCCTAGGCTTAACCTACGGATCGACAGGCCCGCTTGATCCACTGAGTTTCTTTTTGGTACGATGTTCACATGGCATTGTATGGGCGAGACTTGGCGGTACCTAGGATTATGACCCTCGGACATGACCCTGGAGTGCTAAGATTAAGCTTGTTTTCGATTTGCTGTTTCCAAGGTTTGAACGTTGTTAATCTAACGGCGTACCATATATTTTAGTACTTGAATCGTTAGGCTGTTGTCTCCATCCTCTACTGATTCTCGAGCAGCCTCATTTCCAACTACATTTATGTATAAATGATCAGATGCGTTCGAAATCGTATCTGAATGATAAAGAAACAAGCTATATACTCCCGAGGTCCGTAGCCTGTAGTAGTGACTTATATATAGTAATAAGTCTTTGTATACCGATTCTGAAAGACGTAAATACAGCAAGAATTAAAAAGCGAAAGAAGAGGGGAAAAGAAATGCAGTGAGTGCGACACAATGCTACACAGATGATTTTATAATACTACATAGGAAGGTAGAGAATGCCTACCGAAGTCCTTGTACTTGGCCTCAAGAGAAAAAGACGACGGCGGCAATTAAGAAAGCCCGAACTGATGAGATTTCCGTTATCCAACCACTTTCTCACCGACAACATTGACCCGTGCATATCCCACGAACATTCGTGTGAGTTGGGGAACCACCGAGCCACTCGGGACAGGTCCGAGAAGTGCACGACAGGGGGAGAGGAAGAACAGGCCAGACTAAATTCTGACAAACAAAAGAAAAAAAGAATGCACGGATCATTCACAGACCATTCACAGATCTATTTCCTTTTCTTTCTGCAGTTCCTACCGGGAATCCAGAGTGTGGGGGTTTCGTCAGTAAGACCCCTTTCGGGTACGAATAAGCCATCGGAGATGCGAATCTTGGAAGTATGCGGAGTACACATCGGTACGGTAGAATCGAGACGAAATCCAGGCAATTTCTCTAGAGAAATATCACGAGAGCAAAAGGAAAAGTGGAAACCTCGGAATTTCCCAATTAAGTAAGGAGCTTGGGAATGGAAGATTCTGATGGTCACAAGGTGTGTGTTGTGGCTTATAATGAATATCAGTGCAGGTCTATAGTCAGATAAGCTATATGGGCTTAGTCCTATTTGAGTGTCAGCACGGAATCTGGACTCTTTTGGATTTTCAATGTTTGAGTCCTAATTTTAGCTTTCTGTACTTCCCCCGCATGAGGGAATTGGGAATCCGGAGTACCCAGATCTAGCTATTCGGTTTTGAACACGTTGTGCTTTGTTTTTCACTGATTTATATCCTAATATTATGTATGAGATCATATATTCTAAATCTTCGAGCTTTTCAAAAAAAAATCTTCAGACCTTAGTACACGAATTGACCAATGAATTTCTCTTCGCCCGGGCCGCCACCTTGGAGCCGGGGCGATCGGACAGGAACAGATATCACGGGCCATATGTACGAATTTGATTGGTAAGGATTCAGTCATTGATCTGCAAAGAACCACATGACCCCAGATAGTATTTTGAGGCTTGGAAGATTTCTAGAAGACCGGGCTCGAGGCTCGGCAGTTTGTGCATGTACACGTAGTGCTCTCAAGGGGTCGTGGTGGTCACCTGGATAGATGTATTTTTCACAAAAGAAATAAAGAAAAGTAACGTTGAGGGTCAAAAAATTAGAGTGGCGTTGGGGTTCCCCGGGTTCCCAGTCCCCAGACGGCTTTCCCGAACGAGAAATCCGGCCATCCCTTAAGTTCCGAACTGCCAATCGTCGATGAGACTATCGTGGATTTTATCATGTCTGGTGACGGTATTCCTGTTAGATGAGCTATCCCTGAATTCATAGTCATTCACTCGATATTATTGAGAAGTGGGATGAGGCAAATCTAAACAAGGAAGAAAACACAAATATCAAGTTTCTTTACGTGACAGATCAATTGATACATTATCCTAGTACTATACTACCGTACATAGATAATTATTGTATGTACTAATCTTGTTTGTAGGGTTGCGTATGCCCTCGCCACAGCCGTTTAGCCTGCATTCCAGGAGTCTGGACTCGATTCGCTCTGCAGTACCCTTGGTCCAAGTCTGGATTTCCTTTTTGGGCCGTTTTTTAGTTTCTTCCTGCTCACGAGACACCTCTGGGGCGCTTTGGTATTGGTTCGGCCTGACTTTGTCGGTCAAAAAGATATGTATTTAAAGAGAGTTGATTCTCCGGTCCATGGTTCCTCAACTGAAACGTCTTCATTCTTCTTTATCTGTATACAATCGGCTTAATAGTCTTTGACGTCTTAATTAATATTCTTTCTATCGTCACCACCCTCGCCTAATATCAGTACATATATCGCAATGTCTGTCGCCATCGAAACCACTACTGCTCCCACTGCTCCTATGACCGCCCAGCCCGTCGTGATGGGCCAAAAGTCCAGAATGCCCGAGTTCAGTCTCGCTGGAAAGGTGGTGTTGGTCTCAGGTGCTGCCCGGGGTCTAGGATTGACCCAGGCAGAGGCACTCCTAGAAGCCGGAGCGAAGGTATACGCACTCGACCGCCTGGAAGAGCCGGTAAGTTTCTACATTCCTCGGACGTGGTTCATATAGCCACCAGGTCCATCTGTCTCTATGTCAGCACTAAACTAACAATCACTCGATCTCCAGGCGCCCGAGTTCGAGCAGATCCAGCAACGTGCAAGGGAGCTTGGCACGGAGTTGCACTACCGTCGTATTGATGTGCGTGACACAGAACTTCTGAACAGTGTGATCGAGACCATTGCCAATGAAGAGGGCCGTATGGATGGTCTCGTTGCCGCGGCAGGTATCCAGCAGGAGACCCCAGCGCTCGAGTACTCAGCCAAGGACAGCAATACCATGTTCGAGGTCAACGTCACGGGAGTGTTCATGACCTCCCAGGCTGTGGCTAAGCAAATGATTCGCTTTGGAAATGGAGGTAGTATCGCTATGATCGCCTCTATGAGCGGTACCATTGCCAATCGCGTACGTTCCCACTCCCCTCCTTTCGTCTTACCCTTTACCATTGCTGCCCCATTTGGCATTTGTGTTGTCGGTATAGGCCTAGTGTCCACCTGCCCAGACTTTCTTTATTTCTTTTTATGGATTATTTCTCCGCTTTTATGTCACGTCCCGTTCCTCTATTTGGCCTTCAACGATCTAACATATTTTCCCTATAGGGCCTTATTTGCCCCGCATATAACGCTAGCAAGGCTGCTGTAATCCAGCTCGCCCGCAACCTCGCCGCTGAATGGGGCACCTACAACATCCGCGTCAACACCATCTCCCCTGGCTATATTGTCACCGCTATGGTTGAGAAGCTGTTCATCGAGTTCCCCGAACGCCGGGACCAGTGGCCCAAAGAGAACATGCTTGGCCGTCTCTCCCGACCGGAAGAGTACCGCGGCGCCGCTGTCTTCTTGGTTAGCGATGCTAGTAGCTTCATGACTGGAAGCGACCTGCGCATGGATGGTGGCCACGCCGCATGGTAGATTGAGTCCGGCTGAGATTCGATTTTGGCTTTTCAATCACTGCGCGTGACCTTCTTTTTTTGGTCTCTCATTGCATGGCGTTCTGCGTCTTCTTTTTGGTTATTGGGTGGGAATAGCGCAGCGTGGGCTTCGATTTTTTGGGAATTTGATTTTGATCATTGCCCTTTGTTGGATAGCGATAATTGGCTTGGTGGATTTTGGATCCTATGATGACGTTAGAATACAGAGCGGTGGCTCGAATAATAGTTATTATAATTGTTTCAAGCGTTTTATCTTCATTCTAGAGTTTAGCTGCATGTAAATCTTGACCCACTTTAAGTTAGGCCGGCATTCGAATCTCATCGTACAATGACATATCCACTGTCATCCGTAGCCTTGTGTATATTCTATCCTTGAGAGCTGTTTCTCAACCGGCACGAAGAACCCGAATCACAACACATCCCCCTCACCGACGAAATAACCGCGTACAGCCATCCAGTCGGAATGTACCACATACTCAAACCACCAGAAATCACCACCTGACCTCTCAACAAGGCTGATCAACAAACTTAAGGTTTAATTCAAAGCAGATTGAATGCTGGGGATACACATATTGAAAAAGGATCTCGTCGCTAAATCTAGTAACCTGCAGACCGCGTGATAGGCACGTGGCCGTTGTAATCGTCATCAGTGTAGTGCAAAATAAATCCAGATGTCATTCTGAGGTCTTTTCAGCCGCCAAGGACCATGGAACCCAAACCGGGAATGACACCGAATCTGGGGAAGACGTGGGGTACTGGGACCAATCAGAGTTGGTCGAGGAATACTGACTGTTTGGGGTGAATGTAGTATGTTCGCTTACTGGTGGGATGCCTTAATTACCTGTTGGGCACCCAAACACTCCAAATTTATCCTTGTGTACTTACATCAGGTAGTCAGTTGAGCTGGCACGAGTTCGTCTTCTGGGAGCCATCGATGGAATCGCTGAGAGTTGGTGCCCTGATTATTTTGTCTAATGACGACAGCGGTGAGTAGTCTCCAAGGTGATTGCTTGGCCAAGTACTCGCATAGCAGAAGAAATGGTTTTATGGTTAGATACTGTGTAGATATGCTGTTGAACTCTACCAAGACTACATACTATAGGTCAAGGCAGCTGAGAAGATGAGGACACTCTATGACCTAAGACAGTTGCCATCTCGGCTTGGCATTCCAGGTTTGTTCTTCGACGTTTCTTTGCTTGAATATAAGATATCTCATTGGTCGCTTGGGATAACATGCGTAGTCCTGTTGCCACTTGCAGGGTTCTCTGCCATCCCCTGCAAGGAACTTGGCCATACTTCATACCACATGCAAGGAATCCGACCTGATAGGGCCAACTGTATTTTCCTGTTTCCGAAGACCATGGCAGGGGAAATGATAATTTCTGTGGTCACCATAATCCTTTTTGAGTTCAGTCCGAAGGAAAATCCTACATCACTTATACCGGTAGGTCATGTACCACCCAGAGGTGCAATTTCTCGCGGGGCCTTGCTTGCAAGGTCGCAGCGTGTAGGTCTCAGGGTGGTTTATATCTGATATTTACTGCAAGACCCCAAAGCACTATTCGCCCTGCGACCCTGCGACCTCCAAATCCCTAGTATTATAAACATGGTAGTGACTTCTTTAGTATAATCTGTTGCATACTAAAAGATTCACTAACTAACTATACGACTTTCATCGTGCAATGCTACGCCTCAGCTTTCCTTTCTCGGGGCCCAAAGTGCAACGAGGGTGCTTTTAAAGCAGCCACCCGCACGAAGAACATATTATGGCCAATTTGAGGTAAATGGTGTTATTCTAATCCAAATTCAGTATACATAATGGTATCTTAGAAGGCCACGCCAAAACACAAAGACACATCGAAAGCATGTATCGAGCTTTTTACAAGCCTTGCACTAAGACGCCTGCCGAGGTCTATGCCTTTCCTATTAGACTTCGTTTTATATCAATTTTTCTTACACTTCAATCCTACTGGATCTGAATTGAAGCTCGCTTGTTTCTTCACAATATATCCAACAAGGTCAATCTGACCGTGGGAGAATCTTGTGTACAATAGGACGCTGGCACCATTGATTTTAGCGTTGTTTTTCCTTCTGGGAACCCTCGATGATATTGCCTAGCATTGTCACATAGTACCACCAGGTTAGTATGGTATATGCTGCATCTATGTCTTCAATTGCTGCTTTGGTCCATTGATTCTGAGATTAAGTCGTAATAGCAGGGTAAAAAGAGGGTATGACTGCTGCTGAAGCCATACTTATGTAGCTTTACTATGGGCAATCTAAGCGAGGGAAGGTGCCTGTCCCATGTTCACCAGCACCTCGCGTTCAGTCCCAACGCGTGGATTTTATCGCTTGTTTACTTCTTCTCTCTTCCCGTCCTCCTCGTTTTTTCGTTCTTTTACTCGGATCCCTCTCGTCGTTTCTCATTTGTCCAAGATGGCGGCTCAGGCCACAGGCATGGACTCGAACTCGCTCGCTATCCATGATGTCGAGCCTGTCAACACCACTTTTCAAAGTCACCTAGTTTCCAAGGAGAACGAGAAAAGTATCATCCCTGAGTCGTACGACCTTGGTGCTGGTGATGAGGACCCAACCACGGATGAACTTCATGGCCCAAACGCCTTGCGTCGCGTCTCAGCTCCGATTCCCTGGGTGGTCTACACCGTCGCATTTGTTGAACTTTGCGAGCGTTTCTCCTACTATGGAACCCAGGTCCTCTGTAAGATATCAACGGCCCCATGCAAAGTCACATAAGAAACGATTCTAACATTGCAATACAGACTCTAACTTCGTGAACCACGCACTCCCCCTTCCTGCCCCGAATGGTCCTCCCGGATCAAAGCATGCAACCGGGGCTGGTGGGCCTAGCTCCCAGGGCGTATCAGGTGCTTTAGGCAAGGGTGTCGAAACTGCCAGTGCCATCAACACCTTCAACACCTTCTGGTGCTACTGCCTTCCTCTGGTGAGTGCCTACATCGCCGACGAGTACTGGGGACGATACAAGACCATCTCCTGGTCTATCGCGGCTGCCATTTTAGGTCACATAATTCTAGTTGTCTCTGCCATCCCACCGGTGATCACAGACACTGACGCCTCCTTCGCTGTGTTCGTCCTGGGTGTGATCATCATGGGTTTGGGTACTGGTGGCTTCAAGCCCAACATATCCGCCCTGGTTGTCGAGCAGATACCTGCTGTTAATCTCAAGGTGCGAACGCTCGAAACGGGTGAGCGCGTTGTCATCGACCCTATTATCACCCAGAGCCGTATCTACCACTACTTCTACCTGTTTATCAACGTGGGCGCATTGGTTGGTCAGATTGGCATGGCCTATGCGGAGAAATATGTCGGCTTCTGGTTGGCCTTCTTGCTGCCCACGATTATGTTCTTAACTACTCCATTCGTCATGTGGTGGGGTCGCAAGCGCTATCGCCAGTCTGATCCGGCAGGCTCGGTGACTTATAAGGCCATCAAGACATTCTGGTTTTGTATGCGCGACCGCTGGCACTACAACCCATACATTCTCTGGAAAAGAACGCACGATGGCACTCTCTGGGACACCGCGAAGCCCTCTAACATCGAACCCCGACTCCGGCCCAAGTGGATGACCTTCGACGATGCGTGGGTGGACGAAGTGCGCCGTGGATTTGCTGCTTGTGCTGTTTTCTGCTATTTCCCGGTCTACTGGCTGGCCTACAACCAATTGACAAACAATCTCACCGCACAGGCCGGCACGATGACCTTGAAAGGCGTCCCAAACGACGTCGTGAACAATCTTGACCCCTTGGCGCTGCTCATCTTCGTCCCGCTGTGCGACACGTTTCTATACCCCGGGTTGCGCAAACTGGGTATTCAATTCACGGCCATCAAGAAAATCACCCTTGGTTTCTGGCTGGCATCACTCTCCATGATATGGGCTGCTGTCATCCAGTACTACATCTACAAGACTTCGCCCTGCGGCTACCGAGCTAACAACTGCTACAACGACGATGGCAGTGTCAACCCGTCTCCTCTCATTGTCTGGGCTCAGACTGGTTCCTACGTCCTTGTTGCGGTATCGGAGATCTTTGCCGTCATAACCTCAATGGAGTATGCGTACTCCAAGGCGCCTCGCAATATGCGTTCCCTCATCCAAGCTATCAATATGTTCACCAACGCCATCTCCGCTGCCATCGCTGAGGCTTTGATAACGCTCTCCAGGGACCCTCTGTTGATCTGGAACTACGCCGTCTTCGCCATCTTAACCTTTGTAGGTGGAACGATATTCATTATCCAGTTCTGGGGTCTGGATAAGGAGGAGGACGAGTTGAACAACTTGCCCGAGGGTCATGTGCAGGCCGACGAAAACCAGGCACAGTTTGAACATGCCGAGATTGGCCCTGGTCGTGGATGAGACTGAGAGTGTGAAAGGACTTCTTCCTTGCTTCAGCTTGGTTCTATTGGGACGATGTCTTCCCAAAGTTAAGTCCAGCGCTTTAGTCAAATCCCAACGGATTCAACTGATAACTGGTTCTCTTTACCCTGCTTTACGTTAGTTTCTATTAGGATGGTGTCTTTCCAAGGTCAAGTCCAACACTTTTTATCAAATTTCAATTGATTCAACTGGTAACTGATTCTCTGTCATAAGTATACTGAACTTCTTCTTTACTCCCTAATAGTGCCCCGATCTGTGACCAACATCCAAAGTTGCACGCCACAACGGCTTAGAGTTCACCTTGGAGTATTCTACTTAAAAGGTAATCATACACACGAATACGGAAGATTGCACTGCATAACTTTGATGTAATTCAATTACGATCCCTCGATTTGATGGAAATTTTTGCTAGCAGATCCACATCGGACCCTAAGTCATCCCCGTTGTCCCTTCGCCAGGTCATTTAACTGTGGAGTCCCTTAATATGAGTCCACTTTCAGCCCCGGAGGCGTTTATGACCGCTACTCCAATAATGACTGCTGAAATGCGGATGCCTACTTATATATGTACCCACAGTGATCGTTTTCCTATCACATGATAGTAATCTCACCATCAGCCCTGTCCAGTCCAGCCCCATTTGGGCAGCCTTACCTTTGAAACTATCTACTGTAATCTGACATGCGCCTCAGAAGAACGTTGGAAACCTTGCAAAGTAATCTTTATTCTATTTATGTTGTGCTTAATGTTTAAAGCAAAACGGAGCGCTCGGCATCATTGACATCACCCCACTCCACTCGGCAGCCATGATTCGTGATCCCTATGAACAGATGGAGCACATACCAAGAGAACCACGCTGGGACATTGGGGGGGGCTTGGCTAAGCTTCCGGCGGGCCCGGTGCATAAGGCTTCCCCCTGGGTGCATAAGTATCACCCCCTAGGACATGGGAACTCGTTCCTTCCTACGTTTCTGCGCAGTTAACAGTCGGTCACGATCGTGATCTAACCGTCATGAAGACTTTTGCGCTGATCTCGATTGCTCTGGGTCTGCCCGGTAAGTGCTTTCCGTCGCGTTTTCTTTTTTTTTTCTCTCACGGGATTGCCATTCTTGGCTTAATTGGACCCTGACACGCGTCTATAAAATAATTTCTCCACACTAATCACCATGTTCTTGCAGCCGTAATCGCTGTCCCCGGCGGGCTCAATCCCGATGATATCACATTCGCAGGTGTGCAACGAGCCCTCCCCAATGCGCCCGACGGGTACGTGCCGACATCAGTCAGCTGCCCAGCAAGCCGACCGACAATTCGCAGCGCAGCGGAGCTGTCCTCGAACGAGACATCATGGCTAAAAGTTCGCCGCGGCAAGACCCTGTCGGCGATGAAGGATTTCTTCGGGCATGTGAAAGTCGGCGATTATGACGTCGGTGCCTACCTCGATACACACTCCGGGAACTCGTCAAATCTGCCCAATATCGGCATTGCCGTTTCAGGCGGTGGATGGCGTGCGTTGATGAACGGTGCCGGTGCGGTCAAGGCTTTCGACAGCAGGACGTACAATGCGTCGGCGACTGGGCATTTGGGTGGTCTGCTGCAGTCTGCTACGTATATTTCTGGCCTGAGTGGAGGCAGCTGGTTGCTGGGTTCAATCTATATCAATAACTTCACTACGATCGACAAGCTGCAGACGCACGAGGATGGTTCCATCTGGCAGTTTGGGAACTCGATCATCGAGGGTCCTGATGCTGGTGGTATTCAGCTTCTGGATTCTGCCAGTTATTACAAGGATCTTGCTGAGGCTGTCGACGGGAAGAAGAAGGCTGGCTTCGATACTTCTCTCACCGATATCTGGTATGTCATCCCTTTTTATCGGGGTGCATCTGCATGTTGCTAACTTGGGTACAGGGGCCGCGCACTCTCCTATCAAATGTTCAATGCTAGCAATGGTGGACTCAGCTACACCTGGTCTTCCATCGCTGACACCCCCGAGTTCCAGGATGGAGACTACCCCATGCCGTTTGTTGTTGCAGATGGCCGTAACCCGGGTGAGCTGGTCATTGGCAGCAATTCGACCGTCTATGAGTTCAACCCGTGGGAGTTCGGCACTTTTGACCCTACTATCTATGGTTTCGTTCCCCTCGAGTACCTGGGCTCTAAGTTCGAGGCTGGCTCGCTTCCGAGCAACGAGAGCTGCATTCGCGGTTTCGACAGTGCTGGTTTTGTGATCGGAACCTCCTCTACACTCTTCAACCAGTTCCTTCTCCAGATCAACACCACTTCACTCCCCAGCTTCATAAAGGATGTTTTCAACAACGTCTTGTTCGATCTGGACAAAGCGCAAAACGACATCGCTTCGTACGATCCCAACCCCTTCTATAAATACAACGAGCACTCGTCGCCGTACGCTACGCAAAAATTGTTGGATGTCGTCGATGGCGGCGAGGATGGACAGAACGTCCCTTTGCACCCTCTTATCCAGCCCGAGCGCCATGTCGATGTCATCTTCGCCGTTGACTCTTCAGCCGACACCGACTACTTCTGGCCAAATGGCACCTCCCTGGTTGCAACCTACGAGCGCAGCCTGAACAGCAGCGGTATCGCCAATGGCACCGCCTTCCCTGCAGTCCCAGACCAGAATACTTTCATTAACCTGGGTCTCAGCACCCGCCCGTCCTTCTTTGGCTGTGATAGTTCCAACCAGACCGGACCCTCGCCTCTCGTTGTGTACATCCCCAATGCCCCTTACTCCTACCACTCCAACATCTCTACCTTCCAAATGAGCACCGACGACACTGAGCGTGACAAGATCATTCTCAATGGCTACGAGGTTGCCACTATGGCCAACAGCACCGTCGACGGTGACTGGACCTCCTGTGTTGGCTGCGCTATCCTCAGCCGCTCGTTTGAGCGCACGGGTACCACTCTCCCGGATATCTGCAACCAGTGCTTCGACCGATACTGCTGGAACGGCACTGTGAACTCCACCAGACCGCACTCTTATGATCCGGCTTATTACCTGGCTGATAGTATGGCCTCAGTGAGTTTGCCCACCATGCTGTCCACGGTTTTCGCAGCCGGCCTGGCAATGCTCATCCTGGTATAACCGGACATGGATTCTTTTTTCTTCCCACCGCCATGTTGCAGCTATTCCCATTCGAAACATGTCTTTTGATACGATTTTTTTTCAAGCATGGTCGATGTGCCATCGAGCCATCCTCATGTTATTTTCATATTCCCAGTATTTGTCTAGATTTCTTCAGATCCCATGGGATCGAATTCAATATTGATGCATATATGACCCGTACAAGAAACATATTTGTGCTTATATATAACATTATCCCTCTTCTCAATTCGATTGCAAATAAACTGTCAGAAATCTACGCCCCTCAAAGAAGCATACATGTACGCTGCTTTTCTTCAACTCGAATTTGTGCTACATTATATGATAGGGGCAAAGTGTTGTAACTAGATCATGATTAATTCGGCATTTACATTGGCACATATACTGGTAAACTGTACAGGTCTAGTAGGAATATATATCGAATGACTACAAATTATGGTGCAATTTTGAACTTCCCATTAGTTTGAGACATTATTAAGAACAGACATCTGGACTTTACTTTACTTTCCTGTTTTGTTTTGATTTTCATCTGTTTGCATCAATCCAATATAACATGTCGACGTGTGTGTGTGAATGTGTAGATCGTATCACGTGCCCATGTTGCTATGGGAAACACCACAACAAGCAACCTCGGATCAGCCGCCACCTCCACAGTGGGTTATTTGCTTTGCCTTGCTTCCTTTTCATGCACCTAATTCGACAACTCTCGGCAACTCGCGACCTTACGACATCGGGCCGATATCACATTTGACCGCCCAAACCCACCATGAGCGTCGCGTGCCAATACTAATTGCGACCATCAACAATAACCCGTTATCGACATGGCGCGCGCTGCAGTAATCCCGCAATCCCCTGGAAAAAGGGTGGCACGAACTTCAACAAAGTTGACAGCTGCTGCCGATGCCAAGAAGAAAGCTCCTCGAAGAGCAACACCAGCACCACGGACTGCGGCCCCGGCTCTCGATGCTGAGTCCGACGATGAGCTGGGGTTTATCACAGGCAAACCGGCTAGACCCAGCGGACGTCCTCCTAGCCGCCTAGCTACTAAACCAAAAGCGACTGCAACTGTGACTGCGCGAGGAAAGAAGGCTTCCTCGGAGTCTCTCACCGACAAGTCGAAACCCCAAAATAACGCCAGCGAAAATGAGCTAGGACAACAAACCGAGGCGCCGAAGAAGCGTGTTGGACGGCCGAGAAAAAATCCGTTGCCTGCGGAGGCTGCTGAGGCTGCTGCAACCGGGCCTGAGGCAACAACCCCTAGACCTAGGGGACGACCGAGAGCGGGAACAACAGCGAAGGCCCCTCAGACCTGTGAAACGGCGACCACGAGCAGGCGCACACGTGCGGCAGTTGATACAGCAAGCGAGACGAAATCAAACCAAATCAGGATCGCGACCAACTCGACAACAATGCGCTCAAATCTTTTGCGTGGGCCCGCCAAGAAGAAGACAGTGAAATTCCAGGATGTCTCGGATTCTGAAGCCGAGGAACTTGTACCCGAGGTTCCTGCTGCCGGCCGTCGACGAGCAGCGACCAAGGGCGCGGGCGCTGGCAAGACTGGCCTCGGAGGGACCCCAGTTCGCAAGCCCACGACAACCGGTACTCGCGGAAGGAAGCCAGCTGCAGCAATGAAAGATGCGACACAACCATTATCTCCCAAGAAGGCCAAGCAGGTGGCCAAGTCTCTATCAGCATACGCAAGCTCCGATGGAGAAGATGATGAATTGAACACCATTAAGGGCGACACCAAGGATCCGGTCAGACTTGTTGTTCACTCGCCTGTTAAGCACGGCTTGGAGATTACTGGACTGAGCTCTCCCGTACGGAAGATCAACTTTACCCCCAAGAAGGCGTCCAGCTTCATGGACGAGAATGGCGAACCAAAACTACCAACACCAAAACACGGATCAGACGGCATCGGTCTTAGCTCCCCAGTCAGGAAAATCAACTTTACGCCGAACCGCAGCCAGAACGCTGTCGCAGATAATGGTCACCTCGCTCTTCCACCTGGCAATTCGCTTGTTTTTAGTGATTCGATGATCATGTCTAGCCCTGCGAGGAGACCGGCGCCATCATCTCCCTTCCAGTTCTCCATGAGAGAAACTCCGAACCGTGGGGGTTCCCTCTTCCGGGACAGTATGAATCCGATTTCCGCCCCTGATTTCACGTCCGGACGCACTTCTCCACTGAAGATGTCACCTAAGAAGGGCTTTTTGGGTGCCTCTTTCTTGCAATCGCCATCTAAGGATTCTACATCAGTAGCCCCTGCTCGAACCCCTCTGTTTCAAAGCCCGGCAAAGAGAATAGCTTCTCCATTCAAAAACTCGGTTTTCTCTGCTCATGCATCTGTGGGCCCTTGCGGCAATGATGGAAAGACAGTTGAAGTTGCACAATCCGCCACGCACAAATCCTCGCCACGGGAGAGCCAGTCTGACGAAGCGGCCTTTGCAAAGGACACTGAAATGGTCGAGGATGTGGCTCGAGACATTTTTGGAATTGAGCTGTCTTCTGATGGAGAAACGTCATCGATTTCTCCTACCCAGGAAGATATTGCGGCCTCAGAAGTGGCCCGAGACTCATTCAATGATGGAAACACTGACTCTCTCTCCGCGGAGGTGGAGGCTGAGGGAGACTCAGACATGGAAGGGGATGAAAATGGATATCTTAAATATAAGGTTCAGCCAGAGTACGAAGAGCCTGAAACGATTTGCTTCGACGCCATGGAAGCGGCCAATATGGCAACGGATGACCTTTATGATCAACAGCCTCAGGAAAACTCAGGTCCTCGATCTAGCGAACAACTTAAAGACCAGGCTCAATCTGAACGCGAAGAAGCCGATACAATCTGCTTTGACGCCATGGAAGACGCCCAATTGGCTGCGCATGGTCTCCATGACCAACAAGTCCAGGAAGCCTCAGACCTAGGCGAAGGCGAAAACCTCCAAGACGGGAGCGAGAGCGAGAGCCAATTTGAGTACGAAGAGCTTGAAACAATTTGCTTTGACACCATGGAAGATGCCGAATTAGCAGCGAATGATCTACATCACCAACAAGTCCAGGAAGAATCAGACCTAGAAGAGGGTGAAGATCTCTATGACGAGGATGAACTTGGGTACGAAGAACATGAAACAATTTGCTTTGACGCCATGGGAGATGCACAACTCGCGGAGAATGACCTGCATGATGAAGAGGGTCAGGTGGCAGACTCAGTCATGGAGGGCACAAATTATCCCGAAGAAGATCTGGCCGTACCGGAGCGCGAGATTGAGGAGGAAGAGTCCCAAAATCTTGATACTCGATCCCAGTCCCAAGAACCGACCCTGGAACCCTCACAAACTACGGAGATGCAAGAACTAGACATGGAAGAGCAGGCGAATGAACTTGCTTCGCCCTCCAGGTCACCATTGCATTTACCCCGTGGCGACGAAGCCCAGCCAACGGTCGACTTGGATTATTCCTCGGAAAGTGAAAGCGAATGGCAAGAAGAGGCCATTCATCGACCAGAGGAGGAGGAACAAGTGATGAGCGAGGAGAGCGAAATGGAAGACAATGAGCCTGAGTTTGCTGCAATATCGTCAAAGCCTGCTTCGCCATATGAGAGCGATCATATCGAGGGCATCGCAACTCCGCCCCAAAGAACGCAAGCGACTTCTTTGTCACGACCAAGTTCCACAGGCGGTGAATCTATTCCCCTGACCTTGAATCGCCCAGACAACTCAGAGAATGATCATGACTCCACTCCAGATGCCAAGAATGCCAGGAACGTCATCATTGACACGCCCCTGCATGAAGAAAATAATTGGACGCCAAACACCCAGGTTAACAGCCCTGCCTTCATGGCACCCAGTCTCTTCAACACACCAAGCGTTGCTGATCAGCACCAATCCCCTGCTGAGGCTAGCTTAGGTTTTACGCCACTGGCACAAAGGTTTGGCCGTTGGGAACAAAACACCCCTTCCCAAGCTAGATCACTCCGACCGCGTCGCCGTGGAGTGTTCTCGTTAGTAGGCCCCTTGGATCGCACCAACAAGGAAACCCCGACCAATTCTGAAAGAGTGTCGTATCCTAATCTGCCAAAAAGCCCTTTGGCACAAACCCCCTCTTTGTTTGCCGAATTACCACTTCAGCCTCAAAGCAATGATACTTGCACAAGGCCCGAGTATGAACGGACTCCACGGCGATCTTCCATCTATGAAGACCATCAAATAATTGATTCGCCGAATACAAGCACGGATATCTTTGAGGATCCTGACTCGGGACTCATTGAACAGGACCATACTTCTGCCGCCGAATTCCCGCAAGATCAGCACCAACAGATTCAGCTACTCGAGGACAAAGAAAATCTCGGTCCTCCGATTCTCCCGTCAACCCCAATGAAGGCGCAAGTTCAACCCGACGTGTTACGCACCATCCATACAGTATCCAAAGTGCCTTTGAAAGCTGAAGGCGACGTATCGCCTCTCAAGGTGTCCCGCAAGAGAGGTCTGTCCCTATCGAGCACATCCCCCACTCGGTCTTCTCCGCGTGTTCGCAAGCCAACCTTCATGGCGCTGAATGACAGTGCACCGATTTTGTCTCCCTCCCGAAAATCTTCACGGGTGAGCAGAAGTCCGACACCAAAACGCCGTTCTATCACGGGCAGACGCAGCATTGTAAAAGCACCAGTGATGGCTCCGTCTGGTACTTCCGTTGCAACTGCCAGCCCTGCCAAGAAGCAGCGCCGCAGCATCCGCACTGAACAGAAGGCTCTTCATGGAGCAGTCGTGCATGTGGATGTTCATACCACCGAGGGCGAGGATGCCTCTGGTATCTTTGTGGAACTTTTGCAGCAGATGGGCGCCCGTTGTGTAAAGTCATGGTCCTGGAACCCTCGTTCCAGTCTCTCGCCGGTTGATGGTGTAGAGCCCAAGGACCTGAGAGTTGGCATCACCCATGTTGTGTACAAGGATGGTGGCCTGCGGACTTTGGAGAAAGTCAAGAAGGCAGCGGGTCTTGTCAAGTGTGTTGGAGTCGGCTGGGTCCTTGAGTAAATTCATCTTTTGTATACCTTTCTTTGCACAGGTTCTCTGACTGTTATCTCTAGTTGCGAACGTGAAAACCAATGGCTCGATGAAACCCCCTACGCGGTCGACAGTTCTATCATCCCGCGTGGAGGTGCCAAGCGCCGCAAGAGCATGGAGCCCCGTGCACTAAGCAATGTGAACGGAACAATCGTGCGCATTTCCGAATCTCCTACGCCATCTGGCGGCGGACGTCGCAGTGGTGTCCATCCGGGCGCCGTCGAGGGTTTCCGCAAGATCACACCTCCGACCCACCAGCAGGAGATGCCGTCCACACCCCCGCAACAATCTTCTGCTGATAGCTACCAATTTCCTGCTACTCCTGGATACAACTTTGCCAACCTTGATGCCATTGGCATGTCGCCCGCTACACCAGGATTCCTTGGAAACCGCTCCAAGCTGGTCCAGCAATCTTGTCCGCCAAAGCAGATCAACCGAGGTCTTTTCCCGAGTGCTAAGTCTGCGAGTATCATGCTGGATGACGGACAAGATGAGGAATCCAGAAGACAGCGCCGCTTCCGTATGGAGGCTGCTAGGCGCAAGAGTCTTGTTTACAAGCCTGCTGTCGGCAGCCCCCTTGTTCCTTGATTTTATTTATTGCATTGTTCGCTTTCTGTAGATTCATACCCAGTCACTGTAAATATGGGGACTCTTTGTTTGGGCGTTTCTTGAATTTTTTTGGTACGACGGCGAGCTGGATAGGTTGGACTGTTTTTGTGGAAGGCTAATGGTCATTGCTTTTTCTTGGGAATCTCAGTTACATCAATGAAATTCCAAATGATCTAATCCATGTCCGTGGTTAACTTGCAAAACATTACTTTTCATTCAGAAACTCGATGATAATACCCGAAATCGTTCGCTGTCCCACTTTCACTTCAGATATCTCGTGTCCAGTTTACCAAAACGGCGATGTCACTCCTGCGACTCGTCACGATAGAATCCAGCAACCAAGAAAGCCAGCTCCAAAGCCTGCTTCTCATTCAAGCGCGGATCACAGAATGTCGTATACCGCTCCCCAAGCCCATCCTCCGTCAGCCCAGCAGCGCCACCCACACACTCAGTGACAGCCTCGCCAGTAAGTTCAAGATGCATACCACCAAGGAATGACCCTGCGGCGCGATGAATTTCCAAGGCCTGCTTCAACTCAGACAAGATATCTGTGAAGTGGCGGGTCTTCACACCAGACGGCGTGCTCTGCGTATTGCCATGCATAGGGTCGCATTGCCAGACAGGGATATGACCAGAGGCCTGCACAGCGGCGATATGGCCAGGAAGGAAATTTGCGATTTTGGAAGCGCCGTATCGGGAGATCAGAGTCACCTTTCCAATCTCACGATCCGGATTGACGACATCCAGCAACTGCACCAGCTCATCCGGCGCCATGCTAGGCCCGATCTTGATCCCGACGGGGTTAGCGATCCCGCGGAAGAACTCGACATGCGCACCGCCGAGTTGGCGTGTCCGGTCGCCGATCCAGATGAAGTGGCTAGATGTTGCGTAGTAGCCTGTTTCGGAAGACGTGGTGCTGGTTCCTGGGTGCACTGGGTGGCGAAGGAGTCGGGTTAGACTCTGCTCGTATTCCAGTGAGAGTCCCTCGTGGCTGGTGAAGATGTCGGCTGTCTCGAAGCCGCGGTCTTTATCGATTCCTACTGTGTGCATGAAGCGGAGGGCATCCTTTACGGCGCCTACGGTTTTGGCGTATTGCTCTTTTATCGACGGCGTGATTACATGGCCCAGGCCCCAGTCTAGTGGGGAGTGCAGATCTGCCAGGCCTGAGGAGAGGGAGGCGCGAAGATAATTCAGAGTTGCCGCGGAGTGGAAGTAGGCTGAGACTAGACGTGATGGGTCTGGTTGGCGGGATACAGAGTCTGCTGCGAAGCCATTGATGTTGTCACCGCGGAAAGACGGCATTTCCACTCCGTTGACGACCTCTGTTGGACTTGAGCGTGGCCTTGTTTTTGTTATTAGTCTTGTGGTTATGAATTAATAGATGAGGAACCTACTTTGCGAACTGGCCTGCAATCCGAGCAATACGGATGACGGGCTTATTAGCACCTATTGGTGGAATTAGTTGTCATTTTTCTTTGCTTTTTGTGGGGGTCTGACACACCCCAGATGAGGACCAAGCTCATTTGCAACAAAAGCTTCACCTTGGCTTCAATCATTTCTTGGGTGCAATAGTCGAAAAGCTCCGCACAGTCACCTAGACGAAATTATTAGTCATTACGTTTCGGAGATATTGTCCTGTGCAACATACCACCCTGTAGAACGAACGCTTTGCCTAAAGCGACATTTCTGAGGTTCTTCTTGAGATTGACGATCTGTAGACCAGGTCAATATAATAGCTAAGGTCCAGTCTAAAGAAAAGACTTACTTCTTGTGTGGTCACAAGTGGAGGAAGCTTCTGTAGTTTTTGCAGTGATACTTTCAAGCCTTCAAGATCCTCGTAGATGACATCTTGCTTGATGGGCTTTTGTGTCCAAGCTAGATATAGTTAGTGATGCTAGATCGAATGTGAAAGAGATTTTAGATTTTTGCTCTTACAATTAGGGCTCCATTCGGCCATGGTGAAGGCAATTGGTCCCGAAAGGTTGGGGGGGGTGATATGAGTTAAATCTCTTTCGTTTGACAAGAAGTAACAAACAAATACAATGAGAAATAGGTCAGAGAAGGCAATGGAATAGTGATGATTTCTAAAAAATGGAAAAACAAAGGACTGATGAGCGAAAAGATATAAAGGACATGTAACAAAAGAAAGCTGACAAGTCCGGTGTGTGTACGTGATACGCTTATTCCCGGGACTCCGATGACTCACTTTGATGCCTGATTCCCTAGGCACCATGTGACTTTTCACTCCACGGTGAGACAATATGTAGGTCAGGATGTTACTGAGAGTTCCATGCAGCCCTTTTCGAAATCAGTGTTATTTGACTGGAAATAAAGGGAATCACATTGAGCACAGACCACAGTCCCATTGAAATCTCACAATATAGCAACAACCCCTTGTGACCTCTATTCCTTAAGCCATCAAATAATACCCTTAGCATGTAATCATATAATCATGTGGAAGGTGTTGTGGCCTAGATAATGAGTGCTGTTCTTCCTTTGGAATATGAACAGTTTTCAGGGCTGTAGATTCGGGAAACCGACGAACCCGACTCCTTGAAGATGTGGATATGTGGCTGGCTGTTCTCAAAATTGGCCCGTATGATGATGCATCGAGTGGTAAAGTTCGCCTCTTTTGTAGACATCAGCCAAGTTCCGAGAGCTGACTCGTAATCGTGCCGGGTAGAGCTGGCAAAGATGAACAGAGCCTCGTAGGTAGCTGAGAGATAGTTGACTAGTTACCGTTACCTAACGCTACCTAACCACCACCTACCCGTGGGCAGTAGAAATACGTAACAAGTCCCAGGGTGAAGATATGAATCTAGAAACACTGTACAGTAAATTCTTGGGTATAACATAGGCAGACGTCCTCCGTAGGGGCTTGGGTGTTGACAAATGTAATGCTAAGGCCTTTATATGGAGTATGTACTTGACCGATAAAGCTGGGAGGCAACAAACGTTTCTAAATTTGTATGCTTTCCCACTGCGTAGTTATGCAGGTTCGAATGTGGATTTCACATTTCTCATACCCCAGGCTTGGCATGGGAAGCTGACCCTTCAGCAGCTAAATTTGCAAAAGAAAAGGACGGACCACGGAGATAATAAAAAGGGGCAAGAAGTGCTGATGGATACGAGAAATTAATCCAAGCCATCACATAACAATGGGGAGCAGCGTAGGCGACGTTCGTATCGAGAACGGCTAGCGTCGAGGGAATTGGGCCTAATTGGGCTGAACGTTCGTGACCTGTCGACTGTGATTGGCCAGGTCTCGGAGCTTACCGAAGTGTGGCCATTTTGAGTTAGCTTGATCGGTTTGGAGTCTCCAGAGCTGCCTGTTTAGTACTAGCGTGGCCCTAACAGAGGTAAAAACGTGGGTCGAGACCCCTTCAAGACCCTTGAAAGAGCCCCATGAGTCTGGCTTGGGGGTATTTAACCCTCTGCCGACTTTGTTTTTCTTTCTTCTATCCAATCCATATCGTCCCTATACTACATTATTTTCACCATGCAATACAAGGTCCTTGCCACTCTTTTCTTCGCCGCCACGGCCCTAGCTGCCCCTGCGGATTCTACTTCCACATCTTCAAGCACTGAGTTTACCGATAGCGACGACATTTACGGTGACATCTACGGTGACAGTTACGGTGATTTTTACGATGACATTTATGCGGCTGTGCCTAGCTCTATCTTAACTGTTCTGGCAACAGCCATTCCGGCAACATGGTACAACGACCTCTTGAACCCGGCCTCTCGCGACTCGATTGTCAGCGAAGCTATGGCTGGCACCTACCCAGCTTGGTACAACTCGTTGCCTAGCAGCGTCAAGGCCTGGGCCACTTCCAACCTTGATGGCGGGTTCATTGGCGCCTCGGAAACCGCTACTCAGACCGTGACTGCTGAGAGCAGCGCTGTTAAGACTAGCTCCACCACCGCTGCCAGCCAGACCTCCACTGCCAGCCAGACCCCTGCCAAGACCACTTCGGCTTCCACCACCTTCTCGGGCTCCAGCTCTCCGTCTAGCTCTCAGTCTAGCTCTCAGTCTAGCTCTGACTCGAGCTCTAGCTCTGCATCATCTTCTCCCTCATCTTCGCAGTCTACTGGTGGCGCCCCTGCTCCTACTGGGGGTATTACCATGGGTGTTGCCGGTGCAGCTGGTGTTTTGGCTCTGGCTCTTGCCCTGTAGAGCATTGCCAAATGGTTCATTTGCCTGGAAAGTCTATAAGAAGCTTTAAATCCATGTGTATTAGATAGATCTGTGTGTATAATAACTTTTTCATGTACATACAAAGGTACTTGATCTCATTACAAATACAGTATGTGATGAATTATAGCCTGCATACCCTGTAAGTATTGCATGGGGTAGACTGGTTACATTCCTTGTTGATTATTACTCTGTATAAACAAGGATATAGGCTGGTGACTTCTCATTTTACACCGAACCCCAAAGCACCTCCGCCATGCCTGTCACTGTCTTGATCCAGTTCCGACTGCCGATGAGACTCTGAAAAGATAAGAAATGGACCCTAAATCGTTCGTTACGCCCTGTGTTATAAACTCAGATGTTAGCATCGTCAAAATCAGTACAGGTAGTGATGCAGTCCAAGGATAGAAAAAGCCAGGTCAGTTTCCAAGCCCACCAAATCAGATATTGTATGCCCAAGAATTGCGAAACGGTAAAAAGGTGCAAGTCGGTGACTTCTTTTGAGCTGTTCGCTGTTCATAAGCTTCCAGGTTAGCATCTTCAAAGCAAACACCAGTCGATGGTAATGCAACCCGACATACCGAGCCATCAATTTGAACCCATCACCCGGGGACGCGGTCCCGAACGGACTCCAAAAGCCTAATGAGGCGATTGTGGACTGTCCTCCCGCTGTTCGGGCGATTCATGAGTCTCCAGGACAACATGTGCAGCCTGTAGTCCGTTTTGCTGCAGTCCCGGATGAACTCGTCGATGAAGTAGGTAAGAGGCCGCTCTCGGACGGTTTCGCAGCCTGGGACATGCTCAAACATGGCCTGTCCCATGCTTCGAATATTATCGACCTCGATTGGAAGTCGGCCTAGTTTCTCGATCGTCGTTTGACGATCCTCGGGGAATGAGTTGTCCCAGGTCAGCCTGTTGATGATTTCCTCAATGCAAACGTGGAAGTGTCTCCATGCGTCGTGGTAAGCCTGTTCCCAGGTCGACAGGGTGTTGGAAGACGGGTTTTTGGTAGGTTGATCCATGTAAATGGAAGTGGTTATGCTCGAGTTGTGGTACGTGGTTGTTGGTAGATCAATGATCCAAAAGTGAGAGATGAAAGAGACAGGAAGGATGTGATCATCAACCGAGTAATAGATCAGATGGGATGAGAAAGGATAAGATAACTCGACGCGGTGCTGGTTAGCAAACATTGTCATTTAAGCCTTTGCAATCGAAACCGACTTGATCAGTAGACCGAGAGTTGATAATGGAAGTCATGAATGCGTTTATGTGTACGATTGTTTGACTCGGGCACTGGGCAAACATCAAGGACAACAAAGCTTGATCGTCTGAACCACGACTAATAAGATTTGAAGTCAAGGTAATTAACATATGAAGTCAGAGTAATCAATATCTAAAGTGAAAGCGATCAAAGCACACAAAGGCTATTGTTTAATTCATTTGTCCCTTTATCTATTCAGGCGAATCAGTAAGAGCTTGATATACGCCAAGGAAGAATATGCAATAAAAAAGCAAGTCAAGGGAATACGTATGTGGAATTCTATCAGCTAAAATTGATGCGTAAAAGCTTGCTTGATTCGTAGGATGATGGAGATCAGTCATGACATGCACTGGATATCCATGTTGACTGGCTATCTGAGATGGCCATGCCTACTGCAAGGTTTGATTCCCTGTATATTCGGACAATGCATTCATCCTGGCTTTTGTGATTATTGATTATTTCTGACAGGAACAGTCGGCCGTTCATGCGGCCTTGCCGAGCCTTTTTGGTGGTCTATTTTAGATAACTTTCCTTCGTTCTTAAGTTCTATAGCCAGACGGCAGAAGAAGGCGGAAAAGTTGTATACCAGACAGAGGACCTTTCCATGTATATCCATGTATATCCATGTATATAGAAATGAGATGGATGCATACATATGTATTCGTAAAGAGTCAGATATAGTATTCAGAAAGTTGATATGACCCGTTTGTGTTAGACTTCAAATACCTCAGCACTGGGAGGCAAGTCAGCGCCATCATTATCTGGGCATTCTAGTGGAAGTATAGTCTCCAAGGACCGTAGCTATACTCCAGCCTTTATCTTCTCATCCCGAGGTTCTTCCGATAATTGAGAAGCGGAGCCTAGAAGTGGAGATACGAGCTGTGGAGTCAACTCGAAAGAGGTCCCAGCTGTGAATACTTCCAAAGCATTTAGCCACATAAAACATCAAGTCAAGCATAAAGACCAAAGGTTGAAACTTCCAACTTTCCAAGGTTAGAATAACCTCCCGACCTGCCGACGTCGGATAAACAGACGATTATGTCAGCACTTATCTGAATCGACCTTGGGCTTATCAGTGACGTCGTGTTGTCAACATAGCTCAAGTCAAGATCAAATCCAACTCTCAAGGCCTGTTGAACAAAGAAAATATGTCTGATACAATCCCCTCTGCAACTACTGGCCAAGGCACCGTCGAAGCCCCTGTTCCCTCAAACGCCGAAGATCGAAAAGCCGCCGCCGCTCTCTCCTCCCTCAACACAAATGAGATCGCTACAGAGGGTGCCTCCGCCGGAGCACCGCTTACTGCAAACCAAGAGGCTCTAGGAAGGGCCATGAGTCGGCTGGAGATAGCTGCTGGACAAGACTCGGGCAACCAGAAGACGGTTGAGGGACCAAAGACTGATGAGGTGCTTAACAAGAAGACAGTTAAGGTTGCTCCAGCTGATGTTACACTGCTGGTATGTTTGCCATGGCTATGGCTTCGGTACTCGTTTGTGTGCGGGCTTATTAATGTGGGTCTAGGTTGATCACCTTGATTTAAATAAGATTAAGGCTACGGAGTTGCTCAAGGCTCATGATGGAGATGCTACCAAGGCAATGAAGGCATTCGTTGCCCCATCTATCCTGGCGCGATGACTTAAATTATTTACCGCTAGTTTTCTATGATTTGATAAGTGGAGTCTGGATGAAGCAGTAGGAACGGAACTTGGTTCCTAATATTAAATCTCGTTCTTTATGCTAGGGTCTGGTTGTCATGTTCAAAGAGTGTAGATAATGGTGACTATAAACAGGTCAAAGACGATCACTCTCCATCCCCCTCTGCCTCATCTTTCTTGCGTTCGATTCCCTTGCCCTCATAAATACTCCAGAGCATAGCCCAACCGAGCAAAGCCTCAACGGCCAGTGCCCACCAGACAGCCCCAATCATGTTGTTCTCGAGCCCCAGTCCCAGTCCCCAGCCACCCAGGAATGGGCCCAGGGTACGAGCTGCACTGGAGATACTCTGCGCCACTCCATGGACTGTGCCTAGAATAGATGGATCCTTGACACAGTTGTTCACCAGGATTATAGCAGCGGGCAGAATGAATGTCCGCGAGATGACCTGTAAGCTAACGACGAACGTGAAAGAAGGCCAAACAATCCATGGTATGCGAGGAAGAATCACCAGAAAGGGCATCAGCATGTACGCAATGGGCGAAAAAGGAAGGAACGTTCGGAATGATGTGAGCGTGCCAAGCTTTGTCTGTATCAGCGGGTAGAGGAAGATCTGGAGTGGCAGGCCGATGAAACCGATGATGGCAGTAGCAAGCCCAACTCGGGATGATGGAAGACCTAGTCCACCGCCGAAATGGAACAGACCTTGCCGGGATTTCTCTGGGGCACGGGGTGCGGGCAAAAATACAAATGTCATAGAGTTGAAGGCGCTTGTGTGGAAGGCAAGCAGAAAGTGAGCCACTAAAGTCAGGATAATGTTGCGGGTCCAGATCTGGCGGAACCCGATCCTTTTGGGTCGGCGTGGATGTACGCGAGAGTGGGCTGGACTCGACGGCGTAGACCAAGTACCAACGCTGCCGTCCGTGTAGATAGAGTCATCGCCTCTGGAGCGTGTCAGTGGACGATAGTGCTGAGGTCGTCCGGTCCAAGCTCTTGTGATCCGTTTTCCCATTTTACGACCCCAGTCGCTTCTATAACGTGCGATTTCATGGGTCTAAAGATTGCGTTGTTAGTGACGGTATGAATTCGGATAGTGATGATCTCACCTCATCGAGCCCAAGAAATACTGCGAGAAATGATGCAAATATGAACATTGCGCTCAAAAGATTCGGCAATGCATACGGCCAATGCTGCATCCACCATACACCTTCTTTACCTCCAAGGATAGATCCCGGGCCGAAAAGTTGCGGAAAACTGTTGACAGGATCGGCCAACGAGCCTCCCAAGATTGGACCTATGATTACACCGATATTGAAGCACATGGGGAGGAGCAAAAACGCGCGGGATTGATATCTAAATAGTCAGCCTAAGCCAAGGAGGCACATTGTGCAAAATATCGACTTACTTCTTCTCGGCAATGATCTCTGCAATCAGTGTCCGCATCACCCCAACATTGCTGTTCAATATCCCGCCCAGTGTCCGAAAGACCATGGCCGTCGCAAAAGATCGAGAGAAACCAAAGCCTATACAAGACAGACAAGTACCCATCAATCCGATCAACAGCACTCTCTTCCGGCCCATCCATTCAGCATCAGCGAGATGGCCCCACCATACAGCTGTGATGAATTGCGCGGCTGTAAAGCTACCTTGGAGGATACCCGCCTGCGCGGAGATCTTCGAGTCTGGCAAGGACGGATCAAATGATTTGAGCTGATAAAACATGTATGCCTGCAGAGAGGTCTGCGTCAACGGCTCTGATAGTCGTGCTAAGGTCAAGATTACCAATTGGCCCTTCTTCGGTAACGAGCTCCAAGTCACCGGTTTCTCCTGGTCCCCATCAGCCGGAGCAAGCACGCCGTGATCATGATCGCGATCATCTTCATCCATCGAGGGAAATCGTCGGTGATCGGTTATCAGCGGTGCGGACTCCAGTCTCCTCGACTGAGAGTTGCTTCGGAGAATTACAGTATCGTCGCTCTCGAGATCGGTGTCGCTTTCTGTACTTGACAAGTCTGCATGATAACCGATCAAGTTAGAAACGTCCTGGGAGGCAAGACGGACATTTTCTCGGTCCTCGTGGTGGCCATGGTTCTGAGTTTGCGGAGAGGTCCCCATCAACTGATCACGGGGAGCTGTCCCACGAGCGCGGCTTGGGTATATACCGATCGGGGTTTATGACACTACCGTTGTGTGTGATCCTACCTTGGCACTTTATATCCCGTACTCTGTATAGCAGTATGTGACTCTCGTACCTAGAGAGAAGGAAAGTCGGGGCGAAAATGGGCTATGACACCATTTTCACCCCACATTTGCGTGGGGTCGATGGAGATGTTGCCGAGTTAACCGTGAGGCCAAAATCTGGAAATGGACTTTGGATATCCGGGTAGTAGTTATATAGCACGGCAGTCTATATCGCCAGTGCGCCACTTCAGATTCCGCCTGCAGATAGTGTGTAGTATGTGTATTTTAGTCATGAATTAAACCTATACATAGTTGAAAATGTAATCCTTGAACTTGCACCCAGGCCATGTAGTCCGCCAAATCAGGTATTGTAGATATTGTATGTTAAAATCCCAAAATCGTAAAAAGGTGTGCAAGTCGGTGACTTCCTTCCAGGGAAGCTTCCAAGTTAGCATCTTCAAAACAGACCCCAGTGGGTAGTAATGCAACCCGACAGACCAAGTCATCGAACCCATCATTCGGGATGCGGTCACGAACGGACTCCAGAAACCTAAGGAGGCGATCGTGGACCGTCTTGTCGCTGTTCGGGCGATTGGCAAGCCTCCATGACAGCATGTATAACTTGTAGTTAATTGTGTTGCAGTCCCCGATGGAACCGTCGACAAAGTAGGTAAGTGGCCACACTCTCGCACTTTGGCAGCCTGGTACGTGCTCAAACATGTCATGTCCCGCGCTTCGAATGTTGTCGACATCGATTAGAAGTCGGCCTAGCTTTTCGATCGTCCTTTGGCGATCCTCGGGTGATGGGTTGTCCAGATTAGCCTGCGAAGTACTTCTTCAACGCAGGCGTACAAGAGGCAGCTACAAAGAAAGCCATCAAGCGTATTATTCGGACACCCGACTCCTGATTGAATCCAGCAGCTTGAGAGGGCGATTGTGGACTGTTGTGTCACTATTCAGGCGATTTAGGAGTTTCCACGACAACATGTTCAGCTTGTAGCTGATCCCGTGGCAGTCCCGGACGAAGCCATCGGCGAAGTAAGAGACCGCTTAAAAAGCAGGCCATCGAGCCTATGTTGTGGCGTCGATTGGTCGCGTCAGGGTGTCTTCATGAAATAAATCCGGGAGTCGTTGATTTCGAGAGGCACTTTCCCCTTGCCTTCTTCTATTGGCAGTTGATGAATGTTTCACGGCATCAACAGCATGGCGCATCACACGATTCCCTCATATAAGATAGCGCTAGGGATATCTTTTTGATTCTTGGCGGAACGCACTTCTGTTCGCCTCCTGTGTCTGTTCAGGCTGTCCAGACGTGTAAATGTACCCTCACAGTATGGACACTCGATGTCGGGCTTTACAAAGTCTGTAGAGCGTGATTCTGGGTGCGGAACCGCTCCCCAGAAACTCCACATACAGACTTTAAGTCCTTGACCCATTCCGGATGGGATTACGGTGGTAATCGATGCCACACATCTAGCACTTGATTAACATGTGGAGATGACATATCGTGGTATATACTAACCATTTGTTGGGCCTCCGACACCCATTCATGAGCCACCAGTCGTGAAGTTGTAGATGCCCGAAGTAACGAAAATGGATAATAAGAATAAAGTGAAGGATACCAAGTATAGATAATATCATAGTACATATGCCCAACCTACGCGATTGCCGGCATTGCCAGTTCTGTCAGAGGGCTTCTGCTTGCCCTTACTATTGTTCGGCGGGGGTGGCGGCCCACCTGAGGGAGAGGAGGTGCAGGTTTCTTCTGCCATTTTAAAATCGATTCGAACCGTTTGACTTGTGACCTGCCTGTCGTAGACTGTATAGGGCTTGGACAATGAGACAGCCACTTTGTTCTCCGTTTGGTCCTTTTATTTCGAATCCAGTTGGCTGACGCATAAAGATGGCTCGGTTGTAGACCATAGCATTCAAATATGCAGCTGTATAACCGACTTGTTCAACGATAATATTGTGAATTGCAGCCATGCTAAGAAACAGTCTCATAGTCTCTCCGCGGGCTACCGGGGCATAGTTCTTGTCGAAATCATACCCCGGACGTTGCCTGTTCCCACAAGTGACCCGTCGGGTCCTGAATTCCTGCACTTCATTGTCTTTTTGATTTTTAAGTCAAAAGCACACTTTCCGCGCAGGATAGTGGCTCCTGTTGGTTCACCCTAGTAAAGTGAAGGCGCCGGAGATTGTCGATATATAGCCCTGTTGATTCCTCCAGCTCGACACCCGGAGTGATATCCCCACGAAGCACTCCTCTCACTTGGTATGGGTTTACGCCAAAAGAACCCACGTGGCTAGTCGGCAAACACCCGGATTTTCACAGGAACCATAGCGTCCTCAAACCAGCCAAAGATCTTGTCATACATTAGGGAGTAGGTCGTTAGCCCAGTCCAGACGGAAAGGACCAGGATAACTGGACAACCGAGGCCCTTGCTTGGGGTGAACAGACTGGTGTTCGTTGGGGTATGTTTCTTCGGGATGTGCCCCGGAGTTGATTGATGTAGGCCTTGATTAGATTCTCCTGGGTTGGACGAGATAGGCGGCAGGTTCCGAATGGGACTTCTCGGCCACGAGGCTTAATAGATACGTTGTATGTCTAGCTCGAGGGCACCATGAGTCATTCGCGCCATGGATAAAGACAAAGACCCTCGGCAATTTCCAGCCAATAGTGTGGTATGAGGCAGTGTGCTCCTTGCCGTCCAGTTTGTGACGGCTCATTCCGCCCAGGTACGGAAGGCCATCAATCTCGATATTCGATTTGTCTATACAAGAAGGTGAGTACGTACTCTACACCCATGAGCATGGGCCCAGGCCAACGCGGGCCTGGAAATCACATACCCCTTCTTCCATTTGCAGTTGATGAATGTTTCGGGCATCAGCATGGCGCATCGCATGATTCTCCCATATAAGATAGCGCCGGAGTGGAGCCCCAGAGAAAAGAAGAGATGTGAAGGGTGGGGGAACTGGGGTTGGTGACGATGTTTGACAAGAATGGAAGGCTAGAATTTTAGCCTCAGCCAGGAGGCTCAACATGTGAGTTGTGTGCCTGGCGCATCAGGACCCATTCGCTCCGTGGATGAAAGCGAAGAATGTAGGCAACTGCCTGGGAGACAGATGCATAGGTGGTTGATGATGAAAGCCGCAGCTTCAGCCTGTCTTCGTCCTCATCAACTGAAAACTATTTCAGGGTCATGACCTTTGAGATAGCGACTGAGGGAACATCAACTTACTAGCCGTCGGGCCCTCTCTTCTGAGTTATTCAATAGGTACGTATCAGCGTTGAGGGTGTCAATGATAGAAGTGAGTAAGTTAACAGGATCATAAATGGTCGAGTATTCCATAGTCCCAGTTACTCCATGGAGAAGCTGGACTTGACGACACTCCAATGTCTCCAATTCAAGGGTTCAATGTCCTTCAAATACAGGATAAACAAAGTACATAGATGTTCATTAGAAAGATTAGTTGATTTGAAATCCAAAATTCAAAATATTTGCAGAAATGGGATACGTTAAAATAGTCCAAGTCCCGGAGCCCTGGAGCCCTCTCGCCCGTCAAAACAAAGCTGGCGGGGCCGATAAGATCCCCTTCCCCCCCGCGCTTCAACTTGAAACATCAAGCATCTCTCTTCTCCCTTTCAACACAATTATATTTTCTACAACCATGGACCGATCAAACAAACCTTCAGCAATTGGAGTGGGAGCTTCCCTTCCCCAGCCCACCCTCTCCATCAAGGACAACATCGTCGAAGCTTCGTTGCCCACCGGCCAGTCAGTGACCGTGCACCTGTATGGCGCTACTGTGACTTCGTGGAAGACAGGCGGCCAGGAGCAGCTGTTCGTCAGTGAGAAGGCTCATCTGGATGGCTCCAAGCCTATCCGTGGTGGCATTCCGGTGGTGTTCCCGGTATGTGAACTCTACGATCTCTCTGCTTGAGCTCCAGCTAATCGCCCTGCTAATTTTCTAGGTCTTCGGTCCCCCGCCCCAGAACCACGCTACCTCATCCCTACCACAACATGGCTTCGCTCGCAACTCCAACTGGGAGTTCTTGGGCAAGTCCTCTTCGGAAGCGCCCGGAAGGGATAGCGACCAAACCGATCTTACCGTGAAGTTGGATTTCGGGCTGTCGCACTCTATGCTGACCGATGAGTTCCGCGCCGCTTGGCCATATGAGTTCGGCCTGGTGTACAGTGTTACGCTCACCACGGACTCGCTGGAGACGTCACTGCAGGTTCGCAATGAGGGCCAGCAGAACTTTGAGTTCCAGGTGCTGATGCACACGTATCTGAACATTGCGGTATGATAAAGCATAGCATACCAGGGTTATTTCCCCCCAAATTCCCCGCTAACTTGGAATCTGACGAATAGGATATCTCCGACATCCGTGTTAAGGGTCTCGAATCCAAGACCTACCTCGATAAGACCCTCCAAGGAACTTCTCACACTGAATCGAGCCCCGCATTGGCGATCACCCAAGAAACCGATCGCGTCTACCAACAACTTGACCCTGCCGTTCCAATTGTCGTTGCCTCTGCGAAGGATGACCAATCTCTGTTCTCGATCACTCGGGAAGCTTTGACTGATGTTGTGGTCTGGAACCCTTGGATTGAGAAGGCCAGGGGCATGGCCGATTTCGGCCCAGACGAGGCTTACAAAAACATGATCTGTGTGGAGGCTGGCTCAGTGTCTGCTTGGCAAACGCTTGAAGCCGGAGAGGCCTGGGAAGGTGGACAGAGCATCAAGTCGCGACTATGAAGATGGGAGGATATCTTGCCTCCTAGTAGTGATCTCTATGCATGATAGTTATGACCTAAAGACACGCATTGTCAATTCCAACTTGTAGAGCTGCTAATCGTAGGGCTACATTTGATCCCTAGCGTCGTCTTGTCTGACCACAGCGCTTTAGATACAAATTGTTGTTATATTCATTAAAAGATACAGATACACATGCTTTGACAAGGTTAAATGTCATCAACAAGCAATAATAGCTCCAATTCGCGCCCATCTTCATACATATATGTGGTTTTCGGGATCTGGTTGTCGTTCATCATGAAACATTCCCATGCTCAATACAACCAGGCGAAACACCCACAGAATCAATGAAAGATTGACGACCCTCCTTGCCCACTTGGAAAACAGCCAACCGCTCAGCAGCCTCAAAGCTATACTGCGGGCCATGATACTGGCGTTTGGCACGGAAAAACCACCAGAAGGCAGTGAGGACCATCAAGCCGACAACAATCACACTGGTATAGTTCATATTTTGAACCGTGGCCGGCAGCACGAGGGGGAAACAGAAGAAAATAACAGTAACCAAAATATACATCAAAGAAACAATATTAACCGCCATCCCAAGTTTCTGTCCCATATAAAACGGCCCGGGGACCATGTTTCCACGACCAGACAAGACATGCGGAAAGATGGCTCCAAAGTAGGACAGCGAGCTCAGTACAATAAATGACGAGATCAGCGCTTGGAATGCCGTCGTGCTGCCGATATATATGCACCCCAGGCAAGTGACGAGCGCGCTCATGGCAACTGTGGCACGCACAGGCGAGTTCAGTGTCGGGTGCACTTGCGCGAAATAGTTCGCAAAGGGTGTTGCGTTGTCGCGTGCTAAACTCCACCACATTCGACCGCCTGTTGTGAATGTCCCGATTAGAGTTGGGAAGGTTGCAAGAAACAGTACCGCGATAAGACCAATAGCGCCTCCGTTAGACCCTGTCGCTTGTCGGTAGATCTCAGCGGTTGGGAAAAAGCCGATGTTATTTGCAAAGACCGCGTCTAGATCTTGGATAGAGTAGAAGAGAGCGATGAGATACGCAAAGGATGTGACGAAGGCTGTGAGCATCTGCAACATTATGCCTTGCGGGACCTTGATGTCGGGTTTAGGGACTAGAATGTGCGTTAGTTGGTGGTTTCCTTTCCTTTTCTCCTGTTTCCGACATACCCTCTTCTGATAGATGGCTAATACAGTCCGGAACTCCAACTGCAAATGCAGCATTTAACAGACCAGTCATGAAACAAACTCCGTCTGACCATCCGCCCGTGTTGTTGTGGTACTCAGTCCACACCTGGGCGTTGCTGGCATGCTTTTTCGGCATCACCGTGAGAACCACCACAGTTGTAATTAGACCACACATCGATAGAGTAAGGGAAATGCGGTTGATGAGAGGAATAAACCGATTTCCCAAACATACGATGGCACAGCATGTCCAATTGACAATCTGGAATACAATGAATACTTGCCAGGAATGCCACTTCACAGTGGGATATCTGAGCAAGTACATGGCCACAGCCTCATTTCCTAACATAGAGCTCATTGATGACGCCGACAACAACCACGCGCAAGCATTCAGATACCCGGTAAAGAACCCCGCTGTGCGGCCTCGATTCTGGCTCAATACTGATGACCAGTAGTATACTCCACCGGCAGAAGGCATGGAGGAGGCGAGTTCGGCCAGCGAAGCTGAGATAGCCGTGTAAAAGACGCTGACTAGAATCAGTCCGTACAGAACAGCCATCGGACCGCCATTCTGGAGGGCAGCGACGATTGTGCCCCCTGTTGAAGCCCAAGAACTTGGTCCCGTTAGTTCATGGATGTTTCATCGGTGCAATTTCCGATGTACAAGGGCCTTACTTTGCAATAACAATCCCCAAGCTGGTCAGACTCCACAGTCCAAAGTTCCGCGACAGCTCTTGTTTGTGCCCAAGTGCAGATTCTAGCCGTACTTCGTCCATTGCGGCATGGTCTTTCGGGGACTTTTCAGTGTCCCCGGAGGGTTGCTTTGAGAACACCACCATTTTGCCGTGCGTCATGAGGTGTTAGAGCGAATATCAACAAGGGGATTGAGGCATGGCAACGACAAGATGAGGAAAGATAAAGGGAGGTACATCCCCACTAGGTTTGGCAGAGCATATAGGGCGCACAGGAACAATCGGGCGTGTCGCAACAGGAATGTAAGATGTGAGGGCCAATGCCCTCATGGCTGCCACATGTATTACGGAAGGTCCGAGCATTCATGCGAGGATGATTAGTCTCCCGTTTTCTCCGAAGGGATGCACATCTTTTCTTTTAACCTGGACGAAATATGGAGCGAGGGGCGTTATTGGCAAAATTGTATCACTATTTTGTCAGGAAAGGCCTAATGCTATGTGCATCTACGGGGTACACTATCTAAATTCAATACAATTTTGCTTATGATTGGGCCGGTACAAATTGTTTCTCCCGTGACCTTCCCAAGTCGGAACTGAGTTGATACATCGCAGGCTAAGTAAGGGGTTCGTGGAATACGGCATCTGGGCGTCGATCCGATGGGGCCTAGCCACATACATCCTAGCTTGGGGCGAATTTCAATCAAGGGCCAGGGTAACCCTTGCAATATTGTGGCGAGGTCATGGTTTTGAGATTGCGCAAAATTCGGTTGTTGGCCTGTTGAATATATTCTACTCCGTACATTCCAGCGTTCTCAGGGGTCTGCTGCGCAACATTCAATTGATCTGCGCCACGCATACAATCGCGATACCCTTGACGACCACATGGCCTCGGCTGGTCGATCATTTGCATTATAAATATAGGAATACGGTAAGTACAGAGTACTCCGTACACGCTGCTCCGTTAGTGTCTTGTTTGAACAATACAAATCCTCGGTTCTTCTTTTCTCGGGGAATAAGTCCCAATGTAACGGCGTGAGTGAGATGGTATGCAAACCACCCTTCTATCTGCATCCATCTGAGTTAGCCTCCAAATCATGGACATTGTCTATTTGAGTAGCTTCTTTACCCTCTTGCAAAAACGACAATAAGCATCGATGCCACCGACAGCCTCTAGGGATAGACCCTGGGGTCATCGTCCCACCAACCACAGCCCTTTCCAGTAGTTTCACGTGGTTGGTCAATACATAACTGAACACAACCAGCTTCGACTTCGTCAAAATGTGAACACAGCGGCGTTGCAACAGAAAAGCGCTCACTTCTGTTGAGGCGGTTAAACTGCTTCGAGCTGTCATAGGTTTCTAGGGACTGCTGCTCAATGAATGGTCTCAGTGGAGAAGGAATGCATGCGCATTAACTCCCAGTGATAGCGGGCGGAGAGAGAGAGAAAGAGATAGAAGGGAGGAGGGAACTAGATGGCTACGTAGGCCCTAACACCATGGGGGCTCCGCAGACGAGGTCTAGTGTCCTTGAATTAGAGTGAAGTGAATTGACCATTTTCTTAGACACTATCTCAACTCCGGCAATGCCGCCGCAATCTTTCCGAGGACACTCCTTCCCGATGGAACGGATAAGCAACTCAGTCATTTCGTTGCGAGCTCGAATGTCGAATGTATATGGAACGGGCTCGCTGACTATACCGGGCTGGAATTCTGGCCATCTTTTGGGGACCTTGTTGTCTTATACAACTCTACCGATATTGAATACGGCAAGTGATTGCGACATGGTGAGGAAGATGGTCGCATCGGCCAAAATGTTGCCAGGACATTTACGGCGTCCAAATCCAAATACAAAAAGGTGAGGGTCAGGTTCGGGGTTGTGATCGCCTATAGAGAGAAAGCGTTCTGGATGGAACCTCATAAGGTCGCAATATCGGTTGGGATCGTGCATGAACCCCCTACAAATAAGTCACAGTTAGAGACCGACAGTAAGCAAAACAATCAACAGCGTATGCAAACGTTCAGGAGTTATGATACTTACCAGATATTTGCAATAATTAAGGCCCCTTTCGGAATGTAGTAGCCATGACACATATCAGCCTCAGAAGACATATGCCGAAACCCCATGGGTGCGACGGGGTGCCAACGGAGGACTTCTTTTACCACTGCATCGACATAGGGGGGACGCTGGCGATCTTCAAATTGAGGTAGCCGGTTGGATCCTATCACGCGGTTGATTTCCTCTTGTGCTTTTTGTTGGACGTCAGGATACATGCCCATTGCAAGGAAGAACGTAGCAATCGATGAGACGGTCCATTGAAACAGTCAGATAACAATCTTTATAGAACCCTTTTATCTTCTTTGTAATAGAGACTTACGGTGTCCGCCCCGCCAGCGTAGAGAGAGGCCGATGACCATTTGGCTACCCTTTCATCTTCCGAATTTGCTCAATTCCACTTTCCAAGACTGCGGAAAGCAAAGAGCTTTCATGCCCAGTTGGCCCATATTTCGCTTGACGAAGGAGAATGGAACGGCTGCCACACTAAAAAGCGTTTCCCGGAAGTATCTGGCAGTCTTCCTGAACTCGGCTCCTGGGACCCAAGATGGCAAGTATTGCACTTTCCAGGTAAGCAACAAGGTGATTAACTACTAGCGGAGAAATGTATCACTCTTACAGACTGGAATAAAATCCACCAACCATACCCCAGTTGTCGCTGCAATGGAAAACTGCTCTAACGCCAGATGAGCCAGATCAACCAGGGGATCCGGCTTATGGGGCTCAATAATGTAGCCGTAGGCATTTTCAATATAATCGCTCCAGATTGTCTGGTTGGCTTCCATTCAGATCTTCTGATGTGCATTCGGATAGTATTCAACTTATTTCTGAATATGATGGAGTAGATCACTAGGCTTGTGAAATACACGAAGTAGGAAACGGCCGGTCTCGACTTTTGGCAGATGGCTGAACCGGCTAACAGCTGGCACTGTACCAATATGTTTGTGGAGAAGCTTACGATATGATCGGAAGCGATCCGAGTAGGGCAGCGCAATTAGAGCGTTTACCCAACCGATCTTATGAGAGCAGCTTCAGTATGCCTTCAGTGGCAGTTTATTGACCGATTCAGACGGTTACATTTCTCCAGCAAAGGTCATATTCGGCCGAGAAGAATGGACAGCCGAGCGCTTTTCCAACAACTCCAAGGCCATCTCCACGTCGTTGAGCACGATTATCGTGCGCCCGAACACCGTAAGCGAACTAATATGCCCTGCGCAAAAGAGGCGTCAGTCAACAATAATCAGTCTCGTCACACGAGTATCAACAGGTTTCACAAACCATAGAGATCTTTGTGTTTCAGCCAATGCTGCCAATCCTGCACGCCGGACGGTGGTAAATCGCCCAAGTTCCCAACAACTGGCTTCGGTCGAGGCCCTGGGGGGAGGCTTGCCCGCCGGCTGCCATGGCGCACATATAGAGTGGCCGAGTATGACAACACTACAGTAACGACTGTAGGAAATGATTTGAAAAAACATGTTGCAGAAAGTGAACTTCCAAGTGAGAGGATCCGAAGTAATTTAATAATAAACAGTACTTCCAAGGTTGCAGTTTGACAGATCTGATTCTGCCTGTGGGTATAGAAGCTAATGGCCGGACTTACAACCGAGAAATTTCATCAAGTCAGCAAGGAAATACACCCAGTACGTACTTATAGCCACATCACACTGATAAAATCGTGGTAACTCTGAATACGGTGAGCAAAGAAAGAGTTATACATTCCAGGTTAGGTGTATTGTTACACCACATAATCAGTTTCCTTACAGGCCACTCGCGCATTCTTATCAGCATCTCCCTCGCCTCTCTAGTATCGCTAAGCTGATATGTACATATAGCCAGACTGATCCCCAATCACTCCGGTTGGGTATGCTCAACTTCTGATTTGCTACGTAATGCGAGGGATTGCGAGAAAGACTGCAAACATTTGTGAACAATGTAGCCCGAAGTCTGGCAGCGGGATCCTTTTAGCGTTCCAACATAAATGCTTCATGTCCTGCCTTGTGCTTGAGCGTTCGTTCTCACTCTCGTATGGAACTAATATTTGACGTGGACTTCCGTGTGTATGATAAAGCCCGGTCGAAAAGGGGAAACCCGCACTACTAATCTACCACCTTATTGATCTTTTACTATCTACCTGTACGATACAAGTATACTATGGCGTCTCCCTGGAGCTGTGGTGATTGCTCAAGAAAGGAAACCGTGCTAGCGGTCAGATCCTGCGTGATCAATTTGGAGAGGCTTGGCATCTCACTGAAGGTATATAGGTTTCAGGACCAGACTCTCACACCTAACGCTGACCTCGGATAGCTGAATATTCCCTATCATGAGTTGGTCCGGGACACAGGTTACGAAGTTCCAGCAGCACAAGATCCCGGGACGGAGCTTGTTTTAGCAACCGAATTAGACACTCATCGCCAGTTCACGCTGTCCTCTATACCAATTCCAGAGGATGCAGAGAAGAAAGCAAAATCAGAGCTCAAAGGAATATGCCTCTTCTTCCCATAAGTCCGTTCAGTCAGAATACGTATTTGCATGGCTGCATGGGTGGGCACGCTATGTGACGTCGACGACTTGATAGAGGCTATGTCTCCCAGTGATGCTGCGTCGGCCATATCTGGGTCACTTGCAATTCTCCAAGATGAAGTCGGTAATAGCATGGGTGAGTCATGCTTCAGACAATGAGGCTCTCGTCCAACGTAACGCTAACGGTTGATAATCAGAAGCGAGTGGTATTTCGAGCATAAAGAAGGTCATAAACGCTATGCAGATGTTCCGAGACCATTGCAGAAGGTACCTGAGTAAACCTGAAGCTAAGGATTTCTTTGATGAGGTTTGTACCGCTTTTGAGGGCTTCTCGTTCGAGCTGGAGCTCCGTCAGAAGGCCTTGGCCTCTAGCCTTGAGACATACATCGATATCCGCACCCGGACGATTGGTGTGGCTCCATTCTTTAACCTGATAAAAAGTGAATACTCGCCGGGATATCATGTGGACGATTCGCTGGAAATGCAACGGGACGTCTACACTGTGGTTGGACTGCAGAATGACTTAATTGGATTGGAAAAGGATATTGAAACCGGGGGAGCCCCGTTATATACGCCATGCAAAGCACCCGACAGAAAGAGGGCCAAGATGTTGAGATAGGTCTCCCAGGTGCGGTTTCTTTAGTGTGCGAACTGCATAATACCGCGATCAAGCGGGTCCTGAAGAGACACAACCATCTTATAAGAACTACTGAATGCCCTCCCTCGTCGGGAACGGTCATTGCAAACGCACTGCTCCTCTTTACGGCAACGCATTTGGAATGGTGTCTCTCAACCAAACGGTATCGGGCGCGGCTGATCCTCGAAAGGGATAGTGGAAATTAGAGGCGGTCCAATCTTATGGTCCCTTCACTTGGCATTGCTATCTTGTACCAGACTAAGAGCGTCGTAAAGAAAAGTTTGTTTGCTATAATCTCTCTAGCCCTGTAGACAGGTTTACGCTATTTTCACCGTGAAAGTAGGCCAAGCTCTCTAAGTCGTCGTGGAAACATAATACGCCAAGTGACAGTGAATTGCCTCGTGTCTCCGCCAAGCAGGGCTAAGTTACCTTGTAGTCAAAAGGCAGTCACCGTTTCGCTTTTATGGTTCTACCCTGCTGGTAATTGGCAGAGCGAGTAAGAGTCGTGGGGACGGGTCTTTGCTCCAGGAATAGCTATATCCGAGCAGGAGTTTAACCCTACAGAGCATAGGGTAGTCACATTCATCTAACGGGGAGCAGTTGAGTAGAGTTGAGGAGGAATCTCTCATATCTTTGTAATCACCAGCGGCGTTTCGGCTTCCGAAATACCATGATATAGTGAAGACTATTCATGAATAAGGTTCTCTAGGGATGAAACGCAGAAAGTTGAACGTTCATATCAGGCATGATCTTCGGTCCACCATTGGCCTACCATGTCAATTATTACTCACCCTTTCTTTAGCTCGCATATCGCGCAAGTCTATTCTTATGGAGGATCGCTCTGGTGGGATCACCATGCAGATCAACGCCCCAAACTCCCCAATAAGATCAGCCGCACGTCTCCAATGTACCCACTATGGAATATGATCTATCAATGAGTTCGTTTGTGCTCGAGGCATGGAGGTCACAAAGCTATCGGCAACGTGCATAGGGGGAAGTTTACGGCCCAAAATAACCTTCGAAGAATCCCAATTGAATGGCGATCCAGAATGATTAAAATTGGTTACACCAAACTCGCTTAATGCATCCTATTGGAGATATCGCGCACAGCCTGCGTCGCTTTGCACAACATTGGGCATTTATTGGAAAACTCAGTATCACAAGGTGATCTTTATCAGCCTCTTGGCCTGACCAGCGTAAGGAAAGACTCCAAGATACAGAGGAGGAACGCGAAGCATGTATCTTCTCCTGTCTGGATTCTGTGCCCCGTGCGTGCTTTGTACATTCCAAACCCGACTGTCACCGACCGGATTGGCGCTTTGAGGGAATCCCTTGCGTCTGCGCCCCATTCTTCCTTGCTTGTCAGCCTGTACTGACATCTCACGGAGGAAGACGCATGACGCGACAGCCCTGTCTCGGTTGGTAGCTTTAAATCCATCCCCGGCACCTTAGTTTATCCACTTTCACCGACTGATGAAATGCTCGCTTTCCTCGGCGCAGTATCCTGTTCTGAATACCTCATTTATAGATTTACCCACTATCAGTGAACAAGCTATGACAGCAGTTCACACTTGTCACTGATGCTCCTCATCAGCACCATTCGATAAATCGCTGTTTCCCATACATAGAGACTCGTTCTATAGCGCCCTGGCAACTTGAGGTCCGGTTTAGGCTGAGGGTTTCTCTATATTCAAGATGGGGAACGTGTCGCCCACTCCAAACCAGCTCTTTTCAGAAGCTATAGTCTTCTGGTCTATAGGGCTTATTATTTATGTCGGGAGAATGTAAGTTTGAGATGCAAGTCCGGAATTGGGCCAGATTGTTAACTGCAGCAAAGCGTGGCTCGTATAATTGCCAATGGATCAATCAAACGGTTGTTTGGTAAGACTTATAGGCTCTTCTTTTCTTTTTGATTTTGCTAATGAGTAACTCTCTAGTGGACGACTATGTGATGACAGCAACCTTCGTAAGTGCTATCATCGGGAAATCATGATCATCACCTCTTTCGACTAACCCGACGGCTCCTCGAAGGCAATTTATACCACAATGTTGGTACTGATTCAAATATCGGCCCGCTATGCGACGAACCTCATGGATCCTAAGGACTACGACCAAGTGCTAGCAGACCCAAAGCAAGTCAGCGATCGGATCTATGGAAGCAAAATTGTCATTGGACTGGAGCAATGCATGTTGGTCTCAACCTGGGGTGTCAAGGCATGCATGTTGATGCTCTATTGGCGAATCACGCAAAACCTGAAATCGAACTTTTACATCAAGATCCTGTCAGTTTACGTTGCCATCGGATTTGTCGTCATAATGGTCACCTATTATACGGTTTACTGCCGGCCATTCTCACAATACTGGGCCATGCCCGTTGATAACATGCAGTGTGCGACATACCAGTACTACTCGATAACCCAAGCCGTCTTCAACATTTCTTCCGATGCCGTCATGTTCGCCATCCCAATTCCACTGCTCATCAAAGCTCAACTCAAACGGCGCAGAAAGGTCGTCCTCATTGGTGTCATGAGTCTGGGATTGTTCACCATCATTGCCGCTATCCTAAACAAATACTTCAATTTTGCCTCCCCACTTACAACCACCTACCAAATCTGGTACATCCGTGAAGCCAGTACAGCAATCTACGTTGCCAACCTCATGTGCTGGTGGCCTCTACTGCGCAAGTTGTTTGGCGTCAAGGCATTCCAGTACAACAGCAACCGCGCTCAGCGACCTGGAGACCCCGACAACCAAAACAATGATAGTAGTGGCTCCTACTCCAACAAGTCACAACCTCGTCCTTCATTCGCATTTCCTCGATCATGGAAGCCACATTGTCGTCGAGGCAATAAAACCCCAACGACTGACAAGTACAGCGACGCCAAGCGCTCGAGTACTGAACCCATCAACAGGTCCAATAACGAGTTCGTCAACGAGATGCAACGTGTCGAAGCTGTTCCCCTTGAGAACTGGACCACAAAAGCACATCTCCAAAGGGAAAATTCGACAACCAAAGGCTCACTCAACTCGCTTGAGAAACAATCTGACGGTCAATTGTACCAGAAGAAGCACGTACGCTCGCCTTATTGATGTCATAAGTCCGGTGGAAGTTGTTGTCTATTGTACATTTTAAGACCTAACACTTTAGTGACTTATACATGTATTTGAATCAAACTACTTTTTCCTAGTCATAGTCCACACGAAGTGGAAATAGACAGTTACCCCGGATCTACAGCTTAAGATCCCTTTAAACATAATCGGGTATATGTTGTGCCGGCTAGCGGGGCGTGAGGAACGACTCCCATTGAACCGCCCATCTCGCCGCCTGCCGCTCCCCGTCAACCTCTTGCCTGCTACGGTGTGGTTCTTACCAGTCCGGGGATAGCGCGCCTCGCACTGCTGCTAGGCCGCTCTACCATCCCTTGACTGAACTATATAACCCCAACCGCACCCCTCCAAGGACGACGCACATCCTCTTCTTCTTTCCTCCCTTTGTCCTTCCCACCGGTGCACTGCCCCCTTCAATGGATGCCGCTTTATCCGACAGTTGCCCTCTTTCGGTAAGGCGCTCCTTCCCGTTCATTATCCCCCATGAACTACGGAGTCGCCGATGTGTTGTCTGACTCAGTTTTGACGACTTGCAGCTGCTTTGTTTGTCGACCAATAACTCTGGTGATGAAGGTTCCTTGACAATCATGGAAGTCTGGACTCGCGAAAGCAATTGATACCTGATTTTCGATATTGACTGTGTTTTCGGTCTCTCCCAGCCTTTACTCTGCCGATTTCTGTTTGCTCTTCCGGCCTGGTAACTTGAAACAGTGATGGCGGCCTTGTCGCCACCCGGGTGCCGGAGATGGTACCTATTCTCCACCTGCAAAGCCAGCCTGCTCACTAGCTGGCACTATTCGCACTATTCTTGTCTAACCAATTCATGATCATTTAGGTGTGGTCGATATCTGCATTCTCACGATGCTCACCATCTAATAGCGAAAATACCGCACCCCTCTTCTTGTGACCTAGACCAGGCCCACTAGGATGCATTGGGTCATCCGTACATTGGAGGCGCAGCCCTTCGCGAGCGATTGTAACCGTTGGATGTGAAAAGTTCTGGGCATTCTAGCGTGAATGGGTACTACTTTTCCCGGGAGAACAGACGCGTTAGCAGCTGAACTTCATTCTTGGCCTGCGTAGATATGGGAAAGAAAACAGACAAGGTCTGGAGGAATAGGGATCGTTTAGGTTGATGGTATAAGAGATGCCACTGACCCCAGTATTGGAGTTATTACGTTCACCGCTCCAATGCCACACAATCCCCCTTCCCTTCACTGCGTCATTCCCTAGAGATATTCCAATCTATATTCCATGTCAATTCCTTTAAGCCCTGGATTCCCCCTCTAGCCAAATCACATCAGTCACAGAATGTCCAAAAGACCTTGAAACCTCTTAGATACCCAAAACCTGTCTCTGCCTCCAGCAGCCCTTCTGCTTCCAAACCACATAAAGTTCCCGTACACCGTGTTTGCTCCCTATATATAATTCTGAACACCACCCCCTGTCGGCGCGGCTGCCAGCGGAAGTTTGTGTACCTGCAAATTCCTAGTCACGTACTCTAAAGAGCCCTCGACCAACAAGTGGCAGATCCTCCCCAGTACCCAGCTTGTTGCATACCGCCTGCCGCACAACGGCTTCCGTTAAGGAAGGTGAAACCTACCCAACCAGTCTGGGTCTACCAGGCGATTTCAGACACCCTATCACTGATGCTCCTATTAGAGTATCCTCGCTTGAAGAGAGCGTTGCAATAGATGATCTCAACTCCAAGTGTATCTAGCCTGGAGGTGGCCTAGAGCAGTTCTTTCGGCTTCCAGGTATAAGCAGCGCCATACCTATTGATCTAGAAATTCTTACAGATAGAGAGCCTTATAGTGTGAGCGAGTCACACCATGCCGTCCAGCAATATAGTGGTCAAGGTGCCTAAGAAATAGATTACGCTTATCCTAAGCCTCCACCTAACTTTTAAGATATTACCGGCTGTTATCAGCGTTCGACCGAGGGGCATCCTGATCCGTAGGGTAATACGTCTCACATAACTAACCACCCTCGCCATAATAACCATCGACTATTATATCTTATCTCTGTCCTCATCAAATGTAAGGAAGGAGGAGTTCAAAGCTTTTAGTGAGTTCATCTGGTACTAAGTTCTCGATAACTCTGACAATTAGGCACTTGCATCCCGGCAGAGGTACTTGGCGATGGTGGCTATCTACATTTGAAGCAGAAGAACCTTGAATCTATAAGTCTGGTGACAGACAGGAGCTATCCAAGACATAGTTACAATTTGACACAGTTTACAAGTCTCAAGGCTCTTTCATGGACGGGTCTGAGGGAACACGGTGACTTTTTGGCTCTTCGTGAGTCTTTAGACTTGGCATCATATCATCTTGAGAAACTGGGGCTGAATTTTATAAAGTGGGAACAAGGGCGCTATATCAGCATGCTAGCTGACGAACGGCGAGACAATTATTTTGCCTTGGATATTCTATGGCTTTCGCGGGGTGCAGAGAAGCTAATATTTCCAGTTCTGCGACAACTATCGCTCTCTGCTTTGTCATTCACTTTTGCTGAAAGAGAAATGGCATGTGCTTTTAACTTCGTCGCGCTGAATCTTTAAGGCTTCGCTTTTGCCCTGGATGGGAGTCGTTTCTGCGCCACCCATTTCCTTGAAATCGCTAGAGATACAGTCAAACATTAAGCTTGATGACGGTGACGAAGAAAAGTCTGCAATATCCACTTTCTTAAGGGCTATTGTAGGGCTGGAGGAGCTTTTTATCTGCATCAGTTCACGCTCAGGCTCACTGCATGTTTGGCGAGCCATGTTGCGGCATAAGTCAACATTGAGAAATTTTGTTCACCTCTTGGACCCCGAAATTGGAGAACCCTATAACCCTCCCGGTCTATCTTTTATCCTTGAGGATCTCAATCAACTGAAGGATTAATCCGAGAACCCTTCAACGAACTTAACTTGGTTTTCCTTGGCATGAGCTGTGTACTGAGATATCTGGTACGAATTCCTCTTACGTCTGACTAGGTGAAATCTCGAACCGACTAGTTCAATCTCAAGAGGCCAACCATACGCCCCATAACCGCAAAGATGACCCTAAAGATCCTACATAGCAGGCAGTCCGGGTCGGATCTCAAACATTTCAGTGCTTGGGGGATTCCAAACGCTGCACGCCCAGCCAGCAACAGTGACTCCACTAATGAGGAGAGGGACGATGAATCAATGGACAGGACTTCTCCAGAGATAACCAGCACTCTTGACAGGTTTGCGCAATGCGCTTTTGGAAACAGGGGTCTTCCATCACTGCAAGTCCTTGGGTACGGGGACTTTTGTATGATGGGAAGTATGCTAAAAGCAGGGTGCTTCTCTGCAGAGATGATTTTTCAAGCAGGCACTACAGGCACCTCACAGAGTTCGACAGATTGCATTTGGATACATTACAAGAATATGTGGATGTTTTAGGAGCTTCCCTGCTGACCTTCTCCTGGAGGATTGAGTAATCCATCAGCAGTACACCGTCAAGTTGCAACCTACATGGAGGACAGTATTTTCTTGTGTAGCTGAGGTTGTTAAAATAAAGAATGTTAGTTCCTACACCTAGTTCTAAGATGTAGAACGTTCCATAACTTAGTTTCCACAGTAAACAGTATACTTCATATAACAATATACTCCGTCATATTTGCAGATCGAAGGATCACGTAATAAAATATAAAGAGCACCTCGAGCGGTAGATATTCTAGACAGATCCTGCGGCAACTGTATGTCACTCTAACATGGTAGTCCTTGCTGTCGCACTTCACGTTTCGAAAAGTCGTGGAGGTATATTTTTAGTTCCTATGCCGCCCGAATACAGGGGCAGGGTGTCAGAGCCCTAGTTAACTGCCACGGCGACTAAGTCATGAGTCTCACTGCGCTGTTAATGACGTATTGGGCGACTGAGTGCGCCTAAAACCTCCGAGCTTTTGAAGACAGCAATGGAGCAATTCCGTGGTGCCTTTATAGAATCGTGGCCCTCGGTGATAATATAAGATAGGAAATAAGGTTTTGCCTGTTCCCAGGTCCGGACAGTAGATATACGCAGATCAGTTACTTTCAGCCACTTCATTAAATTATCTATAGGTCCTTCCTAGCAATCGGTGACAAACTATTTGATAATGCGTGCAACTCTCCCCAAATTACCAAGGAAAATAACGACAAACAAAAGAGTAGTTCGTCAAAAAAGAGGTCGGCGCAAAACCACCTGGATGAAAAAAGCATGTGAATATAGCAAAATGTGCGGTGCTGATGTTTGCCTAGGCATACGTGTCAGGGAAAGCGGCCGAGTATTTATCTTCTCCGCAGATGCTTCAGGGTTCTGGAAATTTTTAGGCTCGTAACTGGTATCTCCCCCAGGAAAATTCATACTTAAAAGCTGATTTATTTAGGACTCCTATTACCTGAAACCAAGTCGGATAACAGAAAAGGAGGTCGCATTGGCCCATTATATTCATCGCCTGAACAAGTGGGCCACACCACTGCGGGACTGGGCGCCAACACATCTGATTGCTAAAATCAATTCATCGCTCCCACATTATACAAAGTCGAAACCCAGACGTCAGATGACGGAAATAATGGGCCAATGAACCCCGTTTGGCTTGGCAGACACGCTGTCTGCCAAGCCAACAGGCCGATGTCTGCGAACTTTGGCGCTAGTGCTCCATGCCCAAGCCTTGAAAATTCTTGGCTCTCGGCACACTTTGACATGCTCTTCACTCGCCTCTTTATGCTATCGGAGATGAGGGTTAAAGCTGATTCATTGTTGAATATAGAAGCCATCGATCAATATAAAGGGCGTCACCGTCAGTCCGCTCTCCGCGATTCATGGTATGTCGTGCTGCCCGAGGCGGTGTAGACAAATCAGCCTTCGTTGCGCCAATAATGGTATCAATATGAAAAGATACTGAAATTGGACTGTATAAAACCCAATCAGTGTGTTCACACTTCTTGCGGCCTAGCGGTAATTTTGGTTGACAGGGGGCTCTGACTTTAGTAAGGCACGCTTTGACTTGGTCCAGCATCACAAGGCTCTCATGAACAGACACATATCATTTGGCTTCAGTTAACGGCCGAGCATCTAAACACCCTCGAATCCGTCCTGCAACTATCTCCATAAATACAAAAAAAGCCTGCTTTTCCAGCGAAGCGCTTACGGAGGCGATGAGCGACGAACGATCTCGCAAGAGACTTTTGAAACGACTCTTTAAGAGGGATTCGGTGAATGCGGAGGAGCCTCATAAACTTGCACAACACAACACTGCCAATGTACCTGCAAGGCCAGCCGGTATGGGAAATAACCCACTATTTGGATCATTGCTGACGTACCATAGAACATGTCTCCTTCCACTCGAGCAGCGTCATTGCGTCGACTCCTACGGTCTCAGTTAACAACCAGTCAACCACAGGTCCTTCCGCTTTGATTCCTGCACCCTCTGAGAAGACATCCCAAAGAGGGACGAACTATATAGAGAGGGATGTGGGAGTGATGGGAAAAGAAACTGCTGTCGCCGCAAATCCAACCCAAAAGCAAGACACAGATACCAGAGAGGCGGAATCTACTCCTGCTTCTCTCTGGGACAAAGCATACGATTCTCTGAAACAAGAACAATCCAATTTACTGTCCAGATATGAGGACCTTTTGTCCCGAGTACTTATAAAGGGTAAGTCTGATCACAGAGAAATTGTACCTCCACAATGCTGATAATATGATATAGCTGAGGCGAACGACCTGTCAGCCCCGAACCAGGGAGAAGACTCCGGTGATGTCAGCAATCGGATTCCTCAGCATAATACAACTGCCCGCCAAGAGATACTGAAGCAGATCACTGAACTGGGCCTGAAGCACATGGAAGACAAGAAGGTCAAGGTGACAATCCTAGGACATGAGATTGGCCTGCAAGATAGTATTGGAAAGGTTGGTGAGACTGTGGATTGGGCACGAAAATACATACAGGATGCGATCAAGGATGTGCCTTATGCGTCAGCTGTGATGGCAGGCATCTCACTTATCCTTCCCCTCTTGAAGAACCCAGCCGCTATCGACACTGCTAGCCGGGAGGGGTTTACATATGTTACCTCACAAACCCGCTATTACATTGAGATGGAGTCACTCCTGTTACCCGAGGACATGAAGCCTGACTTGAAGTCTGACTTGACGGAACGTGTTCTGGACCTGTATAAATTGGTCATTGAATTCCAGGTGCAGAGTGTCATGAGGTTTTACCGCAGCCGGACCAAGAATTACTTCAGGAGTATAATCAACTACGACAGCTGGAAAGATAAACTGGAGCACCTTCAGAAGGAAGAGTCAAGTCTTGAGGAGAAGTTTGAGAAAGCTTTATCCAGCACGAGTTTACAGCAATTGAAGAAACTGGCGAGGGAAGCAGAAGGATCGCGCAAGACCCTGGATAACATTCTCAACAATATTCAGGAGCTTGTTTTCATTTCTCAAGACCAAAAGGCAATCCTTGAGAGGACTGAGAGACACTTGTCTAATGCGGAGGACCGACGGTGCCGAGAGACTCTCCAGGCCACTGACCCTAGCCTTGACAAAGAGCGAATCGAGGAAGACAAGGGTGGTCTTCTCAAAGACTCATACAGCTGGGTGCTCAGCAATGATGATTTCCAGAACTGGAGGGATGCGAGTTACAGCCAACTTCTGTGGATCAAGGGGGATCCTGGCAAGGGCAAGACAATGTTACTATGCGGGATTATTGATGAGCTGTCAAAGATGGCTACGGATAAGACGAACATTTCGTTCTTTTTCTGCCAAGCTACTAATAGTCGCATCAATAATGCCACAGCCGTCCTGCGGGGCCTGATATATATGCTTGTGCGGCAACAACCGTCACTTATCACGCATGTCCGCGACGGCTGCTTCGAGGGCGAGAATGCCTGGTTTGCTTTACTCAGAGTCTTCAACAGCATTCTCGAAGATCCACATTTACACAGAACTTACCTGATTATCGACGCACTTGACGAGTGCACTGCGGACTTGAGCCGACTTCTTCATCTTCTGGTCCAAAAGTCACCAGCTTGTTCGCACGTTAGATGGATCGTCTCTAGCCGCAACTGGCCGGGCATTGAGAAAGACCTCAATGACACGACGCAAATAAAGCTCCGTCTTGAGCTAAACGAGGACATTTTGACTGCTGCTGTTGACTCATTTATCCAGTACAAAACAAATAAGTTGGCAGAAGAGAACAATTACAGCCCCAGGCTTCGGGATGATGTCCAGCATCACTTAGTATCAAAGGCAAATGGCACCTTTCTCTGGGCCGCATTGGTTTGCAAGAATCTCGCGCGAGTCCCGGCAAGAAATGTTCGGAAGAAGTTAGAAAATTTCCCTTCTGGCCTGGATGAGCTCTATCAGCGAATGTTGAATCAAATCAGTGAATCAGACGATGCTGAATTCTGCAAGCATCTTCTTGACATTACCACGACCGTTTACCGTCCTGTTACCTTGGATGAATTGGCATCTTTTATCGACCTACCTGAAGACGTTGCAGGAGATTACGAGACTTTGAAAGAGATAATAGAGTCCTGTGGCTCTTTCCTGACGCTCCGAGAACGCAAAATCTCCTTGGTCCATCAGTCAGCCAAGGACTTTCTACTGCAAAAAGCATCTGCTAAAATATTTCTTGGCCATGCGGAAAATATACACCATTTCATTTTCTCAAGATCGTTGCAAGTCATTTCTGGGATACTGCGACGCGACATCTTCAACATTCGATCACCAGGATTCCCGATCGATCAGGTCAAAACGCCCTATCCGGATCCATTAGCAGCGGCGCAGTATTCGTGCGTATATTGGGTTGACCATCTCCTTGACTATCATGCCGGCCAGACCGAAGGATGGTCTAAAGACTTGCAAGATGGCGGTATGGTTGACGAGTTTTTGCGAACAAAATATCTTTATTGGTTTGAGGCCCTTGCTCTTCTCCGATGCCTCTCAGAAGGAGCGCTCGCGATATCGCGGCTAACAGACTTAGCTCAGGTAAGCCGTGGGACACCGCTGCTATATTCTTCACAGATCTTCCTAATAATTCTATAGAGAGTAGCAAAAGGATCCCAATTGCTAAGTCACATCCAATATGCACGCCGATTTATTCTTTATTTCAAGGGAGCGATAGAACAAAGTCCTCTACAAGTGTACACTTCTGCACCCGTGTTCAGCCCAGCCTGCAGCTTGATACGAGGCTTGTTCAAGAAAGAGGAGCCTCAATGGATTATGAACAAGCCAGCCATGGAAGATAGCTGGAGCGCTTGCTTACAGACCCTCGAGGGCCATAGCCACGGGGTCAGTTCAGTCGTCTTTTCCCACGACTCCAGGCTCCTCGCCTCCACTTCGGACGATAAGACCCTTAAACTCTGGGACGCCACCAACGGCCAGTGTCTGCAGACCCTCGAGGGCCATAGTTACCGGGTCAAGTCAGTCGTCTTCTCCCACGACTCCAGGCTCCTCGCCTCCGCCTTGCTCGATAAGACCGTTAAACTCTGGGACGCCACCAACGGCCAGTGCCTACAGACCCTCGAAGGCCATAGTCACTCGGTCTGGTTAGTCGTCTTCTCCCACGACTCTAGGCTCCTCGCCTCCGTTTCAGGTAATAACACCGTCAAGCTCTGGGATGCTACCAACGGCCAGTGCCTACAGACCCTCGAGGGCCATAGCCAAAGTGTCAGGTTAGTCGTCTTCTCCCACGACTCCAGACTCCTCGCCTCCGTCTCGAGCGATAAGACCGTCAAGCTCTGGGACGCCACCAACGGCCAGTGCCTACAGACCCTCGAGGGCCATAGTGACTGGGTTAACTATGTCGTCTTCTCCCACAACTCTAGGCTCCTCGCCTCCGCCTCGAGCGATAAGACCGTCAAGCTCTGGGACGCCACCAACGGCCAGTGTCTGCAGACCCTCGAGGGCCATAGTGACTCGGTTTACTCTATCGTCTTCTCCCACGACTCCAGTCTCCTCGCCTCCGCCTCGCGCGATGAGACCGTTAAGCTCTGGGACACCACCAACGGCCAGTGCCTACAGACCCTCGAGGGCCATAGTCACTCGGTTAGCTCTGTCGTCTTCTCCCACGACTCCAGGCTCCTCGCCTCCGCCTCGCTCGACCACACCGTCAAGATCTGGGACGCCATCAACGGCCAGTGTCTGCAGACCCTCGAGGGCCATAGTGACTGGGTTAACTGTGTCGTCTTCTCCCACGACTCCAGTCTCCTCGCCTCCGCCTCGCGCGATAAGACCGTCAAGCTCTGGGGTGCTACCAACGGCCAGTTCCTGCAGACCCTCGAGGGCCATAGTCACTCGGTTGACCCTGTCGTCTTCTCCCACGACTCCAGGCTCCTCGCCTCCGTTTTAGGTGATGACACTGTCAAGCTCTGGGATGCTACTAACGGCCAGTGCCTACAGACCCTCGAGGGCCATAGTCACTCGGTTTACTCTATCGTCTTGTCCCACGACTCTAGGCTCCTCGCCTCCGCTTCGGACGATGAGACCGTCAAGCTGTGGGATGCTACCAACGGCCAGTGCCTACAGACCTTCGAGGGCCATAGTCACTCGGTTTACTTTGTCGTCTTCTCCCACGACTCTAGGCTCCTCGCCTGCGCTTCGGACGAGACCGTCAAGCTGTGGGATACTACCAATGGCCAGTGTCTACAGACGCTCGAGGGCCATAGTGACTCGGTTAACTCTATCGTCTTCTCCCACGACTCTAGGCTCCTCGCTTCCGCTTCGGAAGATAAGACCGTCAAGCTCTGGGGTGCTACCAACGGCCAGTTCCTACAGACCCTCGAGGGCCATAGTGACTCGGTTAACTCCGTCGTCTTCTCCCACGACTCTAGGCTCCTCGCCTCCGCTTCGGACGATAAGACCGTTAAGCTCTGGGACGCCACCAACTGCCAGTGCCTGCAGACCCTCGAGGGCCATAGTGGCTGGGTTAACTGTGTCGTCTTCTCCCACGACTCCGGTCGCCTCGCCTCCGCCTCGCGCGATAAGACCGTCAAGCTCTGGGACGCCACCAACGGCCAGTGCCTACAGACCCTCGAGGGCCATAGTCACTCGGTCAGATCAGTCGTCTTCTCCCACGACTCCAGTCTACTTGCCTCCCACGACCCCAGGCTCCTTGCCTCCTCTTCGGACGATGAGACCGTCAAGGTCTGGGACCCCAACAACGGCCAGTGCCTGCAGATCATTCATGCAGGAAGAGTTGGCTCCATGAAATCATTCGACATCACTAACTCATACCTTAAAATGGACCGTGGCAATATTTGTCTATCTTTATCTTCAGGTAAAAGACAGACCAAAATTAATCCCGAATTGCCGCGATTCCAAGGATATGGTGTGAGCTCCGACGGTATATGGATTACTTGGAATTCGGATAACTTACTATGGCTACCGCCGGAGTACCGGCCCGTTACTACTGCCGTTGGGCCGTCGAATATTTCAATTGGGTGTGACTCGGGACGGGTGCTAATATTCAAGTTCGATTCTCAGAGACTTTTGCGTTTCCTTGCTGGTAACTGAATCATTTGAGATAGAGCATATACTACGGAATTTCGCCTTTCACCAATGTCTGTCTGCTAATGTCTTCGCAAAATGAGAGAATGGGGTAAATGGTGAAATTATAGCTTGGTAAATTGCCACCCGTGTTCCTATTGTAGGATTCTATAAATTTCATTCAGCGAGATTTAGTTAAATCACGGCATTGCTGATCACGGAACTGTCGTACATTCCATGTCAGATTATTCGAATTGACTTTGTGTCATAACTACATGATAGATCTTACTACACGCCTAACGTGGCTTGCTCAATGATCTACCCGGTAGAAACATCTTCCGGTATAACATCAAATACGACACCCATGGAGGTCCTGGAACCATGCAAAAGTCGCTTCTTGGGGGCTCTTAAATCTGTGCCCGACTTCTTTTTGTTTCAAAAGGCACACGTAACGATCCTAGGCCAACCCCATCTCCAGAGTATTATCTTGAGCTAGTATATAACAATACTCGCGATAACACCTACTGGCGGTAGCTCAGATGATATGTCTCTCAAACGCTACGATGTCTTCAATATACATATTCTCCTTCGGCCGCCGGGCGACTTGTAGACCTTTCGGCTCAGTCACAATGGCAATATCCTATAGAAAATCAGCAGTCATTCCTCTTTGGCTAGAGCAGAAATGTGATTTTGTGCTTACATCTTGCACTCTGATAATTGTATCCTTGCTCAGCCCTATCACCATCCCCTATTTAAGAATAAGATGGCACCATTTCTAAAATGACTTAAGCGAGTTCTTGTATCCAATACCCAGGTAGTATTGACCGTTCCTACCACGACAGAATATCGCACCGCCAGCCGAAAAATGCATATAAGAAACGGATTGTCTCATCCGAGTCTGAGATCCACTGCTAGTGCTACACCCGGTCAACGCCGAGATATCGACAATACCTGCCAGAAAGCCACTAATTAGCTTTTAAGAAAGCTAGGGAGTTAGGACGGTTACCTATTCTAGTACATATGGGTCTTATCTAGCTTTTCCTAGGTGCTGTCACTATAACACTTCTGTCGAAGCTGAAAGACATCCAGGCCGTTTGCTTCGGCTAAGTAGTATTCTGGAGGAAGCTGACCCTCGTCGTTAAAGGTATCATCACCTTTACCCTCCTTATCGTCCAAGGTCTCACTATCGAGTTCCGGGTCGCTATAGATTCACTTTTAAATCCGTTGTCCGAAAAAAATCTCGCTCACGTTGGACCTGCTCTCACTCTCGTCCTCATTATGCTTTACAGGTTGAGAATGAGGCGCCATGGTTTAGATAGTCCACGAAAATCTGGAAGCGATAGAAAATTAGAGTAACAAAGAGGCTGCGAACTAAATAGTCCCTTTATAGACGAGGTAGAATAGGTAAAAAGAGCTGGGATCAAAGATTGCAAAAGGATGGGTTGGAGCTAGAAAAACAAAACCAAATGATCCTGGAAAAAGCCATTTTTAGCTCTCCCCTCCCTCAAGAGTTTGCGATCGAGTAAGATAAAAGCCTGGCAGCGGCAGCATCACAAGTCGGGGTCAGGAACCAGGCATACTGAGACCGCTGACAGCAAACCAGGGTAGTTCGTGGAGTTAAAAGAAGACGGCCGTGGGGTCTGCTGTGCATGGTGTCAAGATGGTCGCTGGTTAACACGCCTCACAAAAAGGCATCAAGTGCTGCCGTTTTAGGCCACCTGCTAACCGCCACAAAATTAAATAGAGTTATTATGTTATTAATGACTTTGCTTCTGCCTATAAGTATTATTAGGCTATTTCTCTTATATCGCTTTAGATCTGGATAGTCTGCCTATAAAGTCGACTTTGCTTTATGCGCCTCGTGCTACCTTTTATTTACTATACCTTTCAAAGCTTCTGGACTAAGAAGTCTCTAAGATAGAGTTAGACACTCATTTGGGTACTTTAATATCGCGATCGTTGTAAGTCGTAAGTCTATTCAATCCCACTAGCCTCCGCTTAAGCTAACCATATCACAGTCCCTCCGAATCAACTTTGAACAGCGCGAGAATCCATTCACGCCACGATTGTCTCTTGTCTTGTGTCCTCTTCTCGCCGTACTCACTTCCCCCACGACTCGGGCGGAAGAGGAAACCCAGAACAGAGAGTAAGATCGTGATCATTCCAACTATCCAGTTGCAAGATGGACTCCCCTGTAAGGTGCTGACCCCGTGTCTCGATACCATAGTATCTGCGCATGCAGATAATATCATTGTCTAGGGTGATGCCTTCCAACTCGTGCAGAATAGACTCAATGCGTCTTGTCTGCATGATGATCTCGCTTTTGGCTGTCTGGTGCATTTGGGTCAGGAGTTCGGCTAATCTGGCACTGCTACCAGTGATCAGATCTCGCTCGGTCTCGGAACCAGTCAACTGGCGCGAACTAATGTACTGCATCGCTCGGACGGAGACCCCCAAGCCTAAAGCGAAGATTTCAGCAGCGGTGGAGAAACACCCGGCAGCTTCGGCCTTGAGTAGAGGGTGATCTCTGGTAAAAGAAGAAATGGTGTCGAAGAGGGAGCCAGCCTCGGTGAGAAAATCCCCCAGAACGTCCTCATTTAACGTCCAACTTTCAAAGGGTCCATGGGGGAAAAGCATGTGGATCATGACAGTTAGATAGGTGGCTCTGACAATCGACTCGAGGGAACTGCTGGGGCGGGCTTCTTGCATCGTGTGCAATGCGTCCCGGAGACAGAGGCGGATTCTACTGCATAATGATTCCTTGTCTAACCCGTTGCCGGCAAGCTGACGCAGTTGGTGTAGATGGCGGGTTTGGGAGGGAATTTTGTCGTGGGGCCCTGTGGTGTTCTGGTACAAGTGTGCTAGAATGTATACATGGCCCAGGGTCGCTGTGAGCTGGCTGAGTGGCCAGAGGAGCCGGGCTACCGTTGCCTGTGCTCGGATGGTTGATACTGGGGAAAATCTCAGTTCACGGCAAGGTAAAGTGCTAGAGGACTGGCAATCTTACCGTGGCCAGAGGCAATGTCCAACACGGTCATGCGAGACGAAAACTCGTCGACTGGGGGGAAACTAGCAGGGATATCCGCCAGTTTCTGGGCCGCTGAATGGCCGTCCTCCGTTTGCATGAGCATCCACAAGCGGAGTGAGGAGGTTACCGAGTCCATATTGTGCAGGACTTCATGCTCCACATCAATGACCTGCAAACCGTTGATTTTAATGCGGTAAGGGGCAGTGTTCTGTGACGTGGAGAGACGGCTGCGCAAATCGTTGATGATTTGGGCTGCCAGTTGGATATAGCTCGTTGCCCGGCGAGCTTGAGAGCGGTGCAAATGATGCCAGCCCAGCAGCAGTAGGGTCTGGGCAGTGCTAATATCCAAGACGTTGACTGCCAGGGCACACACTTGAGACATGGACCACTCGGCCAGTGCCACGCTTTCCACCAGCAGTGATGGGCGATTGGATTCGGGCACGTGGGTAGCCAACGTGGCCATCGCCTCTGAGAGGAGGATAGCGAGCAAGGCCTGATCATAGACTTCATCCTTGATGCCCTGCAACAAGAGGGTTTTGGAGATGAGGACGGAGAAAGGGTGAATGGAGAACCAGATGTCGATGAGCTGCATCATCCAACCAGAGTCAATCGAGGTCAATGGGCTGTTGACAGAAAGCAGATCAAAATCAAACATGGTTTCTGTGGTGTCCTGCGCAAGACACGTCGCAAAGAACCTTGCCCGGTGTTCTTCTGGACCGGAACCGAGATCACCAAATCGAAGCAACAACATCTCCAGCATCTCAGGCGCTATTGAATACAACAATGTCGTCAATGGACGGTCCTCCACTGCCTTGCCCATGACCAGAGCCATCGGCCTAATTCTCATGTTTTGCTGGAAAATCCTCTCCAGCTCCTGTCCATTCGTGACATGAGCCAACCGCTGTGGCTCATTGCAATTCAGCTCCTGCAGATCCAGTTCTGGCTTCGCGCAGTTCGACTGAGGCATGGAGGATTTCCGTCGACCTCGCAGGTTTTCTGCATCGTAGACACACACTTTGCCTTTTGTTCGACACATATCACAGATACTCTGACCCGAACATCGGACCTTGCGCGCGCGGCAGTACTGACAGCTGCGCCTCATAGGGGTGGACGGGGACTTTGCTCGCGACGCCATTGCACAGAATCATCATATTTACTTGAATCTCCCGTCATCTTCACAGTCTCAGGGCCCTCGTAGTTAAATATTGAATACTGGCAACTGCTCTTGCGCCATCCTAGATAAGAGGAAACGTCAAGCCACATCTTGAGGAGGCCTTGATGTCAGCACTAAGATCCATTTGTGAACTTTCGAAGGTGGCAAAGCGCCCGCAGGAAGCGGATCCTTGCTTAATTATGCCAAGTCATCCCTGCCGCAACCTTTGGAGATACCCGTCACGGCAAAGACGGCAGAGACGGCAAAGACCCGGCCCGCGAGTGTTTGGTCGCTTCCTTCCCATTGGTCCGATTTCTTCAAGATTGCATTAATCTACTGGTATATGTTCAAAGATAAAGACAAACAGGGGATAGGCCCGGATCTAAGAACCCCAACGAAGGCGATTTCCTCCAGCTCGCATTCCTGGATGGTTTGAAGGACTGGCTTACAAATGGGTTTCAAAGGACATGGCTGAGAAATCAAAAAAAGAAAAAAAGAAATCATACTGTGCTAGTGCTGGGTCTTTTGTATGGATACATGGCATACGTACAGAGATAAATTAAAACGCAAAGCCCTCGTCTAGGCGAACTAGTTCCTGGCTATTCACATTACTAGTTCATTGACATTTCCTCCACCATGAACCTCTTCAAACCAACCGGGGATGCAGACCGAACTGTCTTCGATGGACAGAAAAGCGTTCACGAGCCAGGCGATAGTGGCGTTGCGACGCCAATCAACGAGTCCGAGTCTCCCAGTGAGAAACCGATCAACGATGCCTCCAACTTCCCCGATGGAGGTACCAAGGCGTGGTTGAATGTTGTCGGGGGATGGTGTATCTTCTTCTCCATGTTCGGATGGGCGAATGGTGAGTAGTGGCTGTCTGTTTGACACGCTGGTGCTGACCCGTGCAGCGTTTGGTGTGTTTCAGAGTTACTATCAGGACCATCAACTCAAAGATTATTCGGCTTTTCAGATCTCTTGGATTTCGTACGCTGTCTCCAGTGCTCTGAATTGGATTGTTTGCTGATGTGTTTACAGCTCTATCCAGACGTTTATTCTGTTTGGAGGAGGTATTGTGGCAGGCAAAGTGAGTGATTGATTCAGTTATCATCTACGTAATAAACCTGTACTGAACAACTTCAGCTGTATGACAACTATGGGCCCAAGGTGCTTGTCTACACAGGAGTATTCCTCCATCTCTTTGGAATGATGATGTGCAGCATCTCTACCGAGTACTACCAGTTTATTCTGTCCCAGGGTACTCCCCCGTCTCTCACACACAAAATCAGACAATCAATGCTAAGAATATCCAGGCGTGTGCACCTCAGTCGGTGACGCGGCGCTATTTACCGCATCACTCAGCACAGCTAGCACCTGGTTTCATAAGAAACGCGCCTTTGCGTTTGGCGTCCTGCTTACCGGCACGAGTATCGGCGGCGTCGTCATGCCCATTTGCCTCGAGCATTTGCTGAATTCGCTGGGGTTCGGCTGGGCCATTCGTGTCTGCACCTTCATCAACCTCGTTCTGCTGGTCATTGCTCTACCGACTGTGACCTCGCGTCTGCCCCCAGCCCCGAAACCCGTTTCGGTCATGGACAACATCCGCCCATTGAAAGAAATGCCCTTCCTAATGCTCAGTGGCGGCTGCGCGCTCTTCTACCTGGGAATGTACCTGCCCTTTAACTACATCATCGTCCAAGCCGAATATGAAGGCATGTCCGCCGGGCTCGCCGGGTACCTTATCCCGATCCTCAACGGCGCCAGTCTCTTCGGCCGCATCATCCCCGGCATAACGGCAGACCTCATAGGCAGATTGAACACGATGATAGCCATGTGTGCCTTTGCCGGTATCGTCGTGTTAGCGCTGTGGCTACCCGGTACCTCCAACGCGCCCATCATCGTCTTTTCGGCGCTATACGGATTCGCCTCGGGGGCGTTCATCTCGCTGATCCCGCCGCTGACAGCGCAGATCAGTGATATTCGGGAAATTGGGGTGCGATCGGGCACACTGTGGTTGATCGTTGCGATTGCGGCGCTGGTGGCCAGTCCGATTGGTGGCGCTATCGAGGCGCGGAATGGAGGTGCGTTTGTGGGACTGCAGGTCTTTGCTGGGGTGGCTATGCTGATTGGTACGGGGCTTTTTGTCGTTTGCCGGTGGTGTCTTTCGGGATGGAGTCTCTTTGTGAAAGTGTAGAGACGAGATAGACTAGACAAGTGGGGCACAGAAAATTAGATTCGGCACAGTTGGCGGCTACAATTGCCTTTTTTGATCCTTGTATGCCTCGACATCAGGCCGGGAATGGTGAAGGAAACAACACTCACCACTCACTCAAAGAAACGCTCCGGGACCTCGGGATACCGAAACAGTTTGATTGATGCGATTCACCCCGGGGCTTCTTTTGAGGATCCCCGAGCCGGGTGCAGGCTAAAAGTGCCCGTTCGGCCCAATACCACCTCGGTTCCAGCTCTCATTGGCGGATAAGGAGTGGGTCTTGGCTGGGAACCAGATTACTGTGCATGATTAGCTTAATTAGCTTAATTGCAGCCTCGTCGCTTAAACTTTCTTGGCTTTGGTTGATCCGTGGAGAGGCAAAGGCTCAAGTCTAGGCCCCATTGGTGTCCGTTGGTCGTCAACTTATCCGGCTAGTAGTGGGGTTTTCCGGTACCTACAACATACGGAACTACAGAGGTATATGACAGAAATCCAGGTATGACGAGCGTACGGAGTGCAGGTAGACAAAATGCAATGGTCCGAATTTGACAATCTGTGCGGACAAAATTTACTCAGCAAAAACATACTTTTCTGGTCACACGTTCCAATGGTAAAAAGACCGGTAACCAGCGTATTATCCCGTTTCTTGACAGTAAACAACGCACGACATATGGGTTTCCCGACGAGCTCAGCCTGCCGAATCCCCTCTCGGCCCGGTTAGAGGGAAACGCTCCGCTCACTCGAGGGAGACTTGACCCTCATTCCCGCAAAAGACAAATCCCTTGCACACAACCCCCTATTACACTTGGCACGGGGGGTTCTCACGCTTGTGTGATAAGTACGACTAACTACCAATCTGGTCGTAGACTTTACAAATCCACGCTAAAAGCGCGGCATTCCGGCTGCATTCTATTAGCACCATAAGCCGGAGAATGCAGCCCGATCTACCATTATCTACTCTGTACTTGCTGTTGTAGTCTAGAGAAACTTGCAGCACCCTTCCTCTTAGCTGATAAGCTTCTGCTTTAGGTTTCCATGGATATTGAAATATGTGGCTGCTCGAAGCGCCTATCTACCTTTAATATCCCACCTTAGAAACTTCCACGAGTTATTAATATCAACTCAACCCCTGGGTTCTTTTGGTCACACTTCTGCAGGCACTCGCATCCCGACGGAGAAATCTACTCCCTTCTTGCTGACTGCATGATCCTTCCACGCGCGCCTGGTCTGGGTAGATTATTGGTTCGAGAATCAGTCGCTTGGACGCTAGCATCCACCTCGCTCATTCTGTGTCTTAAAATCTCCGTGGCCGCGAGGAGATTTGAAGGGTGTGTTCGAGATAGAATCTGTGAGAGATAGGGTCTGTCCGAAAGGTGACATCCAAAATGGATTGTAACAGGACTATCCCCATCGTCGCCCTCTCTCGTCATATAGCACGAACCCACACACCCTGCACATTCAAATCTCTCCATCTTCATCCTCCATTCTATCAAACATGGACTCCATCTTCCAAGTCCAGGGCAGTCCAAAGTCGCGCCTTGCCCCCCTCTTCTTGATCCACGCCATCTCCGGCCTGGCCTTGCCATACAACTCGCTCGGCTCCCTCGACACCCGCGGACGAACCGTCTACGGAATCAGCTCCCCCGTCTACGGACCACGCCGGTACCGTCTGCCATCCTCCATCGACGATGTCGCGCGCCAGTACATTCGTCTCGTGCGCAGCAGACAGGCCACGGGCCCGTATCTGCTCGGCGGGTGGTCGTTTGGCGGCCTCGTGGCACTGAAAATGGCCGAGATGCTGAGCGCGCAGGGGGAGACCATTCTGCAGGTGATTATGATTGATTCGCCGAATCCGATCTCCCGTCCGGCTTGGGGTAGTGAGGGTCAGGAAGGGCTAGCGGCGCTTACGTACAATGGCATTGCGCAGCGAGCGGGCCAGCCAATGCTGGACGCCCGGCAGCCTACGCCCCCGGCAAAGGGGGAGGGTGCAGACGCAGATGCGGAAGATGAGTCGGCTTCCATGTGGCACAACATGTACAGGCATATCTACAACGTGCTGGCGCTCGTGGAACGGGCCGCAGACGGAAAGTTTGTTTCCGCCACGAACGAGGTCAAAGTCTCGTTTGTCAAGTGCTCTGTTCTGGAAGTGCCTCCCTCGGGCCTGATCACGGAGCCTAGTAGGAAGTTTTATTTTGATCGCTACGAGGATGAGTATATGGGCTGGCAGCCTGAGCGATTTGCCAGCTGGGAGGGGTATACTCTAGACGCGGAGCATAATAGTGTGTTTGATCCTGCTCATGTGGACGATTTGACACGTATTTTGAGAGAGATTGTCGACGAAGTTGTTGGATAGTTGCTAGAGATATCAGTATCAATAATATCAATCAGTCCACTGTCCTCTTCAGAATGTCATTTTTATCAATCTATCAGCCAGATTGCAAAGCTATTCTACCTCAATCCCGCATTTCATATTGCCCCCAGTACAGCTAAGTACTCTGTACTCTATGAGAATGTTCGGCACAATAAAAATCTCAAACTTTGCATCTGTAACCCATCATACACCGGCCACGACCAGAATGATAGAATCATCCCCAAATCCATCACATCTAGACTTGTAGCTTTACGGACAATCATTGCATAATTCCGCAATCTGCAGATGGCTGAAACAATTCATCCCCAATACTGCATGCTCAATTCAGGCAGTCTAGACTTTTCAAATTCTCCGTGCCTAGGCGGAGTATTAGCTCGTGCACGGAGGCCTTCGTCTTGCGTATGTACTTTCTGCTTAGTGCGGGACAATCATGATAGTAGATCGCGAGAAAGCTCATTCTCCTACCGGCAATGGATTGTATGTCTGTGTAGTTGTCGAGTACATATAACAGAACTACTATCCGGCGTGTCTCGAGTCCATCTACACAACAGCGAACCCATTTTGTTTTGCAAATTATCCACATGTCTCCCTGGTTATACAATTCCCGGTCGGGCTCGGGCTCAAGCCCGAGCTCTACGAGCGTCCCCACTCCCTTTCCAGGTGGTGACCCGGCAGTCGTCGTGGGGATGGCATGTCGTGTGCCTGGGGCATCCAGTCCAAGTGACTTGTGGAACTTGATCGAGCAGCAGAAAGACGTGCAGCGGAAGATGCCAGAGAACAGATTCAACGTTGATAGTTTCTACCATCCCGATGGTACAAATAAGGGAACGGTACGAGGTCTCCCCAATTTATAGTTGAATTATTTTCTCACTGGCTTTCCAGACAAATGCCCGATATGGCTACTTTTTGGATCAGGACCTTGGGGCATTCGATCCAGGGTTTTTCAATATCTCGGGGAACGAGGCTGAGGCTATGGATCCTCAGCAGAGATTGTTGCTCGAGGTTGTTTATGAGGCCTTGGAAGATGGTACACAACATTTTCCACTTGCGTTACTTACATGCTAACGAACCAGCTGGGATCCCTCTCGAGAAGGTTGCTGGATCACAGACATCAGTGTTTTGTGGTTCCTTTACAAACGACTATAACTCCACCATCACGAAAGACCTGGAGTACTATCCCAAATACACCATCACGGGCACAGGAAACTCCATCCTGTCCAACCGTATCTCATACTTCTACAACCTCCACGGAGCAAGTGCCACCATTGACACGGCCTGCTCTTCCTCCTTGGTTTGCTTCCACCTCGGCAATCAGACGCTGCAAGCCGGCGAGGCGTCTATGTCCATTATTCTGGGCTCGGCGCTGCACTTTGATCCGAACATCTTCATCACCATGACGGATCTTGGAATGCTCTCGACCGACGGCCGGTGCCGTGCCTTTGACGCCGACGGCTCAGGCTACGTCCGCGGTGAAGGTATATGTGCGATTATTCTGAAACGCAAGAGCCAGGCCGAGTTAGATGGCGATTTAATCCGAGCCATTGTCCGCGGGACGGGCGTGAATCATGATGGAACGAAGCAAGGCATCACTCTGCCATCGTCTGAATCGCAGGAAGCGCTCATCAGACAGGTCTATCACGCAGCGAGACTAGATCCCAGAGATACATCTTACTTTGAAGCTCATGGAACGGGAACCCGCGCGGGTGATCCACGAGAAACCCGAGCCATTGGGGCGGTGTTCGCGCCTGATCGGGATGATTATCTCCATCTGGGATCTGTCAAATCGAACATTGGTCATTTGGAAGGTGCTTCCGGTGTGGCAGCTCTGATCAAGGCGACCCTTTCTCTGGAAAAGGGCAAGATTCTTCCAAACATGCATTTCAACACACCCAACCCGAATATCAAGTTCGATGAATGGAAGCTCAAAGTCCCCACCAAGACGCTCGACTGGGATGCCCCAAACGGACTACGTCGGGCGAGTATCAATTCCTTTGGTTACGGAGGAACGAATGGACATGTCATCCTCGAGGGTTACTACGCACCGCAAGACAGACCGTGGGAAAAGCTTGACTTGGCCTTCGACCTCGAGGGAATGACACAAGAACGACCATTCCTGTTCCCATTGACCTCGCACTCGGTCAAAACTGGGAAGCTTACGGGCGAAGCATTCTCGAATTATGTCGAGGAACGGCCGGAACTTGATATCCGCGACCTGGCTTATAGTTTGAGTGTGCGACGCTCTAGGCACAAATTCCGGTCGTTTGCTGTCAGCAGTGATGCAGACACCCTTCTGGGTGATTTTGCGGATCCTCCGCCAGCTGCCGCCTGGACTGCGGCTCAGTGGCAGAAGCCTCGCATCGGATTCGTATTTACTGGCCAGGGAGGGCAATGGTTCGCCATGGGTCGAGAACTCATTCAAAAGTCGCCTCTTTTCAAGCAGACCTTGCAGAGATGCGACAAGATCCTTGGCCAGCTCCCCGACGCACCGGAGTGGTCCGTCGTCGAAGAGCTTCTGAAGTCCCAGGCGACATCTCGTCTCGGCGACACTCGGTTCTCTCAGCCTTTGTGCACCGCCCTGCAGCTGGCCCTCTGCACCTTGCTCACTCAGTGGGGCATCGAGCCAACTGCAGTGGTGGGACACAGCAGCGGTGAGATGGGTGCCGCCTATGCCGCCGGAATCCTGTCCTTTGAGAATGCCTTAATTGCCGCTTACTATCGAGGATTGTACATGTCCAGCGGGCCGGAAAGTAGCGTCAAAGGCAGCATGATGGCAGTTGGTCTGACCGAGGAGGAGGCCCGACTCGAGATTGAGCCGTACAAGGGACGCATTGCTGTGGCAGCCATCAACAGTCCTTCCAGCATCACCCTTTCTGGGGACGAAGATGCCGTTGTGGACCTGAAGAGGGACCTAGCGGCCAGAAAGGTCTTTGCTCGTCAACTGCAGGTCGCCCAGGCTTTCCACTCGCACCATATGTTCCCGCTGGCCCCCGGTTACCTGCAAGCATTGGAGAAGCATACCAAGTTTGCCACGCTCCCATCCCAGCGTCGGATGTTCTCCAGTGTCACAGCCGAGGCCGCTCAGCCTAGCTTGATGGGCCCTCAATACTGGGTTGACAACATGGTCGGCACTGTACGATTCTCCGAAGCACTGAGTAGGATTCTCGTCGACGAGGAGGGCAAGCAGGCCGTGGATGTTCTCATGGAAATTGGTCCCCATCCAGCGTTGAAGGGACCCTCTCGACAGACCCTTCAGTCTCTCAAGCTCGACACCCCCTACCTGAGTTCTCTGACTCGTGGAACCCTCGACTATGAGGGACTCCTGACCGCAGCAGGTCAACTTTTCGCTCTCGGATATCCGGTCGACCTTGCCGCTGTGAACAGCGACCACTTCTTGGATGAATCGGGTGTCATTCGTGAGGTCAACAAAGCACAGCGGTTGCGAGACATGCCAAAGTATTGCTGGGACCATAGTGCGCGGTACTGGGCAGACACTCGCGTCATCTCCGAGCATAGACTCAGGAAGCACCGCCACGCTATCCTGGGAACACCTCTTGCTGGCTCTGTGCCCGGATCTCCCCGTTGGCGGAATTTCCTTCGCCTCAACGAGCTTCCCTGGTTGGCTGACCACAAGATCGATGGTGATGTCGTGTTTCCCGCGGCCGGCTACATCGCCATGGCGGTCGAAGCTATCGCTCGGCTGGAGGATGGGCCAGCATCAATCTCCCAGTTCGCTCTCCGGGATGTCTCCATTAAATCCGCTTTGGTCCTCGATGAATCAGCCATGGGCAAAGAGGTCATGTTGGACTTGAGACCGCATTCCACATCCACCAAGCCCAGTCCAGATTCATGGTACGAATTCTCCATCGTCTCCTTTAGCAACTCGGGTGCAAACAGCACGGAGCACTGTGGGGGATTGATTTCTGTTCAGGAGGGATCAGCTGGATCCATTGATCGCAAGCAGCCGTATTCTGGTTTCTCCGAGCTTCAGGCCAAGAGTGTCAAATCTCTCATTCCGCGTACTTTCTATGAGCGGATTCACTCTCTGGGGCTTCAGTACGGCGAAAGCTTTGCACTTCTTAGCGGACGGATCGAGAGTGGTGCTGGATTTGCCACAGCGCCTCTCAGTTGGAAATCGGACAAGTTCAACTCTCCAGCGCCCTCGCATGCGACTCTGATCCATCCCAGCCTGCTAGATGCCGCATTGCACACTATCTTTGCGGCCGTTGAAGGTCGCACGGGAAAGCCCATTACTGGGCCTTATGTCCCAACTCTCCTGCGCTCCTTGCAGGTCTCCGGTTCTTTCGCCGACAGTGCCTTCCTGGCGGCAGACCACGAATTCCAGGTCTCTACTGAAATCGATCTACAAGGCACTCGTCTTGTAACCAGTGATCTGCGATTGCAATCCGAGGATGGCCAGCATTTGCTGCTGGACATCCAGGGTCTTGAGCTGACTGGTTTGGGCACCTCGGACGTGCCCAGTCGCTCCTTGTTCTTCCGCACGAACTGGAACTTGGCATTTGAGTTCTTGAACAGGCCACACGCACCGATCTCAGATAGCCTGTCTCACTTGCTTGACATCTTTGCCCATCAATTCCCGGATTCCAAGATCCTGCACATCACGCCCACCCCCGATTCATCCAGGGAAGTTTTGCGGTTCCTGGGTGGAAGGAATGGCGAGCAGCGCCGATTTCACTCCTTGACGCTACTTCCAGTGGCTGAAGAATCAGTCAGTTTCGCTGAGCAGATACAGTCGGAATGGCCATCCTTGATTAAGCTCGAAGAACCCAAGGACGGTGAATATGATCTCGTCATTCTAGACGATGCCGCCTCACAGACTAGCGATATCACAACGTACCTAAAATCTGATGCATTTGTGATCAGTTTGGGTGACAGGGATATCAGCAAAGAGGCTTTGACGCTAGCCTTCTCTTCTGCAAGCTTCAACGTCTGGAGAAAAGCCGATGCGTCATTTAACCCAATTGCCGGCACTGACCTGGCTTTGGTCACTGCAGCCAATCCAAGCGACAGAACAGTTTCTATTGCATCCACCATTGCCTCAGCTCATTCAGGAAGATCGTTCAAGGTATCTATCGATCATCTTTCTCAGATCACTCCAACCCCAGAAAATGTGGTCATCCTCGCCGCCCTAGATAAGGACGTTATTTTCAATGAAGAACCCAGTGATTCTGAGGACTTTATCAACCTGCAGCACATTCTAACCACTGGCAAGAGAAATGTCGTCATGGTCTTGAACGGCGCTTCGATGGATTCTCCCAAGCCTGAACAGGCACTGATGACGGGTCTTGCCAGAACCGCTCGAAGTGAGAACGAAGAACTCCGGCTGGTATTACTGGATACTTCATCGACTGCCCAGGAAGCAGAAATTTCCAGTCTCATCACCCAGATCCTGAATCCCAAGCTCCAGGAAGACGAGCTCACCCAGCGGGACGGTGCGGTCTTCATCCCACGCGTGCAGACGGACGATACTCTGAACTCAAAGTTGACTCACGGCTCTGTCCAATCAGCCTCACTACAGCCACTAAACCAAGATCGCCAGCTTGCCCTCAAGATCGGCAAGGTTGGAGCCCTTGATACCTTGGTCTTTGACGACAACCTGGAACTTCAATCCTCAACGCTCGCCAATGATGAAGTAGAGATCAAGGTGCAGGCTTCCGTGATCAGTTCCAGGGACAGTGCTGCCGTTATAGGGGCCGTTGATGGATCCAAACTGGGCGACGTCTGTGCGGGACTCGTGCTTCGCATTGGCAAAGACGTCGATCCCACTCTTTTTCAACTGGGAGACCGAGTTGTGGCAGTTAGACCGGGTCAGGGCGCGCACCGGACAATTGTGCGGAACCCTGTTTCATGGACCTACAGATTGAAGGCCGAGATGTCATTGTTGACAGCGGCTGCAATTCCAGCTCCTCTTATCGCGGCGTATGAGTCCATTCACCAGGTTGCCCATCTTCGCGCAGGAGAGACAGTCCTGATTCATTCGGCTGCTGGTGAGGTTGGCCGTATGGCCATGCAGGTTGCCCGTCGTGTAGGAGCGACAGTATTTGCCACGGCTGGGTCGGATAGCGAGCAGAAGTTCTTGCGAGAGGCCTGTGGTCTGGACGCCAATCACATCTTCTCCTCGACTGACACCTCTTTTGCTCAGCAGACCTTGGACGCGACGAACGGGAATGGTGTTGATGTTGTCCTCAACAATCTCTCGGGCAAGTCGATTGCCGCCACACTCTCATGTCTGTCCCCAGGCGGTCGATTTGTAGACTTAGGAGCAAATGACCTTCTCGGAGACATCGAGGTGGCTGATGCGTTCCGGAAGAACATCATGCTGGCATCTGTCAACACAGCTTCCCTATTCGAGGGCCGCTCCGAGTACGGTGCCGAGGTGATGAAAGAATGCTGGGAGCTGGCCACAACCGGGGTGATTAGAGTGCTGGGTGACACGGTGGGATTGCCTTATTCAGACGTGGTCAAAGGATTCCAAATGGCTCATGGCTCCGACTTCCATGGCACTGTCGTTTTGCAACCAACTGAAGGTGATGTTGTCCGAGCCCTGCCCATAACCTACCGCGACAGTGCTCTGTTCAATCCCAACAAGACTCACTTGCTCGTCGGTGGTCTGGGAGGTCTTGGACGCACGCTGGCCGAGTTTCTGCTCCGCCGTGGAGCGCGAAGCCTTGCGTTCCTTTCTCGTTCAGGGGCGGATCATCCAGAAGCTCAACTCACTCTGGATTGGTTGCAGAAGAGGGGTGTGCAGACGTCTGTCTATCGCGGCAACGTCACTGATTTCTCTGTCGTTCAATCCTGTGTCGATGCGATTGGCAGCCGTCTGGCAGGTGTTTTCCACGCGGCTGTTGTTCTTGAGGATTCTCCTTACGACACAATGACATTTGACCAATGGCAGAAATGTCTGAAGCCCAAGGTTCACGGTTCTCTGAACCTCCACCGTGCGACCTGTTCAACCCAGCTTGAGTACTTTGTCTGCTTTTCCTCGGTGTCTTCCGTCTTTGGTGGAAAGGGTCTGGCCAACTATGCGGCCGCCAATTGCTATTTGGATGCATTGATGCGCCATCGACGCGAGGCCGGTCTGGCCGGCACAGCTATAGATGCTGGTATGGTCGTTGGGATCGGTCTCGTCGCCCAAAATGCTGCTCTCCAACAGACCATGGAGAGAATGGGCTTTGATCCCGTCACCGAGCAGGAATTCCTCTATCAGATCGAAGAGGCGGTGGTTCAAGGCCGGTCCGCTTCATCACAGTCGCTATCTGCACCCGGCATCGACCAGACGAGCACCATCACCGGTCTCAAGATGTCCCAGGATGTTTTCTGGTCTCAACGCCCACTCTTCCGCAATCTCTACGGTAACTACGACTTTGGCGACGGTGCTGCTGGTGGCAGTGTTGTAAAGGACCTGGCTGCGCATATTCGGTCCTGCCCCGACGATGAAGAGAGAAGCGCCATCCTGACTGAAGCCTTCTTGGAGAAGATTTCGGCCGTCTTGGGAATTGCCACCGAATCCATCACGCCCAGCAATGCCCTCTCCGCGTACGGTTTGGATTCTATTGTTGCTGTGGAGTTCCGTAAGTGGTTTACAAAAGTTGTCGAGGTAGATGTGTCGCTGTTTGATGTTCTTGGGGCGGCCAGTATCTCCGCACTGTTGTCGAAGGCCTTGGAATTGGTGGCTGCCGAGGTTTGATGTTGACATACCAGATTGTTCTTTTGTGATTACCACGAATCTGCTATTTTATTAATGAGAATACAAATTGACTTATACCCTAAGCTCGTCGCACGGGCTATATATGTAGAGGGCAGACTGAAATGGTTCTTAGATATCTTTCACTTTCATTCTACATTCATTTCACTTCTTCGGGGGCTATATATAGTCCATTTCATTACTAGACCTCCTTCGGTCCTCTGGGTCACTGATAGCTCGTGTAAGGGATGTAGAGTCATTGGATATTGCGGCTGCCCAGGCGCAAGTTGCCCATGCCTGTGTAAATTTGGAAAAGGGTCAGTGGGTTTTGTTGCTGGATTCTGGAAAATCAGGCATCCGACCCCTGGCCGTTATGCCCCTTCGCACTCTACCCGCTTCTCTGCGACAGGAACGCATTCCCATCCGTTCGAAACCAAAGGGTCCATAGGGTCCGCGAAACAAAGGAATTTAGCACTCTTAGAGTACTCCACGGCCAAATCGGCCCAATGAATACTCCCACATATTTCTCCATCCTCTAGGCAAATCGATTCCTCCCCTGCACGCTGTAGCCGTACAAGAACTGACCCACAGATACCTGAACGTAGTTGTGGAGCAGTCGTAATCACAGTATCGTTGGTGACATAAATTCCTTGGTGTATGACGATATATTTCCCGTCGTGTGGGTTCTCCCGTCTATCACGGAGGAAATCCTGTCCTCTCTTAGATCCCAGTACCCGTACTCCGGCAGATAAAAGGCGCTGCCGGCCGGCGACGAAGCTGTCTATAAGGAATCTGTCTCCTATCTTAACCCTGGTGAATGGGATAGACTTTGGCTGCTGTTTCGATATCTAGGAATCTATTGCTAAACGTAACGGTATCGTCTAGCTTGGCAAGTCCGATGTCGGTTGCATCGATACGTTCCGTCACATAACCGACCTTCGAGTTAGCTTGTAGCACTCGGAAATGATTCGGATCTCCCAGGCGATCCCACAGTCCGTCGAACTCCCGATCCCAGTAGTGACACGCAACGGTGAGCCTCTGCTCGGAACCCTTCTCCACCAAGACCCCTGCCGAGACGGCATTCTCTTGATCAGAACAAATCATCGCTCCAGGATTGAAGGACCCCGTAGCAGCAATATAATCGGAGTCGTCTGAAACAGAGGTTTTCAGATCTGCTGGCTTCGGGGCTACAAGTCGTTTCCCCTCGGTATTGGCAAGCAATCCATTCGAATAGGTAAGTTCCAAAGAGAGATTTCCGAAGGAACACGGCAGGGACCCTATTTTCTCTCTCCACATATCCTCATCAACCTCGTCAAATTCAACCACAATGGTATTGAAGATAAAGGAAATGGCTGCCGCCCCCGGGAAATGTTGTGTGAGAACCGTAAGGAGCGTTTCCGGTTTTGGCATCCTATACGGTTTCAAATCATAAACCAGGTTTTGGTTCACGTTAACGAACTTGTTTATTTCCGTCTCCCCTCCAGAATAGCCAGGAGTGAGAGTGGGCAGCGGGTCATCCATTCCCAGCCAGAAGGCTAAGCAGCCCGATATGGTAAAGGGGCGTTGAGCGGGATCCGGTCGGTCAGAGCAACGAAGGAATATAAATGGCTGCATAACCCACATGTCTTCCACCCCGAAATGCTCTCGTAAATATTCAAAAAGCAGGTCATGACATCTGTCCCCTAATGATGGTGTTGATCCATCATCATTAAGTAGTGCAAACTCGTTAAAGTTGAGGGCGGATGAGTCAATACAATACTCTGCAGGTGAGTTCATTGCAGATTCCTCGATTTTCACCGTCTTGGTTGGGGACTCGGACCTGGCGGGGGGTGGGAGGGGTGAACGCCTAGACTTAACCGCGCTGAATGAGGGTCGCTTTCGCCGGTTCTGTTTTAATGCTAAAGTTGATGGGCTCGCCACGGGTAATCTTTCATCAGTATCAGATTAATCGCGGTGATAGAAAGATGGGACAAGAAACTAGACGTTGTAAAGTAAACTTGACGTGGAGAGTGGGGAAGAACTGTGGACCGCCCGCTTTTAGTCTTATTGGACACTGATAGTTGAACATGGCGACTTCCAGATTATTGAATTTCGTTCACAGTAATCCACTTTAACTGTAACGTGAGGGTTTACATGGTCAGATTTCAATGTCGTTTCAGACGTACATCCGGGGATCCTACGCGTTCCTTCCCAGTATACCATGACAATAACAGACAGCACCTGCCTTCCCATGGCCTTTCTTGGAGGGCCAAGAGAACTGCTGGACTTGCTTTCGTTTTGTCTTCTTTTCTCTCTCTTCTCTTCAAGTTGACTACTCTTGCTTCTTTTTGTTCTTTTCTATCATGCCTGAAACCTCAACGATCATTTCCGGAATCGCCCTCGGCGTGTCGATACGTACCACCCTGTTGCCTGGAAAGGAGTGGGTACGCGCTGGTGTCGCTGCCTTTGGCCGAAGTCACACCGCAAGGATGCGTCCCTTCCTGCCGACTTTGAGTTAGGGACGGTGCTTCAACAGTGCCGGACCGAGCGGCCTGACACTCGTCAGGCTGCAGCGGTCCGGTGGCTGCTTGAGACCGTAACAGATCTGCAAACGCAAGTCGACGAGCTCAGGGGGGCAAACCCCGCTGGTAGAGTCCAAACTATCAGCTCAGGGCCCGATCCTCTCACGGTTGCAGATCCCCGTAACGAGGACAATGAGGCACAGGTCACCATTTCCACGGAAATCAGTGCCTCCGGCACTTGATCTCCGTTGGTGTGTGTGGGCACTTCGAGGTGCCCGCCCCTACACCCGGGAGGGTGGACGAGGGAATGGTGTAGGAGCCCTCCATCGTTCGAGGCGGCTCACCTTGATTGATGGGGCGGCGGGGACCAGCGCAGAGCTCGCACTTCTTCGCAGTGCTAGTGACTAGTAACCTTCGGGTGAAGCCAAGATGAGCTCATATGTACATAGTTCATTGCCCTCTTTGTGTCTTAATGGATAATGTATTCTGTTTGATGCTTTGATATATTTCCGCTGCGGAAATATGGACCCTCCAAAAAGAAACAAAAGTGTCGGCAGGTATGACATCAAGCAGATGGATCATGATACATGTACGAAGAAAAGCCTACAGAGGATATTCGAGTCACATAGACTCAATGATTCTTATCAGTATCGCTCTATTTCGGAGGGATGAGCCCGTAATGCATTGAACACCGCTAAAAGATTGACAATGCCCAACGAAGATGGTCACCTTGACCGTTGTGGAACCGGCAAAAGAGAGGGCAGGACTGATACCCTTTGCCTCGGCGATCGGTCGTATTGGCGCTATAATAAGGAAATTGATCAGCGATGTCCAAGGGAGATGAAATGCGAGAACTTTGCGATGTCAGTGGTGACGCATGCGTCGGCGAAACCGGCGTAGGAATCACACCACTTGTTGACCAATCTTGGTGTAGTGTAGCTAGTGCGCAAAAGCAATTGGAGAATTTGGCGTGGCAGGTGTTGAAGGTGTGTATTACGAAGGGGTTGCAGAGGCCTTGGTACGTGGCGTGAGAGCTAGCTGCGATGCCAATGTGTGACTTGACTTAACAGTCGACGGCGGGGTTGAGGGATGTGGCACGGTCGCGAGACTTGCGGGTGCACTTTTCGACGGAGGATTCTTCGGCTGCGTTTGACTTCACGGCTGGTGCACTTTCCGGGGGAGTACCCGCGCCTGCGTTTCTTTACGGCTGGTGGGCTGGCGTTCTCGGCGGCGACTCAGCTCGACAGCCTGATCGTCGCCAGTGTTGAAGGGTCCACTCGAGGCGGTCCCTGGGAGAAGACAAGCACTATCGGCGGAGTGGGAATGATTTCTCAACCCTTTGAAGTGAGACGAGAGCAAGAAGGTCGACATCTTGGGGATGGTAAAGGAAGTGATGAGACGAGTGAAAATTTTTCAGCGAGATGAGTACGAGTCGGTGAGTGCGACTGACCGGGGTCGAATGTGGTAATCTTAAACCCCAAAAGTGAGGCTAGGTAGAAGATGAGCCAGAAGATAAGAAGATGAAGGCAAAAATGGAGCTACAGACTCACGACCAATGGGATTGCATAACAACCAGGCTATAGAAACCACCTCAATTTGACACCCAAGCAGTGAGATTCCTGCATTTTCCCCCTCCTCGGTTGAATCTACCTACATGAACCCGCTAGCTGCGCTATACACATTAGCTGTGCCGTCTCAAAATCAAGTGTCGGGTTTGGGCCCCGCAGCTGTTGATGCGCACTTCGTTGATGGAACTGGTCTGCCTGATATGCATCATCCCATTCATTATAGATAGTGCGCGTCCCCCTTTCCATTTCTAACATTCTTAATTTACCCCTGGAATACTTGTTAAACTTATTCATTCCACCATTTGATTATGCACTTACCAGTATATATCATTCTGTGAAAGATCACGCCCAGTTGGACGATAGTTATCAAGCCAACGGAAACCCGGGGGCCATTTGCAGCTCCCCAAACACCGTATCACTTCGAATACAACTGCATTCGTGCCTTCGGATTCTGGGGCACAACCTCTCATGCTTATAGTCCGACACCCGGGACACACTTGGGTGGCATCCTGTCGACGCATCAAAGAAGTAAGACCCCAGTGAGGGCAGTGGAAAATGGGCTCGGCTCTCAAATGAGCAGCAGGGGAAGCAAAAGATATTGTATACTCAGCAAGCACGTCCAGATTGTCAGATGGGTCAATGGATATCCACACCGAGAATCGAGCCTTGTGATGAGATGTAGTAGGAAATGAGCAACAGTGGCTTAAATGAGGCCTTGTTGAAAGAAAGTTATTTGGTTGAGGGCGTTCAAATGTGAAAGGCCAATTTTGATTTTATCCGGTGTAGTGCGCGATTTAAGAAGTTTCGCAAGATGTCCAACTTCTCGACTCGTCAAGGAAGCACACGGACACAAGTTAACAATACCCGCATAGCTTGCGCAATACCTCTGTATAGCTGGATCTGCGAGGGAATCTTCACTAAATTCCCTTCGTGGATGGAGCTTCAAACACCTTCCGCAATATGCCCAGTCGTGACTCTCAAGTCGAAGAAGGAGTTGGTTTCGTGCGACCTTGCTACTATTCACAATAGTATAGGGATCTGAAGGTGTAGAAGTCGTGGGAATTCAAATTCCTTTTCTTTCAAAATCGTTCGAAATAGGTTGAAGAGTCTTTTACAGCTAAGTGATAGACATGCTTTATCAACCAGGGGAAGGTGCTTGTAGATGTTGTGGAGAACACTCTCTTGTAGAGAAAGTATTGCAGGCCTGTTTCGGGTAAAGCGTTGTCTCGTAGATAGTGAAAGGATTGATGAGATAGAGGATATTTTGGTGCACAATCTCCAAACTGTGTACTTCTTTCTGCTCATTTGTTGTTTCTCGGTTTGGATGTTCTTGGACGGGACAGGCAGTCTCCAACTATTTATCCAGCATATCATCTTCTTTCCACCTCCCAATAGAGAAGGATATTCCTCATCATCATCATCATAATCATCATCATCATCAGGATGGCTCTGAGCTAGGCGAGACAGTCCACTAGGCATCTTTTGGCGTGGCAGTACCTATAGCGGTATTCAAAGAGCTTGGGTTATTACTTGAGTGAGATATGTTTGTGATTGAGCCTTGCGTAGGAGGGGATACTCCAAAGATAAGTCAAGAGAGAGGTTAACAACGAAGAGCTGAGAACCATGACGTTATATTTACGAGGTCTTCCAAGGTCTATGAACGTCGGCTTCTCGTTACCAAAAGTACCAAGCAGCTCTCTTATTAGAGTATGTACAAACTTGATCATCAGTTGCAAACGTGGTATGATATGTTACCGGATAATATCAGACCACAATTGGATCTAAGTGTAAAGCGTGGCCCACCTATATGTTTGCTTCGACTGCGGTATCCAGATCTCCTCGAAGAACGCGACATTTCACAGAGGAAGAATAGGAACAAGACCATTTTCAAATCCCTTCTCAACCCCGACATTGTTAATGTCGAGCATCCTCTAGGAACAGAAGTCAGGGCATTTGTTGAGAGTGTTCTGAATGACCCTAATAATTGGTGACAATCCTCTAGCTGTGCTTTTAGATGCTTTATTTTGATTTCCAGCTACCTTCGGGCATCTGTTTTAGCATACAGAATAGAGAGAATCCGATTTTCTTACAGCATAGCAGCACCGGCACAGCAGCACATTGGTCAAAATGGGGTTGAAAAGGCGACTAAAGAAAGAGAGAGGAAGAAGAGATTGTCCAGGAGAAGATCAAAGATTGAATCTGATACCGGATGGCTTTCCTAGAGACCAAGAAGATTCCGGCTCATTTTCTTTTCTTTGCTGGGGATCGTCTTCACCGCTCTCTACCCGCTTCTCTGCGACAGGAACGCATTCCCATCCGTTCAAAATCAATCCTTATCAGAGGAAACTGTGCAAGTTCCGTGGTGCACATATTCAGTTGGAGCGGTGGGGGGCGGTCCTGCATTTTCTTGACCGAGTTGGGCATAACGGGCAAGCCACGCTGTGCCAGCTTTATGCTGCATACGCCCCTCTTCTTCAATTCCAATGGTTGTCTTGAACTCAGGATATACTAGATTGTGTATAGCCCTATAATGATAGCGCAATGCGCCATGTTTGTGGTACCTCGTCCTGACTTGGCAGTCAGGGTACCGACAGTATAGTTCCCCCCGGAAAGCAACGGGGGGTGGAGCTCGAGTCCAGACGAGGCACTAGAGGAGCATCCACCTTCTGTCAGGTGCAGGTAACTCTTCAAGCTGTTGTCAGACCGATCGGGCTGGGCCTTGATGGTATTTGGATTCGGCCTTGTCCCTCTGCGCACGTTCTTCTTACGGTCCCTCCGTTCGGCCTGTGGGTTCTACTTGCAGATCAGTTTGTGTCTCGTGAGGCTGTCGAGACGCGTAAATTAATCGTCACAGTAGGGACACTTGATGTCGGGCTTGACAAAGTCTGTAGTAAGTGTCTCTGGGTGCTTATGCTGTTCGTGCGTGAAGTAGCTGGTGGGTGCGGAACCGCTCCCCACAAATTCCACATATAGACTTGAACTCCTTAACCCATCCTGGATAGGTATTTCGGTGGGAGTCGATATCGCACATCTAGTATTGATTAGCATATAGAGATGAAATATCGTGGTATATACTGACCTTGTCGGGCCTCCGACATCTTTACTCTAGCAAAGTGTAGGAGTCGGAGATTTTCAATATATAACCCGGTCGAGTCCTCCAGTTCGACACCTTCTTCACCTGGAATGATGTCGCCACGAAGCACTCCTCTCACTTGATGCGGGTTCACGTCAAAGAACCGACGAGGCTTGCCCGAAAACACTCGGATTTTTACAGGAACCCCAGCATCCTCGGACCAGCTAAATATCTTGTCATGCATTAGCGGGCAGGCCGTTAGCCCACTCCACCGGGAAAGGACAAGGATGACTGGACGCCCAGTCTTAGCCTCGGCCACGAGGCTCAATATGTAGGTCGTTTACCTGGCTCGAGGACACCATGGCTCATTCGCACCATGGATAAAGGCAAAGAACTTGGGTAATTGCCAGCCAGTCGTGTCATACGAGGCGGCGTGCTGAGTGGAGACGTAACGTAGACTCTCAAGGAGCCATTCGACGAAGTCTGCTCGCGTTGATCCCGTTGAGTTTGTTACGAGCCATATCTTGAAGGAAAAAAAATATCAAAATACAGAACATGGAGAGAGAGAAAAGAAGCAAGAGCTAGATCAGCTCTGGAGAGAGCTAATACACCATCGATTTATGCGAACGATGCAAACACCGACCTAGTCATTTACCCTGGACCCTTTTGAACAAGTTAGCTGAATTCCATTTTTCAGTTACCACTAGTCCAGCAAAGCACCGATGGTCTAGTGGTACGACACCGCTTTCCCAACTAGGAAATTCCTATTACCTAGGTATCAAGCGGCAGCCCGGGTTCGAACCCCGGTCGGTGCATTTTTATTTTGCCATATTCTTAAGCATGTACACTCTACAGTTTCGGCACTTCTTTCGCCGCGACTTTATTCTTCAACATATGCCATATGCTGTCTAATATCGTTACTTCCTTCAATTATCATCACATTGCGTCATCAAATCTTATCTAGCAAGCAGTTCCTAGTCCATCCATTCCCTGAGTCCTGATTTGTTTCTGATAGAGGAACGAATGAAACAAGCACGGGAACAGCGAAGGCATGACCTAGGAGAACCAAGTGAAAACTAAGTGAAAAATAAGTGAACGATGCTTCAGACCAACCCTCTCCTCCTAAGGTTCTCTTCTCCATTACAACAGCTCCTCCTCGTTTGGAGACTCTTCATCTTCATTTCGGTCCCTAGTCAGATCCCCTCTTTATCCAGTCAACGAACCTTCCCCGGAGAATTCTCTCACTCAAGAAGTTGACCAAAATGGAAGAAGGTTACAATTACCCAGTTGAGCCATCTGCTAAGCACCAGGAGGGATGGGACACAGTCAACCAGCTCGTCCGGAACCCTACAATCTTGAAGAGACATCCGGATAATACCCCACCGCGCCATACAATGTCTGATGGAGGAGGTCAGAATTTCCATCCTATGATCCTAACCTGGATATGAAGAACCGACAGCCCCTTCCATTTCCCTTGAGTTCCAGGGTTGACCCTTCAGCGACATCCTCGCAACCTATATTTTCGCTAGAGCAGGTCGCGCAGCTTCTGAGAATCCAGGAACAAAACCAACTGAACACTTTCCAAATTTACACAAGCATGGGCAAGCCTGTGCAGCCGCAATATCCAATGACTCTACAACCTCGCTTACATCAGCCGTCAGTGACCCAGAGAACCGAAAGAGATCTAGCAATGAAATGCATAGAAGCACGAATCGAAGAATTGGAACGGAGCCAAAAAGACCGTTCATCCCAGCGAGGGGATATCCAAAGTTTGGAAGATACTCCGACGCTTCCTCGCCTCAACGTCAAAACAAGTCGCCCCATCCGAGCCACAAGGACCCGATTCAAATCCCTTCAAGCCCTGCCCAGGAACCCTCTATTTCTTCTAGGCCTTCTATCCACCTCGACCGCATACGAAGTCCAGCTCTAATCAATCCGATCTCCCCCACAGGCCCATCGCAAAATAAGAGACAATCTGACCGCGATTCCAAGACTTCATCGAGGAACATGCAAGGGGAATGAATCTAGTTCCAAAAGGGTCTTGATACCAAGAACCTCAGTCAAAATCTAGTCAACCATCAGTTCCGGGAAGCGGTCCCTAAGTCCTCTCAACCTCGAATTGCTACCCTTGGCGAAGAAGACTGGTGACCGAGAAGCGGATGAATCGGAGAAGGAATCCCTTAATGAAATGCAGGAGGAAGTCAACATGTACTGGGATCAAGTTGGTGATCTACACAAAATCGTAGCCTGCGACGAACATCTGATCCGGGCCCAGTGGAGGGAGACCCAAGCTCTTCGATCTAGGTTGAAGAAAGCGGAAGCGGAGCTCAAGAAAGACCAGGCGACGGCTGATGTCATGTCTACATGGGGACCACAACCTCTGGGTACTCGAATTCCAAACTACATCAAGATGGGGAGTGATATGGGGGGTCATGCGAGGATGAGTAGAGGGGTAAGGGGGTAGATCCAAGTGTGGATTAGGCGGGTTCGAACTCAGATCGGCGCATTTACTTCTTCTTTGTTTCTTACATTCCGGAAAAGCTATCACAAGATTCATACCACAAGGCTTTCTTCGATTTCATTTCTAATACTTGAACTGCTGGGGGCATAACCGGCTTGTGGGGCTAGGTAAAACAGTAAAAGCCACTTCACGACCAGTTCGTCTTCACATTAAATCGGAAAATTGTCTACGGCTTCGGCGTCGTCGAGTCTCCAGTATCTATCCCATCAGAACTTTTCCGGACCGAAAACAACTCCTGCATGCCAGATTCGGAGTCCAACACCCTGACATCTGGCACAAGGTCCTGTTCTTTGGGCTGATTGGCGGTCGTCACTTCGGTGCCCTCGGCCCTCCGGCGAGGTGGAATAAAAACATTGTAGTATCTTGGAAACACCAGACCGAGCAGAATCAAGAGCAAACAGCAGTGCGCCAAAATAAAGCCAGCAATCATCATTGGGTCGTATCGCAGGGTATAGAATTCAGGATACGCGAAGCTGAACACAATGGCCAGAATAGGCGCACTGACATACCGAAGTAGAATGGGCCAGAAACGAGGTATGTTCCAGTTCCCATTACCACCAACGACCCCGTTCAGGTCACGTCTTAATTGATTACCCTAGACATGTTAGTTTCTTTTGGTGCAAGATCTGTTGGCAGCGGGAGACATACAGAGTAGAATGCTAGATACCAAAACCGACTGAGGAGAGGGTTCCACTCCCAGAAGCTGGTGGCTTTGATAGCTGGGGTCGTGGCAATGAGGACGGAAAGAATCGAACAGACGATATACAGCCCAAACCCGGCGCCGGCACCAGCTGGCGGATTCGAGTTACCGTGTGCAACGGCTACTCCGACAATCTGGCCGCCAAAGTATCCGAAATTATAGACAGCAAAAGCAGGAAGCCCTGTCTGGCTCACCACGTCGCGCCAGCGATAAACCGTGGTTGCACCGACGAGCTCCGACCACACAACAAAGATCAAGGCCACATTGTTGATCCATCGGTCGATTCCATCCAGCAGGTAGAATCCAAATTGAGTGCAGTATGGCAAACACATAAGGAATGACAATATTGTGAGGCTAGTCACAATCATCGGTCGTGACATTTTCACACCCGAATCAACGGCCAAAGTAGCCACCGCGTCGAGCATCACAAAGGCTGAACTGAACCCGAGAACCACCAGGGTAAAGAATAAAAGGATAGCCCACCAATTCGCACCAGGCATGTGCAGCACAGCCTCAGGGAGCGTGAGGAAACCGACCACGAATGCACCCAATCTCTCGCCATCCTGTGGCCAACGTCGGAGGTAGCCTACAACACCAAACACGGCAAAGGCAGCAACGTTCTCGAACAGGACATTACTTCCGCAGATGAGAATTGCATCCATGACAGCATTGGAGTGTTTGGAATTATAGGAAGCATACGAGGTGAAATACCCGAAACCAATGCCGGTAGAAAAGAAGACCTGTCCGACAGCCGTTTGCCAGACAGTCCCCGAGGCTAGCTGATCGCTTCTCCATGTCGCCCATAGGAGCCGGACACCCTCGCCCGCATTTTCCAGTGAACAAGAGCGACCGACGATAATAATAGTCGTGACAATCGGCAGACCCATCGTCCAGTATACGACCCGACCCGTCAAGCCCACTCCACGAAAGATGGAAATCCATATGAGAAACCAGATGAAGGCGCTCCAGCCGACCGTCTCACCGATAAGTTCAACACCGGGGTACACGGTATAGTGGGCAACAGCACCATTGCCAGCAGTGAGATTGCCCACGACCGGATCAACATTGGCAACGACATTGCCCATGTAGAATTCCTCGATCCTGCCTTCCCACGGTATTGGGCTCCGGAAGGAGTTGCGGAAATAGTTCATGATCCACGCCAAGTTGACCGTAAAGTATTGCACGACGACAAAACTGACCAAGATCGGGCCCATGCCAACGCCTTTCAGCCGATGGTTGATATTGTTGAACGCGATCACCGTCCCGCCACGATAGGCTTGTCCAATCGAAATCTCGAGAATAAGAGCCGGAATGGCGACGGCGAACACGGCCAACAGGTAGGGGATAAACCACTGTAGTCCATAATTATTGTAGACCACCGAGGGGTATCGCAGCAGATTTCCCTGACCGGCGCAGCCTCCCATGGCGGCCAGCAGGAAAGCCGCTCGGGAGGGCCATTGATCACGTCCATCTTCCGACTTTCGTGGGGGAGGAGCGATCCAGCCCACAACCCCCTTCAGATACTGGGCGAGTACCATGATGGTACCGATCAGATGAGGAAAATTCAGTTGAGACCTTGTAACTTCATGCAAGGATGTGACTTTGCAAGAGGGAGATTAAAGGAAAGGCTAACAGCAACAAAGTCGCCCAGAGACCTCCGCAGCAGATCAGAGACGCTTCCGTATGACTTCCGGCTGATGCCAAGGGCTTGCCAACCATCTCATCCTGCTGCACCAGTCACCTCGGACCTATGCCAAGAGGCTTGGGGAGGGAGGCATTCTCATCCTAGATCCTTATGTTCACGGCTTGCGCGATGGGTTGCGCGATGGGAGAGCCGCGCCAAGAGTCTTGGAAGCATCCCAGAGCGGAGACGGTGTGCCATGTCGCAGTATTGTTGGCGGGATTAATACTACAGGCAAAGATTAGCTAGCTTGGCTCCGTCATGGGAGGTGACATGCAGGTATCTCATGGTCCCAAGAGCGGATGTGTAGGGTTCGGAATATAGCCGAACGACCGAAATGTCTAGGAAACAGTCCAAGTCCCTTCAGTTGCCAAGGGCGCGGGTCCTTGGCGGGGACTTGCGCAATTTCATGGCGTTAATTGCGACATGTACTATCGCGGTTCAAGCTTATAGTTATAATGGGTTTAGCGAAGACGTGATTAGAGTCATGCTCTGCTCCTTTATGATTGACATACAGCCCAAAGCTCTTGGCCTAGAAATCGCCAAAGCCATTGGGAGGAGACCCTCGATATGAGGTAAAAATAATCAGGTTCTTGTTTTTACACTGTACAATTTTATCATCTATCTATACTACCTACCCATGTTGCATAAAGGCAGACCTACCACCCTGTAGACTGACTCCTTCAATCTGCTTCATCTCATCTTCCGTCAGCCGCCATCCAAGAGCCTGCATATTCTGCTCCGCTTGACCAGCATCGCGCACACCAACCAGTGGCAGAACGCCCTTATTGATAGAATAATTCAGCGCAACAGCAGGAACAGGCACACGCCGCTCCTCGGCAATACTCTTCAAGACATTGATAGTAGGCTCCAGCAAATGCATGGGATAACTACTGAAACGTCGGCTCTGCTGGGGCCAATTGAGGCGCGAATATTTACCAGAAAGACGGCCTTCAGCCAGCGAGGCAAACCCCTGGAAGCAGATACTCCGCTTTTTGCACTCTCGAATCATGCCACTGACTTCAGGCAAGCGGCGGACGACCGAGTACTCGCACTGACAGACAGAGAGCGGGACTTTGTGCTTGGCCAGCTCATCGGCCATCTTAACCATCTCCTTTGTGTCATAGTTAGCCACTCCAACCGCGCGCGCCATCCCGGATTCCACACACTCGGCCATGCCCTTGGCGACAGTGGATATATTGCTAGGATGGATAGGCCCGTGAACGAGGTAGATGTCCACGTAGTCTAGTTGAAGACGTACGAGCGAATCTTTAAGCTTGGACTTCGGCCCGCCAGCCTGCATGACTGTGTTGGTCATGTCTGGTGTTGATAGCCACTTGGTTTGTACCACGAAAGAGTCGCGAGGCATGTCCCTGAACAGGGTTCCGCAGATCCGCTCGCTCTCGCCGTCGCCGTAGGACTGCGCTGTGTCCACGAAGGTCAACCCAACAGACTTGAGTTTGGCCCACGCTGCGTGGATGCGCGGTAGGTCTCGTGTCGGGTTGTAGTCAAAGGTTGCTTTGTCGCCCCATGACCATGCGCCGATACTCAGGTAGGGAACAAGTACGTCCTTCCCACTCACACCACGCAGTGCGATTCGGCTTTTCGAGTCGGGTGTTAGGTCGGGTGGAAGCATGCTGACCGGGTCGCTGAGATGAGGGTCCACTGGTTTGGCGTGTGGGGAGTGCATGCCCTGTGTGCCTGATATGCCGGCTGCTAGGCCGGCTTGCATCATATACTGAGCTCCTGGGGTGGCCATTCTGTGAATATGTACAGCCGAAGCAGTATGTACATATAATTGCCGAAGTTTGAATGAACTCCGCGCTGCCAATTTGATCGGGACCTCCTAGATTGAAACCTGGTTTGATATACTATTTAGGGAGGAGTGGCGCTCTGTGTCATCATGACATTCAGCGAACTGTACCTGAGCACCTTCGGGTCGAAATCCAACTGGCCAAGATGGAATCTCTTTATCATTATAATGGTCGAGGGGAACATATAAAGTAAAGCGAACTAGACACCCATAGCGACCTCATTCTTCCATGCCTGGCCTGTTACATCTTGAAGATCATAATATTCAATGTTTGGATCCTATTATACCCGCAGAAACCATCGAAACCGGAAAACGTGACGTACAAGAAAAAAAGATTCGGGACCAAGCGTGCCAAGCAATAAAATACACGCCGTGCTTCAGGCTATGAAGACATATAGAATGCAGGTGGGGAATAATGATGAGACGGGGTCCAATATACAAAAGTAATATCCAACAGGTTTCGCTGTAAACGCCATTCGCTATGCTGAAGTATTGTGCCGCATTGATGCATTTTGTGCTTCGCAACGGAGCTTGAAGAGAAGATCATCGACCTCGCGGAAAGCGCTCGCGGACAAAGTCGTCATTTCCATTTCACCCAAGAGGGTCTTCAGGGATTGGGCGACGCCTTCTTCGCTGATGTCGGATTTGGGTTCGGGGTATGTTTCTTGGGTTTGCGAACCAGTGGTGGCGACACTTGTAGTTTGCTCGACTATTCCACCGTGCTGTACTCCATCCATGTCGACTCCCATCTCGACGTCTGGTTTTACTGTAGGCTCAATGGCCTTCTCCATTTCAGAGATTTGACTGGCAGTTGCCTCTTCGGTAGAAACAAGAGAGGTGTTCTGGCCCGCTTGATCTTCTGTAATGAGGCTCTCGGGAACCATGCACAGGTCGACATGAGGTGGGAAGTGTTCAGTATCGCCATGCTCCTCGGATGGAATGCTTGAAGGTTGAGGTTGAGATGCCTCTGATGCATGTCGCTGAGACCGCATTTTGCGGGAGCGGGTATCTCGAGGGACACTTTCGGGAGTGCTATCAATGGCGGTAGAAATAGACTCGTCCTCAAGACGAATGGACTTGCGAGACCTTTTGGACGGTCGCGGGGTCTCGCCATCTTGTGTCGATTCCTGCGCAACGGGGTCTTGAGTTGCAGGGATAGAATCCGTAGGAGCGTTATCACCACCTTTTCGTTGTGAACGGCGAGTGGATCGGCGAGTCACAGTTGGTGACAATGACGTAGCCGGAGAGACCGGCTGTGAATTGGCATGGTGGGAATCTGGAGTATCAGGCTGTAATGACTCGACGTTGACCACGTCTTTAGCCGTGGACAGCCGCGTCGACCGGCGCGTTCTCACAGATGAAGAAGGTTCCTCTTGATCCCGCTTTCTCTTCTTCATGGATGGCTCATCTGGAAGTTTTGCTTGTTCCGAATGACCCCTATCGTCCATATCCACAGCTAATTCCAAGTCCTGTCCAAGCTGTGATGCGATTTGTGTCTCTGTCTCCTCACTCGAGTCCATTAAACTATCAGGAAGGATATCAGGAGGCATGTTTGTGGCCTGCTGAGGTTGGTTCTCAGCAGGCTTAGACTGAGATTGCTTCTGTTTCTTCTTGGAGCTCGAACTTGATTTACTCCTGCGAGTAGATTTTTGGACAGGTGTCTTATCAGAGTCAACCAGTGGCACCAGTGGACGTTCTGCTGTATCTGAGTCTTTACCCAGCCCAGATCGGAGTCGCCGGCTGGGAGTCACTCCGTTTGCTCGGGGTGTAGCGTTGCTGTTGTCGTTATCATAGTCATGGGCATCACTCATGGGTGTATCTATGTTCTCCGTCGCAAGACGGGAAGTAGCCGGGCTGTTGACTGTCGACTGTTTGCCGGATAGAGCCTTCCTTGCTTTTGCAGCCCTTCGCCGCGCGCTTTTCGAGCGAGGCTTCCGAGGGCTTGGGCTCCGAGATTGCATTTCGGGAGGAGATGATGGAGGGTCTATACCCAAATCTGCAGGCAGCTGGCTCGATGTGAGTGCGTCGGAGTTCATGGCAGGTGTCGGGTCTCTGGTCCCAGGCGTAGGAGACGAGCCAATAAATCCTTCTTCATTTTCAGTAGGTGCGAGAGTGGGTGTTAGAGGAAGTTCGGTCAGTGATCCTCCGTGTAGTTTGCGCACATGCGGAGGAGTATTGAAGCCCAATTTCCGTGGAGTACTAGCTGGTGACGATGATTGAAGGGATTCAATCATCGAAAACATTTCACGATGACTCTTGCGCTTGTCAGACACTGAAATACCATCGACAATTTGCGCATCCGTGGGTTGATGAAGGCTACTCGGCAACTGGGGTTCATGGAACTGCCCAGTTGGCTTGAGGACCAGGGATGAGTCTTCGGTCCGTATGACGGGGGACGATAGCTGAGTGTCCTGGGATGGCTGATGCAATGCCCGATCCATTTTGTCTTGCGGAGGGGGAGGTAACATGTTGGTATCCCGATCGCCGTCTTGAGGGGGTAAGGTTGCGGTCTGGACCCTGGACCCGGCAGTTTGTACAGCTTGCAGAAGGGTGAATGGGGCGGCAAAAGTCTGTGAACCAAAGGTCAAGCCCCAAAGTTCGACATATCTCTTGGCTGTTGAGATATGTGAAGACTCCAAACCGGCGCAAAGAATGGGCTCAAAGGTTTTCAAAGAAGGTAGATCATGGGAAACTGATGTTTGCAGAATATTAATAGTAGCTGACGAGAGCGCACGGCACGCCGTCAGGATTCTGCTGTAAACGCCGCGGTCAACATGGACTTTGTAAGATTTGTCCTTCAACCAAAGACCAAGTGATGACTGGAGACATTGAAGAATTTGGCATTGGAATTGCGGAACACCGGTCGCCAGAAAAGAAGTTAATGCCTCGATAAAGTCGGCAAGACCGTAGGATTGTGATGCGTTGAAATTGTCATATGCGCCATGTAATGTCTGGGCAATTGAGGCGAGGAGTTTATGAGGAAAGATGGTATGACCAGCTGCCTGGATGCCGCTGCGATCAATCCCTAGTCCGGTTCCTTGCATGAAAGGGATAGACAAGGAATGACCAAGCAGTGAAGTCAAGGGCAAGTAGGTATCTTCAGCGGAGAGATGCATGAGTCGTTCCGCCATGGGTTCCACAATCATATTGGCAACCGCTTGGTTTCCTTTCTCTGTTCGAACAACGCGAACAAAAGTTTCAAGTAAATGAGACCACTCTTTAAAGGCCGACGCAAACGAAAGTCCGAACGAGAGAATTTTGATGACATTTTCGTAGTCACGGGATACAGAGCCGTCGCGCCCACGAGCCGATTCCATAGGGAACGACTGCAAAGCATCTGCGGCCGCCTGGGCAGTGGCATTCCAAACCACCTCCGACAGCTGAGCCACACATGGAATGGCACTGGTCTTTGTAGTGCTCAATTCTGCACACTGTTGGAGAAGTTCGAGGCGAGATCCGCGGGAGAATCTCCCGTTGCATGCTGCTTCAATGTTACCTAAAACAAGATGTGTGTAAGCTTGGTTCGGCGCTATTGTCCCTGCAGTGCTGCTGATTATTCGAAGGAGATGAAGAATAGCACTTTGTTGGGTCGTATTTGGATGTGAGTGTGCGGAAATGTTGTCGGTTTCATCCGCGTTTCTCAAGAGAAGCTTTTCGGTAAACGGAACGCCCCCAATAGAAACAATCATTGTTGTAGATAAGAACCTGAATCTTTCGAAGAAAATATCTGTGGTGTCGGCATTCAACGAGGGCGGTCCTACAGTCCAAAGGCGGTGCAGTAGACTCCAGACACTAGCCACAGCTTGCATCGATTCCCCCGAAGGGGTGATCTCTTTGCTGGACGCAAGCGATAGAGCACTGGACAGACTGTTCCAGGCCAATGCCACGTGAGATTGGCCAACGGCGTCATCGGTCCAAACTGAGGCTTTGAACAGATTCTCAAAAACCTTCAAAATTGAGGTAATTCTCGATCGAACCCATCTGCTGTCGGCTGCAGGCAGTTCCTCTGCTTCCATTTTGGTAGGGTCATTGATTCGATTCTCTATCCATATCTTAGCCTGCGTACTCCACAACAGGTTTGTCAATATGCGCGAAAGACAGTCACTGAGAACCGGGACTGATGAGAAGATGCTTGAAGACGGAGTGGCCACGTATTCCTCCCATATAACATCCAGATGCTGATAAGAAGCCGAAGGACGGAAAGTGTAGTATAGTAGATTATAGTAGCTGGTCAGAGCAAGTTGAGTGGGCGGTGCTCCTGACTTGTCGGTCTTCTTGCGGTCGAATTGAGAGAGTACCGGTTTGCCCAGCATTTTTAGGAGATATCGGCTTGTCGATTCGTTGGGGTTGACAGCAAAGATAAATCGATTCCACCCAATAATAGCCTGCGCTTTAATCACTGGCTCGCTGCAATTGAAGCATTTTTGGAGTACGAGAACCCATTCCTTAAAATGATCCCATTGCTCAAGATTCCATCTTTTGCTCCGGAGAAGAAGGATAATGATGCTCCAAATCTGAGGAACATGTTCACCGCTATCCACCGTCGCCATCATTCGAGTCATGCGCTCACGAACCTCTGATACAAGCTTTCGGTCATGCTCTAATGGCCGGTCGAAGAGATCCCGGATGTTTTTCGACAGTATAGGATTGGGACCGGCTTCTGTGGCCACCTGGAAGCCAAGTGCAATCGCTTTTGACCTGGTATCCCTCAAATGATGGAGCAGCGCGAATATCAAGTGTTCCATCCATAGGCTTGCTTGTGAGATGAAAGCGGACTTGGCTTGGCCTAGCAGCCGCTGGTAAATGTTCAATCGATGGGAAACAATTGCGTTGCCAGTGATATTCTTGGTTACTTCTTGTAGTACAGTCAAAAGACGGGCTACACGAGCACCGGTCATAATCTTAGGGCCAAAGTTTTGCGTCGACAATATGGACATGTAGTGCGTCAAAACAGACTTTGGGGCCTTGGCCTCATGGAGACAAGTGATGGAGTGATCGACCAGAAAGATTTTGAACTCCTCTGAAAGCTGTGTCGAAATCTCTGGATGCCAAACAAACGCAGCTGACAATTTCAGAGCCTGATTGGCAAGGTTCGTGTCGAGAGGGGAGCCGTTCGCAAGGTCCCGATTCACATCCCGCTGGATAAACTCGGTGATGAGATTCAATTTTTCGGCAATCTTCTGACCCGCCGGGAGTCCATCATACGTGCGTAGCGCGCCAAAGAATTGCATGTAGGCATCGAGTCGGGAGCTCATCGACTCGCCTGCCAGTTGTTGGGTGACCGATTCGAGCAGCATGGCAAGCGATTCGGTAGTGAATGTATCGACATTGGGTGACCAAACGGGAATTGGTGACTGCGTTGCTTTCAGGATCGATTTCGTAGGTTTGGAGTTCGGGGATGGAGGGATAGTCTTGACGTCGGGGGCCGATTTCATGGCACTAGCAAAGCTTGGTGGTTTGATGTACTTGGGCCATGGCGAGAAATTTACTTTCTTCGAACTGCGGCTGGACGGAGCGGCTTCCACCGACCCCAGCGCGGAATATGATGACTCCTTGGGCGTTTGAACGGTTACTGGTGACTCGTTGTTCTCGATAACAACGCGCGAAGCTGTCCTTGGGGGTGTAGGCGGACGAGCAGAGAGGATCTCCACCATGATTCGGATCAGACAAGAAGTGTGGAGAAGGAAAAGAAGCAATAGTCAAGGATCATTGCTGGATTAGGTGCTGTTCAGGCCCTGTCCACGATCTGTTCTAGACTGAAGAATCAAGAAGCCACCTCAAGTCGAGAAAACTAGGTTCAAGTTCCGACGCGCCGCGATGCGCGTAAAGTGTCACCGCCTGAGGCGACGAGGCATCAATAGGCGGATTTTTTGAGCTTGACTAACTATAGCTTCAATAACCTTGGAATCATTGGGAGAGTATCTCAGTGTGTAGATATGTATGAACAATAATAATCAGCATTCAGCATTCAGCATTTAACATTGAACATCTAACATTTCAATATATTACTGTGGCATTCTTTAGACAAACGGCGAAGTTCACGAAAGTTTGCATTATACAAAATATCTCGACTGGATGTTGCAAGATAGGGCTTTTCTTATAATTATGTAGTAATAAATTGTTATACAGATTTCTGGAGAGGAGGTTTTTAAAGAGAAGCTTAGGTGGGGGTCGAATAATTTATGACGATTTGCGTCTGACTTCCCCGCGTGGCTCTCTCTCCCTCTTTTTGGGGTTCTCTCGTCAATAGCTACCTGCTCAAGCTACTGATCTTACCTGACGCTCGTACTGTGCTGGGGATTCTACTTCAGCACGAGGCGTCGGTGAAAGTGACACCAGTCCTACCTCACCCCCTTACTCGGAACACTCGAGTCAGTCCGAGCTCAGATCAGGATGGCGTTTCTTCAGGCGCAAGGAACAGGTACGTCGTGGAGATTGGAGAACTCCACACCGTCAAGCAGGTTGGCTGACTCGATCTTGCACATACAGCGAAGCTACAACAAGTGACACAGCTTTTAAAATCTCTTGAGAAAGACCTACAAGAGAACAACCTCTCAACAGCAGGCAAGTCGGATGCATAGCCATCATATTATGTACGCTCCTAACAGTGATCCTATCTACTACTAGACCGAGTCCAAACCCTCCTTCAGCTCCGACAACACGGCACAAACCCTACCGACGCAGAACCGATCTATTCACAGAATGTATGAGCGCAACGGATGAAGTCGCCCGTCGAGAACCAGAATTGAATTGACCTGATCACCCCTAGGGCATTAATATCTTGGTGCGGTATGGCGTTGAAGGGGAGACCCCTGACGTACGTCGAGCAGCATTGCGATGTGTTGCCAATGCGCTGTTACTTGACCCTAAAATGCGGCAGGCTTTTGTGGACACGGGATACAGTGGAAAGTTAGCAGAAAAGCTTAAGGTAGGGCCGCAGCAGATGGAATGTCGGTACCAAAGCTGACACTGATATTTGATAGACTGAAGACTCAGAAGACGAGATGGTTACAAGTCGGATATTGTTCTACGCGACATATAACACCACATTGGACTTTAAAGACTTGATCAAGAGTCACGCATTGGGGGAGAATGTGAACTATGTGGGTGGATTGTCCGACTCGAAAGTTGATGTGCTATGCTGACCAGTATAGCAATTGAGCCGTCATGCGAAGCAGTTCCCGAAGTCCGGAAGAAAACCATTGTCAAAAATGGACGAATTGGCCTTGTCAGACACGCTGAAATTGATATACAACATCTCCAAGATATTTCCAGATCTTGCTCCCGAGTTCTCCCCTTCCATTCCTCATGTACTGAAGATCATATGTCGCATTGATATTCCAGCAAAGCCCCTAGATGGTTTAGTGGGCGGCTTGCTCAATACATTGTCTATACTTGACTTGGAGGAAAAGAAAGGCAAGGTTTTCGAGAGCAGCCCCCTTTTTCCGACATTCGACAACAACTGCAACGTGGACAAGTTGATCAGCATCTTGGATCACGCCACATCCACGTATAGCCCTACGGAGCTAGAGGAAAATGCAGTCCCGTTACTATATTCACTCATCGCTATCCACGAAGTGGCACCCGATGGGCCCCGCAAGCATATGCAGTCGCTTCTTTTGCCCGAGGACACTGACCGAAGCTTGCCAATTGGACAGTCAGACACGCTTTCTTCACGACTTCTGAAGCTCTCGACAACCCACTTTGCCAATCTGAAGGTTACAATTTCCGAGCTGATGTTTGTCCTATCAGATAAGGATGCGGAGAAACTCACTAAGAATATTGGCTATGGCTTCGCTGCTGGCTTCCTGGCAGCACGCGGCATTGAGATGCCACACAGTGCAACTGAAGCATCTTCAGCCAAGGACGGCCCAGACACCGCACGCAATCCAATCACTGGACAACGGTGGGCCGCTGAGCCGCAGGATTCCGGTCCGCCTATGACCATGGAGGAGAAAGAGCGCGAGGCGGAGAGACTCTTCGTATTATTTGAGAGGTAGGTGCATCGTAGACAATCTATATAGAACCCTTGCTAACGACTATTCATCACAGGGCCAAAGCAAACGGTCTCCTTAATGTCGAGAACCCCGTGACTCAGGCTCTCCACGAGGGAAGATTCGAAGAACTACCCGATGATACTGATAGTGACTGAGTATTATCTTTTGAGTGTCATTTGGAAGCAAGCCTTTTGAGCTTGGTTCATTACAGCTGCATGCACGGTCTATGACTTGGTCTATGACTATGCCCTATAGTAACTCTGTAGCGATGCTGGCATCGATCCAGGATCTATACGGGAAGGCCTTGCCCGGTTCAATAAACTGAAAATAGAACTGTGAATCAATGCAACACCAATTTAAATGTAGTCGAGCTGAATATGAGGCTGATATGATACGGTGTACTATACCCGCGGGCGGAATGACGTTATGCAAGGCGGAGGGTTCTCTCCGCCCGTCAAAAAAATTATGCGCGGGGCACCGAACACTCCAATTTGATTTCCTCCCACTCATCAGATCACTACTTTCTTGTGTTACATTTCATAGCATTTACTTTACACGCAACCGTCAAGATGTCGAAGCCATTCAACCCCGAGGAGGCGGAGAATCTGGAGGATGTACGACCCCGCGTCCATATGGTCGAAAGACTGAAGAACCTTGATCGCTGACAATCGCAACAGATGGAGAAGCAGTTCGCCGTCAAAGGTCAGTCGCGCATCGATTTACATCCCGTTTACGGCTTCACGCAAGGTCATAATATTGATACCCCCGTCACATTGCAGCGGTTGAACATCTCATGACATACTGGGCTATTTTGGAGAAGGTCAAGGGCTCGCAGCTTCGCTTGACCAAGCAGGACGATGACATCTACAATTCATTTATGGAGGCATTCCCCGATTTCGATCCCGCCGGGACCCTCGTCGAGGACGAGATGAAGAGCAAGGCCGGCAAGGAGAAGTGGCGCAACTGGATGATGAAGTGGAACAAGATCGACGACTTCAACTTTGGCACCATGATCCGTACCCGTGCGGATGCCGAGTATGACCAGGAAACCACCATTTTCGGTGTCCGCATGCAGTTCTACGCTGTTGAGATCGCTAGGTAAGTGCTGGTTGGAGCCGGGTGAGTCACGCATGGAAACTGACGGAGTCTTCCAGAAACCGTGCCGGTCTAAACGATTGGATTTACGAGAAGGCCCAGAAGGCCAGCTCCTGATTACAAATCGTGTCTTGTTGCTGCTGTTCTTGAAATCGAGGGCAGTTCCACATCCGGGCTGATCTGGCCGACGGCATTTGCCTGTTTCCTTGTGGCGCAGATCGTGAATGGCCTGGAGACTATGATATGATTGCGAGACCTCGCAGTATCATGGTTGAGGTTAATTGTTACGACAGAATCGTGGTCGTACACATAAATATGTGGTCTGATTTAGCGTCGGACCATCAATCGCAGCTCAAATGTAGATTGGCTGTCTGCCAGGACTTGGACAGCCTTTTGATATTGAGTTTGAAATATACCCTGAATAAAATGTCATTTCCATTGGTTGTTCTTCTTATCTTCTCGCTATTGTTTATATGGGCTGGTCTGCTGGGGCCCTCATTGCGAATGATTGTAGCCATTGCGCATCAAACATCGAGTAAGTCCATCCTCTAGCCCTAGGGTATGACTATTAGAAATTTACCATCAACAGTGAAGGCTATAATTGCTGTCTCAAAGTTGAAGCCGATGAATGGTACATTCATCCCGAGTGCCTTGCAACAATGTCGGAGCATGGGTGTCTTTGTTCTGCACCCCTCTTCAATGTTCCCCATTTGGGAAATTCCTTAGTATTGTTCTTTTCTTTTTTTGTGAATTATATTTGTGAGACCACTCAAATGGCCCGTCATGACTATTTCCTACCGATCTGTATCCTCTTCCATCTTGCCTCACTGCTATGCCAATATAGCGTGGCAAGGAAAATCTCCGCAAGTCAAACCAGCCCTTCAACGTGATGTTCGAACCTTTGGCAAAAATGTTACCAAAACGCAAGATTTCCGATCAGAGCGACACCAACAAAGAAAATATTCCCGAGCGCAATCCGGGCTGGAAATCGCTGTTCGGATTCACGACTCGAAGACACCTGCCGACTCTCATATTCGGGTCTATCTTCGCCCTGGTTGCTAGTTGTGTCACGCCGGTACTTGCAGTCTTCCTTGGAAATGTGTTCGACTCATTCACGTCTTTCGGGGCTGATCAGACTGATGCCAAAGGGCTTCATGGCCAAGTAATTAGAAGTTGCTTGGGCATGATCGGACTGGGAGTAGCTGGTTGGTTTTTGAACGGCGCATACTATGCTCTGTTCGTTGCATTTGGCGAAATGCAGGCCTCCGTTATTCGCAGCCAAGTATTTTTAGAGTTGCTAAATCGCGATATTGAGTGGTTTGAGGCTAAAAGTGAGGGCTCTGGGGCTTTGTTGTCGGGAATTCAAGCGTGAGTTTACCACTATACCCGCGAAATATCTTATACCTAATATCACATTGTTTCCAGGCACATCCATGAGATGCAGATGGCGACATCGCAGCCACTCGGACTTGTACTGCAATACTCGTGCCGTTCACTGGCTTCCCTAGGGCTGGGCTTCTACACATCATGGAGCCTCTCTCTGGTAACTCTTGCGGGCATTCCCATATTCTCGGCAATTATCGGATTCCTTTCCTCCAAAATGAAATCTAGCATTACAGCACAGCAGGCTGAGCTTACCGAGGCTTCCAAGGTTGCCAATAATGCTATCACCAATATCGATACGGTCAAATGCCTCAATGGGCAGGCCTTCGAGCATCGCAACTTCTCTGAGCGTATTGAGAGATCTGCCACACACTATCTTCGCCAAGCTCGGCTGAATTCTCTGCAAATTGCTTTCATACGCTGGATGATGTTCGGGATGTTCGTTCAGGGATTCTGGTATGGCAGTTCGCTTGCACGCGCCGGGAAACTCACATCTGGAGAAGTTCTCAGAACTTTCTGGGCCTGTCTGACCGCAGCTCAGTCCATCGAACAGGTGTTACCGCAGATGATCGTGATGGAAAAAGGAAAGCTCGCTGGTGTCGCCTTGAAATCGATAATACAGAGCCGGAGAGAAGACAAAATTGTGAGCGAGGCAAAGGGAACTCGCTATCCGGCACACTGTGAAGGCGATATCGAGTTGAAAAACGTGGGTTTAAATCTTTCTCTGAGTCTTGTCCGGACACTAACGAATTCGTGAAGGTATCATTTTCATATCCTAGTCAGCCTGATCAGTGTGTGCTCAAGCCGTCGAGCTTTTTCTTCCCCGCTGGAGAAACGACGTTCGTTATAGGGAAAAGCGGTTCTGGTAAAAGTACGCTCAGCCAACTGCTGATGCGGTTCTACTTGCCAACCTCAGGTGAAATCCTGATTGACGGCAACCCAATGCAAAAACTCGACATCAACTGGATCCGCAACAATATCACCCTTTTAGAGCAAAAGAGTGTTCTGTTCAATGAGTCTGTGCTCACGAACATCGCCTTTGGTCGCCAGGACCATGCAACCGTTACTAAGCAAGATGTCAAAGAGCCAATTGAGTTGGCCATGCTTGAGAACACTATCGATGGTCTCCCTAAAGGAATCGACACTTGCCTTGGCCCGGGCGGAAGCTTTTTGAGCGGCGGCCAGAGGCAACGAGTTGCAATTGCCAGAGCGAAACTACGCGACACCCCAATCCTGATCTTGGATGAACCCACCAGCGCTCTTGATCACACCAACCGATTCGCGGTGATGAAAGCAATCCGCGAGTGGCGGAAAGGAAAGACTACTATCATCATCACCCACGATATGTCACAAATAATGGAACAGGATTTCCTGTATATCCTCGAACAGGGTTCGATTGTGAAATCCGGCTACAGATGTGTCGTCGAGCTCAGTCCGGGGAGCGAAAAGTACTTCCATACGAAAGTCGACGGTCGTCTGGAAACCAAGACCCAGAACAAAATGGCTCTGGATGATATGGATATTCCGTGGGAGAGCTCATCATCGGAGAGCTTGGACACGTTGAGATCTCCAACAGCTTTCCTTGGACATCGTCGAGCCAGGACATCCTGGGCTCAAGGCCATATTCCACCAACCTTTCACTCCAGCTCACTGGACTTGACATCGAGAAGGAATTCGGAATACGTGGTCAGGAATGGGGAGTTCCCCGGGTCGCCCTTGCAAGATTGGAGCCAACGTCTTTCTTTCACGACAGAAGGGCCTGGTCATCAATGGGACTCGAAGGAACCAACTGTTCAAATGCCCGCGGAAGAAGTCGAAATGGTTCATATTGATGACCAGGGCTTCAACTCAGATCCATCACGAACGAAGCGCAGCCGGAGATCACATGCCCGCCGCAAGAAGTCAGAAGAACAGCAGATACCGAAAGAACGAATGACACCGCTTTCTCAAATTATGGGCACCATTCTATCGACTTTGACAATCAGACAGCGAATCATCATCTTCCTTGGATTCGCCGCGGCACTGGCCCATGCAAGCGCAACTCCCATATTCTCATATTGTCTGTCGCAGCTATTTGGAACTTTCTATGCTGGAAACAATAGTGAACACCTGACAATGACATGGTCACTTGCTGTACTAGGTGTGTCTTTCGGAGACGGCCTTGCGTCCTTTTTCATGCATTACTTCCTAGAGCTTTGCGGCGAGGCTTGGATGGATTCCTTTAGGAAAATTGCCTTCCAACGCATTCTCGATCAGCCACGGGCCTGGTTCGAGAAAGATGGTAACGGATCTCTCAGACTCACATCGTCACTCGATCAGAATGGAGAAGATATGCGAAACCTGCTAGGCCGATTCGCTGGTTTCGTAGTTGTTGCTGCGGCAATCACCGTCATGGCAATTATCTGGAGCTTGATAGTTTGCTGGAAGTTGACACTCGTTGCTCTTTCTTGTGGGCCTATCATTTATGTCATCACTCGAGGCTTCGGGGGAACAAATGGGCTTTGGGAAAGACGATGCAATGATGCGAACAATCTTGCCGCCGATGTCTTTACTGAGACCTTTTCAGAGATCCGCACCGTGAGAACGTTGACATTGGAAGGTCACTTCCATCGCAAACAGGCCAATGCGATCGCACGTTGTTTGCTGCTAGGGTTGAAACGTGCCATCTATACAGGCATGCTTTTCGGTATGGTAGAATCGACCGTCATATTTTCTAGCGGTAAGCTCGCTGATTCTGTCACTTGCTTGCTATTGTCCTGACTTTCTTGAACAGCTTTGATCTTCTATTATGGAGCGGTGCTCGCGGCATCTCGCGAATTCAATGTCGACGACGTGATGATGGTATTCTCGATGTTACTTTTCAGCATTGGATACGCTGCTCAGATTCTCTCATGGAGTTAGTAGGCCCCCAATCACTGCAAAATACTCTGCTCACCCCAATATAGTTCCCCAAATCAACACCTCCCGCGAGATAGCGACGCAGCTTATTCGCCTTGCAAAGCTCCCAAAAGACGGATCCCACGAGCACCTCGGTAGTTTGACAGTTTCAAAGCTCACCCCAATCAAGCTCACCAACCTGAATTTCCGATATCCCTCTCGGCCAAACACAATGGTGTTGAAGAATGTCTCGGTTTCGATCCCACGCAACTCCTGTACGGCGCTCGTGGGACGATCCGGATCGGGAAAATCTACGATCGCGTCGCTGCTATTATCGCTCTACGAAGCTCCGCCCTCCGAAACTGGACAACCTACAATCACACTGGGCGGCGCAGACATCCTTCGACTACATGTTCCCACGCTCCGCTCACAGATCTCCATCGTATCGCAACAACCAACCATTTTCCCTGGCACTATTCACGAAAATATCAGTTACGGGCTAGATCAGCACTCGCCTCTAGCCTCATCTCATGGTGTCCGAACTGCCGCTCAAGGAGCAGGGATTGATGATTTCATCTCCTCTCTGCCTCGTGGATATAATACTGTGATCGGAGATGGTGGAGTTGGCCTTTCCGGTGGCCAGAAACAGCGCGTGGTCATTGCACGGGCTCTTTTGCGTCAACCTCAGATCCTGATTCTCGACGAAGCCACGTCCAGCTTGGATCCAGCGGGTGCAGAGATCGTGCGGCAGACAGTGCGGCAGTTGGTGGCTGTGCGGCAGGGGCTTACTGTCATTATTATCACTCACGCGAAGGAAATGATCGAGATCGCGAATCATGTCGTTGTTCTTGACCAGG